AGACAGTAGACAGTATATTAGACAGCAATCTGGAGGCCACAAACTCGACTTCAGACACATCACATGCTGTAAAAGGCACATTTTGCATATTTTGTGCTCTGTTTGGTCGGCGTTGCTCCTAAATAACCAAACGATGCTGCTTTAATGCACTGCAGCAGATTCCCCTCCTGATAAAAAGGTAAAAAAGCAGCGCAATCTTTTTTGTGACAGCCTCATTTGTAATCATTAGTGCTGAAGGGAATGATTGATTAATGAACCCAGCACAAAATGAATCAGCAAATATTTTGATAATTGAGTAACTGTTTAAATTACGAATCAGGCAAATACACAGACTCTGGTTCCAGTCTGTTGTCATGGATGGAGTTTATTTGGTGGATTGTTATTTTTTCTTTTTGCACCAGTTTGGCCATTTTATAGACTAAATACTAATTAAGCCCCCAAAAATCTATCAATTAAATAATGACAAAAGTAACTTAAACTGTCTAAAATGTGCATAGTCATAATTTCCTTGCGACTATTTCCGAATATTCCTCCTCTCCTCCTCAGGACCGCTCACTCCCACAGGCTTTAAAACGCAGCGCACTGGAAACAGACACAAAATACACCATGTTCCTTTCAGTCGACCACAAATCCATCCCCCCCCCCTCCTGCTCCTGCTCCTGAATCCTCTCTCAGCACTGACACTGTGCCACCAGGTTTAACACTCCGTGGAAACAGAGCGGCGACCGGGGGCCACAGCTGACTAAATCCCAGACTGCTTATGCAACCAGCGGGCAGAGCTGACCGGTCGAGCACATTCAGCGAGCCAAGGCGATGATCGCAGCCACGTCCACCCCCGCTGATGCAGCCATACTGCCCTCCAACAATTAGAGCAACGCCATCCTCATCCATCTTCCATTTCAATGACCTTTCGCTTTTTCCTGATAGTCATGCTGCAAACACACACATTCCTGTTTCCCCAACACAAACATTTGGCCATTAAATTTTCGGACCATTTGCCTTCTGTTTACACGAAGCCGGCATGATCAGAAGAAGTGGCCGACCGCTGCAAACACACATAATCAAAGTGCTTGACAGGGAGCTGGTGTACAGGAGAGAAAATAATGAGAGAGGAGGGAGAGGGAGAGCAGCACACAATGACAAGGGCCGTTGAGTAGCAAAGCACCAGTCAGTGTGTGTGTGGACAGAGATAAAGAATAGTGTGGTGGCCGCTATCTCTGCACCTCAGCCCCTACTGACACAACAGCAAGTCACTGTGGCAGATTCTGAACTACATTTACAGCTTAGTCGAAAGGTCAGATATAATGATCCCAATCTCCTCCCTCTGTGACCGACCTTTGACCCGTGAGCTTGATTAGAAATTCTTACATCATGATCAAACTAGCTTATTAGCAAAAAGAAAGTCAACAGTCTTACATTTTGCACAAAATAGCAGGCCTGTAAAAACACAGCCGTTTTGTGTTACATTTCCATAAAGTTGGGGGGGCTCAAAAGAGACAGAATAAACAGAGAATGAACACAATAGCAGCAGGCTGAGATATTCAGACTTCTTGTCTCGAATGCAGAGAAAATTCCCAAAACACTGACTCCTACATTACCCACAATGCATCTCCATGCATGCTAAATACTCAGACCTGCAATTTGTGTGTAGGTCTTTTTTTTTTTTTGTTAAAACTGCAACGGTTGCAGCAAATGCCACTTATAGTGTTGATTTATCAGTCATCTGTTTTGTCATAAGATGTTAAAAAATGGTAAAAATGTCCATCAGTGATTTCCCAAAGCCCAAGATGACCTCCTCAAATGTCTTGACTTATAAACAACCTAAAAGATTATAGAGGAGGAATGGAATCAGAAAATATAACAATTTAAGAAGCTGAAATCAGAGAAATTACACATTGTTTTTTCTTTTCTTTTTTTTTTACAACATCACTGATACCTATCAATTGATTGTCAAAATACTGGGAAAGTAATTTAAAAGTTAACAACTAATCACCAGTAAGCTCTAATGTAGTGTTCATGTCATCTTGTTGTTACCAGAATTACCAGTTTTCCAGCAAGTTGTAAGTATGAGTGGGCAAGTGAATAAACCCTGGATGTATCAGATCTGCCACAGTATATTATGTTGAACAACTACACCTGACGGCATCACTACGATCTCCTAGTGTTATTTAGCACCCATTAAGCGAATATCAGTGTCCTCATGGGCGGGTTTCCCTGATCAGCCGCCATCTTGGTATAGGTTCATATCTAAATGAATGGGGAGAGAGCTAGAATTTTATTCATTTAAATGTTACCGAGACAAAAGTTTGGCTACCATCCTCCAAAATAAGGTATAAAAAGCGTTTTTCCCCCCATAGGTTATGCTTTTGCTCCACATTTGCACTAGCATGACGACATGATTGGCTGCACGTTTCCTAGTTCTGCTGGTACGAAGCCAATGATTGTCTTTTTGGGGAAGGAGGAGGACGCGTGTCATAGAGCTTTCATCTTTAACGTTACAAAATTCTCCCCTAGATTTCTATTCAGGATTCTTTAAGTCGCTTCCTTATAATATCTCTGCATGCACAGCAGATTTATACATTAAACTCAATCTGTGATACGTGTGTGAAGGAACATCATCCCCACATCCACTTCAAGTAGTGTACACTTGAACTGAACAGCTTACAACAGCTCAGCTTTTTGAAAATGCATGTATCTGCTTCAGGGGTGAGAGCCAGAAGAAAAAGCTGATCCCATTCTTACGTCTGTGTGCGAAACATGAAGATATTGCTAACACTGGAGACTGGAGGCACTGGCTGTTTCCGAAATCATCCACTTACTCCCTACTCTCTATCTAGGGACCACTGTGTAGTCAACCATGTAGGGAGCACTTCGGCAAAGCAACATTTCGGACACTACTCGAGCTATTAATTACGTTGCTTGCTAGTAGTAGTAGCGCAAACACATCAAATTCACAGTTAAGTACATAGCTTAGTAAACGGTAAACTCAAATTCAACAATTCAACCTATATGGGGAGTTACTTAAATTTTAATGAGGAGCTGTCGTGCTCTCGTTTGTCTTGTTCGTGTTCTTCTTCATGCAATGCGTGATGGTACATCGGCTGTACATTGCTTTTCATGGTGCATTGCGGGATATTTTGAGTGCACTATATAGGGTGTAACATTTGTAAATTAACATTCTGACAGCCCTACAAGATAGCAAACACCCCATGTAATGACTACGCAAGGTATAGTGGGTGATTTCGGACACAGCTGCTGTGTCAAATCTACCTTCCAGCACTTCCTGTCCAACAGCTACCCAACTTTAAGTGAATTCCAGCACATAACTTCCTGCAAAACCACACATTGGCGTTTTATAACTTTGGTTTGTGTCAGAAATAAACAAATATGCTGTCAATAAGTACAATTTACACATGTTTGTATGTATTTTTTGTAAGTTTTGACAGAGCAAAGCTAGCAGTTTCCAGTTGCTAAGCTAGGCTAACTACCTTCAGGCTCTAGCTGTATGTTAATGTACAAAAACATACATTTCTTGTCTAATTCTTGACAAAGAAACTCTTTGCACATCAGTCTTATAAGACAGTAGTGTTGGAGACGGATGACCATTTCAAAAAGTTTTAAAAAGACACCTAAAAACTATCAAACTTGCAAAAATACATTTATTTGGGATGAACCTTTGCGAATAAATGCATTTTTGCAAGTTAGACGTTGCATTGTTAAGAAAGTAGACACATTTATTTCCTAAAATTTAGCTACAGACTTTTAACAGTAGGGCTTGAAATATTCAACATTAGTGTGTATGAGCTTCGTATTGTGATACGAGCCTTTCAGCACGTTGCATTCTAGAAATTTCTGAGTGATTCCAGGAAAGCTGCAGGTTTTCTTTTATCCACAGAAGGGTTTAGTGTCATCTACAACATAAACAGATGACTTTATACTATTTTGATCATATGTATGTGATTTCGTTTGTCACCCCACTCTGCAGGAGAGCACAGAAACACTTGCAGCAGTGCTCAGATGTGATGAGCAGTCAGAGTCCTCAGCGCTGCTGGTCAGCTGTTCACTGAACACTGCACCTGGATGTCTATCTGACCTACATCGTGATCTGTGACTCATCAACCTGGAGTTTATCTCCACCGTGTGTGTGTGCTTTTATGTGCCATCAAGGAGCTTTAGCCCACTTTGATCAGCTGAGTCTCTGCCTTTAACACGCACACACATGCACGGCAGCAGACAGCCTCCCACAGCGCCTCAGAACACATAAAGCAATAAGAGGAATTCATTACAGGATGATTCACTCCCACAGTGCTTCTGCAAAATAATAACCAATAATAGGTTCTATAAATGGAGCATCAGGAGCAAACACTTTGACAACCCTAATTTTTTGAAAATAAGGCCAGAAAATGGGTGTGATTTGGCCCAGCGACTACAGAAAGCAGCCAGTGAGGATGTAAACATTCTGGTCCCTCAGCTCCAGCAGTCTGTGGGGCTACGTCATGTTGATGCCACCTGCAGTGTGTCCTCACACTGCACTGACTCGGAGGCAAACCGCTGTCACTTTAGTGTAACAGAGCTCAGAACACACACACACACACACACACACACACACACACACACACACAGACATGCAATAGCTGCTGCAGATACCTGACAACCCCCCTCCTCCAAAAAAACCACAAGATGCCTGGTGGGGGTGAGGGAGGAGTGCAGCATGTTGTGATCAATAACACAAATCACACTACACACACACACACACACAACACTGTAAACAATGTAAAATGCTAACAGGTAAATGGATTGCTGTTTGCTGGGGACAACAGTTTGTACAAACACAGCATTACGGGCCAATCACAGCATTGTTTTCAGCGATGCCGCTGCACACAATGGGCCCGATCGATCCAGCATCGGATCCAACAGCGTCCAGGAACTGCTGCGTAAGGAAACGGTGCACGTCGGTGAGGGTGCAGGTGAGGATACACCGGGTTTATTCCGCCACTCACCCGTCAGTTGGTTCCCATATGGGGGCTGCTGAAGTCCGCCCTGTGAGCCCGGGCTGCTGCTGCTGAACACACAGGTGGATGTGAGCGCATACTAAGGCCAGGTGAGCCGCCTGCTGCCGCCGTCCCGCGGGAAGCCTCCGAGCTGCCGTGAGTCGGTAGAAGTGGCGCCGAGCATCCTGCAGCCTCCTCTGGCTCTGCGTCCTATTGTCTCCGCATCGCTCTGTCCTCTAGGAGGGGAGGAGAGGGGAGGAGAGGGGAGGCAGGAGAGGAGCGCCAGAGCCCTCCCCCTCCTCGGGGCTCTGGCCAATCGCAGCGCCGCTCCGCCGCTGCTCTGTCTCCGTACAGACTAGGCTGCCTTCACGGCCCGTCGGAGATAGTAGCACCTCCTCCAAACACGGAGGAGACAAACATGTTGCTGAGGCCGAGCTTGCCTGAGGTGACTTTTAATGATGAGAACACCGTGTTCAGAGTCACTTAAAGTGGAACTGCACTGATCTTACACTAAAACTTTGTTAACACGTGGGGTGCAGTGTAAAAAGTTGGATAAAGGCTTTAGTGTCTTCAAAGAGAATCATGTGAAATCTGACATGTCCTCAAGAGATGTTATTTGAGTCTGTCTCCAGGGCTGACAGTCTCAAAAAAGTTTTTTTTTTTTTTTAAAGACTGTACATGCATTTTGTGCCATATGTATGTTTTAGGTCGTATAAATACATGTTGTGGCTGTGATAGAAAGGAGGACAGTAGACTGATCCTCCTCTATTCGTAGGGTGACCATATTTTGATTACCGAAAGCCAGGACACTCAGCCCAGCAATGTGACACTCAAATGATACTCAAAGTTTACTCAAAGATGTCTTATAATTTCAATACATTCAAAGTATGCCTTCTCCAAGACAGGACCAGGACATTTCCATCACTTTATAAAAAGCAACCAAGACGGCCAGGACAGGACATGAAAACAGGACGTTTGGTCACCATAATAGTCTATTCTTGCCCTTACAAAAGCTAAATTTGTGGCAAATTTGTGACCGATGCAGCACAGACACATTAGTTTGTCATTAAACGTCATACATGACAAACTTTCAGCAACATTGTGGCAGTAGTGAGAAGTTCACCACCAACAAGCTAACATCCAGTGAACATGTCTGTCAGTGGTGCTAAATTTCAAGTAACCTTCTTGTACCAAGTTTGCCGTTAGTGGCCAACATGTCACGTTATGTTTGCCATAACTTTTCTCAAAATAATATTATTCACAGTTTTATTCCTAATTTTCAAAATCATATTTTATATAATTTCTATGATTTTAAGGGTGGGCTGCAAGGTGGTTCAGTGGTTAGCACCATTGCCTCGCAGCTGGTTCACATCCCGGTGAGGACACCCGGGATCTTTCTGTGTAGAGTTTGCATGTTCTCCCCGTGCAGCGTGGGTTCTCTCCGGGTTCTCTGGCTTCCTCCCACACAGTCTAAAAACATGTTGAGGTTAATTGGTGATTCTAAATTGTCCATAGGTGTGAATGTGAGTGTGCTTGGTTGTCTGTCTCTAAGTGTAGCCCTGTGATAGACTGGTGACCTGTCCAGGGTGTCCCCTGCCTTCACCCTGAGTCAGCTGGGATAGACTCCAGCCCCCCCGCAACCCTAGTGAGGATCAAGCGGTGTATAGATAATGGATGGACAGATGAATTTTAAGGGTGATGATCTTGTGCACTGTCACCTCACAACACAAAGGTTACGAGTTTAAACTTATTTCCCGGTTGGCTTCCTCTGGGTTCTTCCCCCATGCACTGTATATAAAAGTTAAAAGTAGTCTTTGGACCTGAAGAAGGTAGCCAATGCAGAAGTGCCTTAAACCTGCATTCTCTCTGACAGCCAGCAGGAGGCAACAGAAAGAAGGCGAAAAGAAGTCTGATAGTAAAGGAGTCTATGAGAAAATAACCCGACTTCTCCCTTGATATACTTCCTCAGTATATATTTTCCTAAGGGGTTTATGATCTCAATCACTAATTTCAAGACTGTATACTTAAAACATGATGTTCATTTTGTAGATGATGGTCCGAATTACCATAAAGGAGGCAATATAATGGAGTATGTTTCAGTGCCGGCTTAACTTGTTGACAGGTTGCTGCTGTATTGCTGTGTGTTATCTGCTGTGTTTCCTCAGTCAGATCCACCCATCGTTTGCTACATCGGGTTTCAGTGACTAACACAGATCTGGTCAAATGCTAAACTGGAGGCTTCCAAACAGTCATCCACAAACCTGAGACACAGTGGCCTTGTCCATCCTCTATATACAGTGGGCTGTTCTCCCTGTGTCCACTTAGACCCCCTTTAAAGGATAAACTGGGTGATGTTTAAGTTCGCCAGAAGTCATTGAAAGTTTACTATAATTTGCATATGAAAATATGATCTTCCTGCAAACTCACATCAACATTGCCAAAGGTCAGCTACATCTGCCTGCCAGAAATCTGAAATTTCCATAAGGGTGAGGCTTGTTGCTACAAGCTTAAACACACCTAAATCTCAAAGTGAACTGTCAGCAGTTAAGTTGCATTGTGGGTAATAGAAGCACAAAGTTTCGACAAGGAGGAAAACAACCTGTTAAGGACCTGAGAAGTGAAACTTTCCCCAACTCCCTTCACCTTTTAAATCCAGTGCACATGGCAGATGGTTCAATAACAGCTTCTTTACTTAACAGTGCAGTTATGCCCATGCACTTTCACCACATGACTACGAGGTCCCCTTTATAGTTGGATTAATTACAAATTGCATAACAGCTTATTATACTTTTAAACTGATGCTAAAGAGTGCCACAAGGAAGAGTTCACATGGCCACAGATAAAAACAGCACAATACAGTGTTTTAATGTGAACTACTCGTAAACATCAGTGAACACGACCTGCCAACAGGAGCCCCCAGGAGTTTAGAAGCCTAAAGGGACACCGTCAACTGCAGCAGGTCCAGCATTATTACTTCAAAAATATGATAAATAATGAGCGAAGTTCGAGTTTACAAGCTACACATGAATGCGGCGTGAGTCTAGTAAAGAGGGCGAAGCTGTGCAGTGCCAGAAGAGTCCCACTTCTAATATAAATGTGGTGTTTGTGAAAACAAGTATCACCTGGTAGTCATCTCCTCTCTGACTCATGCCTGTGGCCCGTTATCACTTTCTGTATCTAACAAAACATCAGCGCAATATTCAGCTGTGTGGCCCACAACACTGGGCTTATCTTACTTCGTGATCCTGCTCATTTTCCCCTTTTAGGACACTCTGTTACTGAGCCTAGAAAAAAAAGAACTGGAAGATCCCGCACTGCATCTTAAACAAACAAAATATGTCACGAGTTCTCGCAGAATCGCACCAAATAAGCTCTGTTCTGATCATAAACAGCCCGCTGTTCGTTCATTTAGTACATTTTGTGTCTCAGTGATGCGTTCCCCATAAATGATCCTTTGCAGAAAACAGCCCTCTGGTTACCAAGAGGTTGCATCACAGGATGAAAATAGGGAGGTTCTGTCCCCAGAGGCGGCTTCTGATCTCTCCACCAACACTCATCACATGGATAATAAGTGTCCTGTTTTGCTAAGATTACCATCCTACAGCAGCTGCGGGGGGGGAAATAAGAAGTTGGAGATGTTGGGTTTTTGTCACACAATATTGTTTAAAAAAGAGAATAAGAATCATGCTATAATGCTGGGTTGTCTTACACTCTGACACTGGTATTAAAAAAAGCTGTCAGTGGTTCCGACTTGAACCGGGCAGAATGACAGGTGATCTTTTTTTCTTTTTTGAAGACTAACTCTTGTATCAAAACAAGCCTGGGAAGTGTTTAAAGATGAGCAGAGGAGCTGTGTGAGCTTCATATAGACGCTACATGCGCCTGCACCATCCGAGTACAGCCTGTTCCCTGTGACAGTGTAATTACTAGAAATGATGGGAGCCTGCGAGGGACCCGTCCAGCCCGCGCTGCTTCCACTTGATTTAACTTAACCCTCAGCTGTAATCACTTCATCTGTCAGCCAGGTTAAGGTGATGGAACCTCTCATTACTAAAGATGTACTGGAACTGCCTGAGAGATTATTTAAGGAATAAAAACTGCTTCAGCTGGCAGAAAAAACAGATTTTATTTGAATGGAATGCTTCAGTAAAGGTGAGGGGGGGGCAGGGTACAAAGTGCTAAAAACATTAAGTACTGACCACTTTAAAAATAGAAAACAATGTGCAAAATTAGTCTTTTCCAAAAGAGCAGGCAAAATAATACAGAAGATAGTAACGTGGGCACATCTAGAAAGAACTCAAATCAGTGCATTTAAGATTAATTTTAAAAGGCATAGAAAACACCTGGAGGGGACTGTTTAAGTTGACGCTGTGCAAATATCTCCACAGACCTTAAAAAGAGTTATACAAACAGATAAAGTGCCAAATCTTTGGTGTGGAGATGCTGCGCCAGGTTCTGAATACGACACAGGCGGACATTTTGAGCGTCTCCTGCGCTGTACACTCTGAATATGTGGTAGCGCTCCTTCTCCTTCAGTGCAAAGTCCAGCTCGTTGGCGGAGAGGTGGATGAACGACCTCTCTTTCTTTACCGTCGCCTTCACCTCTACGTACACCACCTCCAGTGCTGCTCCCGCCGCGAAGGTGAGTTTGAAATCATAGGGCTGGCCGGTCTCTCCGCTCTGGTTGCACCACAGGATGCTCAAGGGTCGTCCGGGATCTCCGCTATCCTTCCAGTGACACAGGAAGGAGTTGACCAGCTGCTCCCCCCACTCGCCGATCGCTGCGACGTCCATCTGGTCGTCAGATAACACCACCTGCAAGAGAGGCACGATTAAGAAAAGCTTGACGGCACTGAACCGCTGGGACACCGACGTGCTGCTGGTATACTGACAGTGGTGGGTCTCTGGCAGGTGAGCTCCATGTCCTCCAGTGTGGCCGGTGGAGGCTGGTCTTTGTTCCAGAGAGGGAAGTTCAGGTTCAGAGGAGGACGCTGAGCCTCTGCAGCAGCTGCAGTCCCCTGGAAAGTAGTGGAAAGCACCACAGCCTCAGGGACGGCGCTGATAGAGACAAAGAAGTTGGGAGAGAGAGGAACGAAAAGAGAATGTGGTGTTACATGTTGAGTGAATCAACATTAGTTTTCTATATGAGTGTTTGAAGTATTCTGGGATGAGGAGAAGAAGCCTACAGGCTGTTTGGAGCCGGCTGCTCGCTGGTGGCCTCGGCAGGCTGTGCAGACGGAGGACTGGGTGTTGGTCTGGGAGCGGAGAGGTTTTCCTTGTTGGCCTCAGCTCTGTCTGACTTTGTGGGGTCACTCTGCTGGATGCGCTCTGTCAGTGACAAACAACACCACATGGAAGAATTCAGCATTTACAGGACGTGTTGTACATGTACAATTTGTGAATAACGCCATTGTGCAGAATGACGGCACTAGTTTTTGTTTGTGCAACTCAGTCTTTCAAACACTCAAATGGGATGTTAAAGTCAGATTTTTTAAAAATTCATTGCAAATGACAGTTGGACCTTGTTAATATTGCCATACTACAGGCTAAATAAAGGTAATAATATCCACCGAATACCTTTCCTGCTGATGTTGGTGATTTGGCCCCGAATGCTCCACATAGTGTTTAGCTGTGAGTCTGCATCTTATATGTTTGTGATTATCACAGACTACTAAAGATGAACCTGCTTATTCTGATTTACAAGGTGCGATCAAGTTGTATCACTAGCTAGATTTACATCATCAGCAGGGTGAAGTAGCTCCAAATAGCAACATCTAATGAGCTAAAACATCTTTACATGTGAGTTAAAGCTGCACAATAAATAATTTCATGTCCACCTGCGGACAACACAATATTTTCATGTTGCTATGGCTAACACACTCTGGATTCATGTTTGTGGTCACCAGATAGCGTAGGTCCAATACTAATAATCCCTTCCTCTGGGAAATACGTGGCATTGTGGCTGAAAGCAATTCAACTTGTTTCACAAGCTAATTGTTAACTTCACTTGTCTGTCACTTGAAGCTCAATGAGTAGTGTACAGTCTGTTTATTAAACCTTTTTCAAAGGAAAATGATGCCTGCTGCAGTTGAACACAGGCTTCATGTGTTTATGGATTGAAAAACCAAAACAGTGAAGCTTAAAGAGTACAAAACGCTCTGCAAAGCTACGCAGAGCTGGAGAGATGGGGAGATGGGTTCATCTTTTAGGGTTTGTCACTACGTCCGGTCCCCTTCAGACATTTGAACAGACATTTGATCTTTTAGAAATAAAATAATATTGACCGCTTAAGGTTAAATTTTCTGCTACATTTACAGGATTGTACCTATAATTCTAAACCAGCACAAAAACAATCAGCTGCAGGGAGACAGTAGTTTGTTGGCTGTGTAACCTGGAGGCTGTGGGCTGTTGTTGGTCGCTGCAGTGGCGTTCGGCTGCCCTGCATGGTTGAGGACTCTCTGAGGAATGGGCTGGTCTGGAGGTTTGCTGCTGCTGCTGCTGCTCCTGGGTGGCTGGTTGCCCTCGTGGTCTCTGGGGGACACTTCCCTCTCTGGGTCTCGATCTTTAGGTGCAGCAGGAGGAGGCCACATTTTCATGACGGCTTCGACAACACTGCTACCTCCCTGACCTGCTGCCAACCATGGGAAGTGAAAAATGTAGGTTTTAAGACGCTAAAGCAATCGATTCTTTCTGTGTTCTCAACAGCTTCATACAGTACCTGTGCGACTGCTTCCTGTGTTCAGCATAGATGCTCTTGGAGGCCAGCAAGCCAGCGTCTGCTCCCCATCCTCTTGTGCAGGGCGAGATGGCTCCTCTGGGGAGCTGATGGAGGAGTAGCTCCTTGATAGCACTGGAGGAGAACATTTTCATAAGTTAAAACCAAAGAAGAAAAAGAGGAAAAGATTGGTTTAAAAGCTGTAAAAACCCCAATCACACACAGTATGAGCCTGTTTCAAGGCTCTAATGCCATAAAAACAGATTTTGTAATGAAAAAGTCTTTGATCATATTAATCCTTGTAGATGTGTGTGTGCTCTCTGCTGCAGTCAGGGATCTGCTCCTCTCGCTCTTTGAGCCTTGGCAACAGCTGCTCTTTTATGTCACCACACACAAAGTGAACAAACCTGAATTAGCATATGTGAGAAACACACGTTATCTTTCTGTGTGTGTGTGTGTGTGTGTGTGTGTGTGTGGAAGGAGAGTGTTTATGCAAAGCTGAGACTCAGAAGAAAAACACTTTGAATATTATGAAATGATAATGGAAATCGGGGCAAGTGTCACAAAGAGAATTGGAGGAACTGCAGATGTAAGACGGAGAGAAAGCAGCAGCGAGTTGTTAGAATTCATCTCATGCTCCAGTTATAGCGCTGAGTTGATGTTCTGCATCAAACTGTGATTCTCTCACACGTCAACACCGAGCTGCAGTTGTGGATTTTTCATGGTCTTTTTTTTTTTCTTTTCTCCAAACATTCTACACTTTAACGCTCAGCCTTTTATGAAATTGGTGCAACGCAACCAAAACAGTGACAAGCTGATGGATAGTTCTGCTTTCTTTTTCTACAGACTGAACTGACATGGAGCTGAGTTTATGTTTCTGAGTCAAAGGTTAAGGCCGGTGATGTTTTGTGTTATGATCCGATGAAGTATGAAAACACCAACATCATTGTCCTAAATAAGTCTTTTTTCGTCAACAACAACAACAACATATATGGTACCGAATATTGGTAAATGTTCATTTGTGACATGTGAACATGAAGTGGCTCAACCTGAGAGGATTCAATGTAATGACTGAGTAAAGTCGGTTATTCAGTAATATGTGTCTAAACTAGAGCTCACATTAGCAGCACAAGCTACTGGTGATGACAGGCGTGACAGCAAAACACCTGAGTGTACTGAGCTGTGCATGGGTGTGTTGTATCTCGTATGAATTCAGCACATTTCATGTGTAAAAGGATGGATGTGTTTTTTTTTTCCATCTTTCCACTCAGACGGTGCAGTGACTCCTGTACCTCTGTCCAGGGTGACCTCTGGTTTGGGAGGCTCTGGGACCTCCCACTGCTCCTCGTCACTGGGCAGGTCTCTGATGTCCGCTTGGTTCAAGAATCTCTTCAGGTCTCTCGGGTCCTGCGATGCATTTATCACAGTTTAGAGTGAATAACTGCAGTAAAGCTGAGATCTAATCTTGGTGGGGGTTATTAGATTTGTGTTCTATTAAAGATTCTCTGAATTCTTTGAAAGAATTGCTGAATTTCATTATTCTATTCACCCCACAGGAAGTGAGTGTTTCCACACAGACAAAGAAGTGCTCCATTCAACATTAGTTTGAAGTCCTTATTTAGAAAACACCAGTGGAGTAGATTTGGAGTTTGTTCATTCAGATTCTCTTGTTCAAAGTGGCAGCGAGAGACATTCTCATTAAAATGCTGATGACCTAATTAACATGTGCTGCCAGTGACTGATCAATTTCCTGGAATAATCTAAAAGTTAAAGTAATAAGCAGATACAATAAGTCGGGAGGCAGATCTGTCCACATTTTCCTCTAAGCCTCTCGCATCAGTTTAACTGCAGTCTATTAAATTGCTGTTAAATCACATCATTAAAACCTTTAAAAACAGTCGAAAAACCCTCTTTATTGACTTTGGTAAATCCAACCCTAACCATAAAATTTCCGATACATTCTGTCCATATTTCAGTATTGATTATATCATGCAGATCTAGTTCTGCTGCGTGTCTTAAATAAGCTGCTGCACAAAGAGAAACAGGAGAGGATATTCACTGAGGAGGGATCAGAGTTGAGGACCAGTGCTGCTGCCTCTGCTGCTGCGCTGTTCAACAGAGATGAGAGCGAGTTGCCATGCAATGTAAACACGACTCCCTCCAGGGGAACAGTCATTAGTTGTAGCTACAGTCAGCTCAGCGGGGATCGCGTGTGATCGAAGAGATAGAGAGTGACAGGATGAAAGACCGAGAGCAAGCAAAGGGCCTTTTCACTGGGTATGGATTAGTGATCAATGTGTGAAGAGATCATATATCCCTTACATTGAGCGAGGTTAGGCCACTCAGGAAATGTGTCAGCTCTTTCCTATGGCTGGTCTCTTTGCAGAACAGGGTCGCCAGCTCCCTGAAACAAGCACACAGAAAAACGTATAATACAAACACCAAAATACAGACAGGACTATATCAAATAAATTTCATCACAATTTTTCCAAAAATAAACATGCATGATGAATGTAGATCTGCAGTCTAACTTCTATAGTCCAGCTATAGCTAAAAGGTCCCATTTGGTGAAAATGAGTTTTTGTTCTCATAATAAACCCCCTTGTACTTTCTAGAGCTGCCTTCACAAATTCTAACATTTTTCAGACACAAGTAAAGCACGCTAAATGGTCTGCTTTTTACTGCCAGAGTGAACATATGAGTCTTCATGCACTCCCAGCATCTGAGGAGCTGAAGTTAATTACTTGTATTTTTGATGGCAACATCCCTACACCAACAGGAAAGTTGTTGGCATGTTGTACGACTAATGTGGCTGACGTTTTAATTAGCTTTGATCGCATACCCACTGGTCAGAGCTCTGTGGAAAACCTAAAGCCAAGGAACACTCAGACATGGTAGAAACTTTAAGACAGACTGAAATCAAGGTGACTGTCTTTTCATGTGGCCTGTTGTGCTTCAGTCCAACCTAAACTCAGATGGTGTTTTCATGTGTTTCCTTCTCTCCTGCTCTCTGTGCTCACATACACTGTATTATCATACAGTAGAAGTAGTAATAAAGCTGTTTGAACTGTTTCTGTCAAACAAACAAATATGAAATATAGACTGAACCACAGCCCATTAGGACCATGATGCTGACCAACAGCCACTTCATAGCCATGTCCAAGTTGCTACAAACTCACCATACACAAGTTAAAAACAATTTTACACATAAAATGATCCATCTGTCCCCATCACTGTCATTGGATGTCCGTTAGGAATCAAAGAGATTTTATCATGGCCAGTACAGACAGAAGGAATGACTACAGCAGTCAGTTTTGTTTGTAGATATAAATGAAACAATGTGAACATATGTTTCTGTTAATGCTGTATAGTGTTTGCTGTCATGATGATATGACTATGGGACAGTCATAGGATAAAACTGATCACTTTTTTAAACTGCCAACAGGACTTCACTCAGTATCTTAATGTTTAAATGTTAAACATTGTAGGAAAATAGTATAAAATTACAAAAATTGTGATTTAAATTAGGAATCAGTAGGTAGGATAGTAAACAAGAGTTCTAATACTTTGTGGCACATTTCTGTGGCATCAACAATAAAAGAAAATTCCCAAATACCTCACCCTAATCAACCATATTAGTATTTATTAGATTTGATTCCTGCTCTCTACAATTCTAATTTGACCATGGTCTTGTAAAACTGCAATACTCACATTAATAGGAAATATACTGGGTTGAAATAAATTGGAATTATTCCTTTTGGTGAAATTGTTGAAAAATAATGAACTCTTCTATTGTTCAAATTACACCATAAAGATTTTATAATCCATGACAAAGCTCTTCGCATTGACTGGCCACTCAGTGTTGAAAATCCCTGTTTCTGTGTGAAAAATCCATCATATTCCACGTCAGACGGGGAAATCTCAGGTACTGGTTTGTTGCTTTTCTTCCACTGATTTTATCTCCCTTTCCTATGTATTTAACATTTTTTCTGATTAGCCCACAAAAAATTGCCACAAGAAGGGAGAAGAAACTGTAGCTGCTGTAGACATTTCTGTATTGCTGTAGAAATTTTATTGAATTTCCCTTCTGGGATAAATAAAGTATTTTTCATTTTTCATTTCATTTCAAAAGAACCTCCAGCATCCATAAATTTGACTCCCAGGATAAGCTTGATAAGCTTTTAAAGCTAAATTCCTCCACCAGAGATCTTAATTATAAATGTTTGAAGTTTTCTTGATTTAATGAAGGTTGAAAAAGATGAACATTATGACTTTGTTGTTGGTGCATGACCTTTATGCAGTTAGAACTCAGTTTGAGAGCAGGAGTGAATGTTGGGACACTTTCCAACACACATACCTGCAGATGTCCAGCTTGGAGTTGAGGTGATCTTTCTGGATGTAGAGCTCCTTCTCGTCCTTCAGCAGACAGATAACGTCCTGCAACTCTATCACTGCGTCTTCATCATCAGCAACTTCCAGCTGGTGGTGAATGTACAGCTTGCCCACCTGTAAACAATCCAACAGCAAGTTAGAACATACCTTCATTTTCAGCACTTATGCCTTTTGCTAAAGCCTCCTCACTCTCAAGTGTGTGCGAGTTCATAAGAGGATATTTTTAAGGTTAGTGTAGTTGTATGAACCAGAGCTAAACTAAACCTCAGAGAGTGACAATTAAAGTTGGGACACAAAGAGTGGAAAACAGGACTGACTGTCACATAATCATTTACTTCATGAGCTTGGTGATCTCAGACAAATCCACCGATGAGCTTTTTTCTTCACTTGAAGAATGCTCACACACAGCAGTCCCTAGTGCTGACTGCATAATGAGCTCCTGCCCAAGTAAATCAGCTGTTAATTACACACAAACTCAAAGACAGGCTGAGTGCAAATGTGCACTGCTCTTTTATGTTCGCAAATCTCCTGCTCTGGACAGAAGCAGCACAGACAGAGATGAAGGAGCTAAAAGGAAGTTCCGCCTGTTGAACAGATTGAATGTTGAATGTTGCCGTGATCACGGTGAAGAGATTCTTCCTAAACAAGGTCGTCAATATGTGTGCCTTTGGAAATGACTTTAAGAACTTGTCTAAATCAACCACACTGCCAAAACTCAACTCAAAAAATGAGCAAAAATTAAGGACATTTTACCTGAAATTGGCAAATGATCTGCCAACAAAACAGGATTTCTTTAAACCAGTCAAAATATTAAGCCTCAAAGAATGTAGATATCCTAAAACTAGTGCGCTCAGAATGAAAGCACTTAGATAAATTAGTCTGGGTACAAAGAAAATATTTAAGAACCGGGGTGCCATGATAGCTCAACTGGTTGAGCTGGAGTCCCATGTTCAGGGGCTGTAGTCCTGGGTTCAAGTCCCGCTCATGGCCCTGTCCTGCAGGTCCTTCCCCCATTCTTCTCCCCCACTTTCCTATCTCACTCTCTCAACTGTCCTATTGAATAAAGGCAAAAAGGCCCCAAAACAAGAAAATATTTAAGAACTGTTTTCTCAAAATGTCAGAAAGCGATCATCTTGAAATAAGGCTACATACCCTGGAATATACAGCAACAAATAGCATACTGAGCTTTAAAGGGATTATTCCTCCTAGAGTAATGTATTACCACTAGAAATAAGATTGGCTTGCTAAAAGACAGAAATGAATCTAAATGCTGAAGAGAGCGCTGAGTCACTCTTAATGGATGTCAGTGAGACAGTTTGAGTTTCTCTTCAGAGCATCACTCTGTGTACACTTATCAGTGATAACACGGACTGTCATCAAGCCAGCAACACACGGCACTCGTGGTGTCACAGCTCCACTACTCCAGCGTGAAGGTGAATAAGACACGACACGAGCAATTGAACTGTAAACACAATGAAAACAAACATAGAGCAACTCAGCATGACAGGACATGCAGAACATTTTAGCTAATGGCCTAAATTGCTGCTACAAACCCAAAAGTTCCCTGGCACTCAGCAATGCTATAAAATATCTCTTTACTTCGTTAGTGAGGACTCAAAGGCCATGTGTGCATGTTTAGGGGAGAACAAAGGATGCAAAGACAACATAAAGACCATTTGTTGTCAAACTGAAAATGAAATCAGGAGACTTATGGCAAGATAAACATAACAGTGCTTATAATAAACAACAAGCTTCCTGCCTATTTATTAAAGGTTACTGGATTGGTCACACGCAGTTCTGATGTCAGGACTTTGTTAAGTACAGCTTTTGTTCTGCATTGTATGTTATCTATGGACAACATAACTGCTCCAGTCTGGCTGTGGTGTAACAGTGAATTCCATGTGGTCAGCATCTGCTCTGATATGTGAAGAAATGAAAAGTATGAGATGTTTGATAAAAGAAATTCTGACTTCAAGAAATCCGCTTTGTACTTCTCAGTATTGATCCAACATCTTTTCAGGAGATTTTAGTTCCAAGTCATAAGCTACTCAGAAGCAGTAATAAAATGTCTTATTACTGAATTTTTATCACCTTGTTCCTATCACTATTTTATTATGCTAATTAGAGAACAAAAAAGTGAAATCCTCCACCAGAAATACCATATACTGTCTTAAGAGATTTCCTCTTACTCAGTTTGCACCATACTCCTTCAGATTGATCGTCTCACCTGCCCGAAGGAAAGGTGCTTGATTTTCTGTGCTATGTTGTTGTTCGTCAGCTCTGAGTAGACGTCATTCATCTCCTCGTGGTGGTAGAGGAACTTCTGGATGTAGGGGATAACTGAGCGCACCATGTCCTGCATGGACGGACAGGGTCTCAGGTTCTCAGTCTGAGGCTCAGACTTGACACACTTTGAAAGCTGACGGATTCCACAGATCTCCAGAAACAAAAACCTGTCCTTCTCATTGAAGTTAGGAACTTGTTCTCCTGAGGCTGCGTGACCTGGCAGGCAATCATACAACAACAGTCATAATCTTCATTTTTTTATTCAAGTGGTATTCTAACACGGACAACTAAAGAAGAATCAAGTGGCAGCAACATACCAAAGTTCCCAGTCCTGCTCTTGGGAGCAGCCTTCTTCTCTGGTGGTGGCAGGTTGAGCAGACACACCTGCTTGTGAGGTTTAAAGATCTTCTCCAACTCTTTGTTGTCACCAATCATGGGTTTACGAGCCAGACTCACCCAGCAGTTATCTTTGGTTGGGAAGACCCTTTTATCAGACACCATACCTGAACACAGAACAAAAAGGACAGACAGACTGAGTTCTAGACATTTAGCATACATCTTTTCACTTTGCTGGTGCACCTTCTAGATGATTATTAAAAAGCCATCAGGTACATTTTGATTGAAGTTTTTTTACAAATCCAACTGGTTACATGGATAAAATAAAGTATTATTGGAATTATAATTCCACGTAAAAGGAAATCACGAAGGCAGAACTGTAACAAATCAGTAGTTTGCCCTGTATTGAAAGAGGAAACACCAGTTGTATCTCCAATATCCAAATCTCATGGCAACTGTCTCCCAATACAACAGCTTCATGTTGTTTAGCTACCAACCCTGGTAAAGTACTAACATTAGTCCAGTCTTTATATCCATCAGTTAGCTTTGCTGTGTAATGTAAATAGCAGTTGGTGCCCCTGAACATTACTTCAGTTTCGTCTTCTCTCCAGTCTAGCCTTTGCCTCTAGTGGGAACCAATCATGAAGCCCAATAGAAGGTACGTCATTTGTAAACACAGGAACTCAAGCACAACTCAAACACATTTGGTACGTACACCTTTACTCTTTCTAAGAGCTTTGTGTCACAGCTGCTGTTGCAAGTGCTGACCATGTTATTGAGCGAGCCATACTGCAATAAATAACTTGCCATTGTTTTTAGAATAGTGGCATGCACCTGTGCCTTTCAAATGACGCACTATCTCTGCATCACGTCTTTGCCTCACACCTCCACTTCAACTCTTCCCAGGCATTGGGAGTGGGTGGGCGCCTCACAGTTCCAATTCCCCATTTTATGCCACTTTCAGGACACAGGGCAACACCAGGAACTGCTAAAAGCATGTTGTACATGACCCCGACTTCTGAAAGGAGGATTTTAAACCCACATAAAAGAGGCATTTTCCCCCTTCAGATGGTGTTTCTTACAGGCCCTGATTATATTAGCACTGCTGCGAACTCTGCTGCCACACATTCAATCACTTGCACTGCAGACAAGACAGTTAGCTATCTCAGTGCTGTCAGTCTCCAGTGTGAAGTATTTCCAGGCTGCAGCAACAAATTCTTGCCAGCTGCTTTTAAAACATGCGATGCACTGACAGGTGGTGGATGATGCTAGCTTGCCAAAGAAAGTCTATAAGACACACAAAATGGATAAAGGAATAAATGTTGTGTTTGCAACACATTCATTACTCACCTTTCAAAGTGGAGCAGTAAGCATGATTGAGTTTGTACTGAGGCATGTTTTCTTGGTCTCCAGATACTGGAGGTTTACACTTTTGAGCTGTAAAAATAGAAATATATGTATTATATTATCTAAGGACAGAGAACACAGGGAAGTTGTAGCAAGTGCAGCTAGTCAAAATGGAGACATAACAGTTGTTGAACAGAGAGATAATGAGCTGCAGACAGATGGGACATACGGAGTAAAGAATTGTGTGAGTCACTGAATGCAAGAAAATCTATCAAACAAAACACTGGCAATCGAAATGTCCTTACCAAGTCTGGCATAGAGCACTGACACATCCTGTAGCACTTCAGCAGTTGGTATGGGAGATGATGAACAGATCAGTTCCAACAAACCAACATACTGCTTCATGTTGGGGCTGGAATCCACATTCAGCAGCTATACATGAGATATATGGTAACAGATTCATAATTAGTGTGGTGTGGTATGTGGTTAATTAAAATGACAAACACAGAAAAGCTCCTTCATAGTAAATTAAACTGTTTGTAATTTGTTGTCTGGATATCCATCATAATCAGCAAGTGACGGACAAAACTCCATGTGCTAACCCACTCACAGGCCTTCTTTAGCAGCTCAGAGTTTATGTTAGCCGGCTAGCCGTGGCTAATAAAGTTCTCGATTTTGTTTACAAATTCAGCTGTGAAGTGTGATGTGTAGTAATCTGAGCAAATTTGTTCATAAATAATGTGGTTGGATCACATAATCCAGTCCTTGTTTTGATCTGGATCAAAGCTTCAGGATTTTTTTAGTGGGATCGAGATACCTGTGTTCCAAAAAATCACCCTGATCCTCAGCAGAAGGCTGGACTCAGGGTGGATTTCAGGAACAAAATGTAGTAAAACTTTGAAATCGGTGAAATCCTACAACATTGCATCATGTAGTGAATGCACATTTACTTAAAATGTTCACTTTATATGTTTAACCATTACAGTGAAAATGTTGACAAAATAGACAATAGGTTGTTTCTTAAGCCTTTAAAGTACACATATATATATTGTGCACATGAAATAATCTCCCAAACAGCTGCAAATATCAAAAGAAAATATTATACAATTAAACAGAAGTGCCATTCATCACTGTATACTTCTAATAATGACAAGATCTTTAGAAATGATTCATCAGAAATGATTATGTAATTGTGCCTCCTAAAGCAGAGCTTCTAAAGCTAGTCTCTCCACACACTAACTCTGAATGTTGTTTATTTTATTAACTAATGGAAATGATTCACCTTTTTAAGATATAAAACACATGTTCAAAATAGTCACAGTGTATTACTGAATTTATCTGTTGTGGTTCGGATGAGGGCTTTACTGTTTAAAAGGAACTGAAAATGAAAGGGGATGTTTGTACTATTTTGTTGTTCTTTTTTCCGACACTTCAAATAAAAACATTTTCTACCTGCTGTGCTTTCAAAGTAAGCCCACGTTGTAATATGTCGTCCCACTTAAAAGCACTGGTGATCTGGATTTGGGAACCATGAAAAGACTGTACTTGGATCAGAGTACAATGAATATTAGATACAATCCAGTGTTACTTTGAAAAACTAAAACAAAAGTCAGCTGGAATATCTGTTCCAGGATTTTTTCAGATGCAGATGAAACTTTTTGAACACCTGAATCCAGGAGCCGGCTTTTGCTTACCTCCGTCTGTAATCAAGGGACCATGAGAGCAGCATAAATCTGCCAATTTTATTATTGTGCTGTGTGAGATTTGGAAACTTAACAGCAGAGAGACGGGGCTTAGCAAGCAAACAAACAACTAAAGGAGTCCAAGAAACCATGATTCACTTTTAAACATGTGGTTAAATTATGTGAGCAGTCACAAAGACTACAACAGACCTTTTTTTTGGAAAAATAGTAACCTGAAATTGCCTTTAAAGGAGGCTTTACCCATTCAACCCACACCAACGGCAAACTCAATTTTGTGTCTGTCGTCAGAACTAAGTCTCTGACTGTCAGCAGGAGATGTCTAGACAAACTTCCTTCAGCTGACTGACTGACAGCACACATTTAATGGATAAAAGCAGTTTTCAAGTCGGCTCAGCAGGAAGAAATCAGCATTGTTTTGTATTGACTAGCTGGTTTATTGATTGAAAGTGAGACCACAAAGCTCGCAGTGACACTGGGAGCCTGATTAATGATTACACATACCATTACATTATTTCACAACATATAAATAGCAGGAGATTTATGTGATTGAAACAGCTGTCTGTGGAGATTAGGATTCACTCAGCACACCAGAGGACAGAAAAATAGATGTGTAGCATAAAAAAACACTCAGGGTTACTTTAATAGATAAGAAATCTGTTATGTGATACGGGCAAGGGACAGATGTAAATAAATGCTTCTACAAAGGCTTTCTGTGGGTATTGGCTGTAACAGAAGAGCTTACCCTGATGAAGAAGTCTTTCATGCCTTCCAGCTGGCTGTAGAAAGGAGCCAGGACTTTGGGCTCCTGGACAGGGCTGTCTTGTCTGTGAGTCAGCTGTTTGTAGCGGTGGAACATGGTTGTTGTGTCACTCCAGCAAACCTCTTTCAGGTGGTAGAAGCGTCCTGAACACCAGCCACCATTATGCCTGGGGAAGCAAAGATTCACTTGTGGCCTCAGGCGTTTAAATGTTGACATTAACCTGGAATAGTATGCTGGCACAGTTCATGACGCACCTGTTAAACTCTACGAACACAGCAGGAGTGTGCTGGAAGAGTTCCTTGAGGCTGCTCTGGGAACAGTTTGTATGCAGATAGGTGTAGACGTTGTGGATGTGCTCGACTGTGGAAGTGAAATTTGCCCCCTCTGACTCGTCCTCAGCGCGTCTCTGCTCCTGGTTATCTGTCTCTGGTTTGACGCACCACTCCTTCAGGTACTTCATCAGAACTTCCACTGAGACACTTTCTCTCATCCCTAAAAGAAGGAGAATACAGTTACAGCCATGTTGTTTATCATGTAACGGCCTCAATCTGCAGCAGTTACAGAATAAACAAAAACTACAGCTATGGGCAGCAAATATGTCCACAATGGCAGACAAATTTTCACCTAAAGCTCTGCTGAACTCGCTGGAGTGAATGTCCACGTAATAGACGTGAGTCCCCAGCAGCCCGGTGACTTCAGGGGATGTCAGATAAACTGAGCTTGGACACAGGTACTTTTTCTCCGACTGTTCTTCTCGCTGTGGGCGATAAGCTGGAACCCATTCAAGTCGACACAAGGAGTGGTAGAAGGAGGACCTGGTGCTTCTGATTGGTCGTCCATCGCTGTCAATCACCTGGGCTGTGAGGTACTGAGAGTAGCGATGTCTGAAAGAAAGGTTGCAGGAGTTTTCAGTCCCTCTTTTCAGTGGGAAGAAACAGAATAATTGCTGACACAATGACAGCTTCTCTGAGATACATTTAAAATAGCACAGTATATTTTCAGAGGTCTGATTATTACAGTGTGTGTGGATGGCAACCACTTGAGTGGTAACTCAGTGAATCTCTTTTCACTTAGGATGACTCAACAAAGTGGCAGAATTGTGTGACCTACATTTCCCTGCGCTGCACGTGCTAAATGATCAGAGTTAATGCACTGAGAAATTCTCAGGTCAAACTGATCAGCGCAGTAGATGGCAGTTTCTCACCCCGTGCGCTTACAAGGCGTAAAAACTGAGTAAACAAATCTGAGCTTGTGCATGTTCATGACAGCCAGGCGTTTTATTTTAGTCCTTTCAAGTCACAGCTTACGTAAATACTTCTAGAGTCTCCTTTGTTTTTCTCTGACAACCTTCATGTCCTAATAAATTCCTCTGATAATGGTTTTTGTGACTGCACTCGGAAGAACCATTCAGTCCTTGGAATTTTCTGGACTGGCTCACCTTTATGTCTAAAAGTAATGATGGACTGTTGTTTTGTTGTGCTTACCTAATCAGTTCTTGCAGAAGCAGCAGCAAAACAGAACTACTTGCTGTAAACCAGCAGTACTACTTCAACACAACTGATGGTCTCGTTAGGAAGGCAAAAAATGTCACCAGCTAACCATAAAATCTCTTAACCTCTAAAAACTTAAACATTTAGATTGTTTTCCCATGAAAATAATCATTTTCTGTGTTAAAAGGTTTAGATGTAATTCTACACTTCCACTAGAAGGTGCAGATCCATGAAGCCCCTCAAACACTTAACACTGAGATTCTGAAGAAGAAGAATGATACAGAAACTAACACAAGCTGACAGGATTGGCTCCTTAAGTTTGCAACATATAAAACTCTGGAAGTCTGACTCTGTGTTTTTGAGACTGTGATTGGTACACTGCAACGCTCGGCCATGCTGCTGGCTGCTTATTTCACTCATGATGTTTCTTAAGTAAAAAATGTGAATTTCACCAAAAAGGATTCTAAATACGTAAATTAGCAACGGAAATTTGAAAGCACTTTATGTCAATATACCATATCAATAACAGTGACTTGACATTATTTGACGACCTCGGCACAACTGATGAACTCATTATAGAACTCCACCACTTAACTTTTAACAAGACTAACCTGTTAACTGGAAACGTGATTTTTGTGTTATTCTTTTCTTCCCACACAATCTTATGTGTTATTTCATAATGCTGTCAGCATTGTTCTGCTATGAGCAAAAAATAAAGAAAAGCACCTGACATTATAGGTTTGTTCAAACTTTTGATTAGTTCAGATGCACATTAGTACTTTTGTACTCATTCTGTATTTGACTTGAATATTTACTGTTCACTTGATTATAAGTGTTTTCGGATGACATTTATGCTGTTCTTAAGTAGGTCGGTGTAATAAAACTGAAACTCTTGATTGATTTAAAAATTGTGCCACTGATGTTTGGTAGCCACACCTGAACAGTGTGCCACTGAGAATGTAGACTAAGAAGATCAGGATGGTCACTTGATGCCATGTATTGGGAAATGGCTGCCAATCACAGAGCATAAAGGAGAAATGCAAAAATACTGGTGTGATCCTTTAATTATTCATCCAACTGTGAAATAAAAGAGTGGCTGGTAGAAAGGGTTGTACAGGACATAATTAAACTCTGCTCTGGCAGTGCTTACTGCTCTCCAGTATGAGTTTGTGAGCTTGGGTGACCTACTTACCTGAACTGCTGTACTCTACTCACACATCTACAACAGTAACTAACAAGATGGGGCCATAGTAAAAGCAGCTAAATCCACATTATTAATTTGATCTCCCTGACAATGTCATCCCAAACATTAGGCTGGAGAGTCTCTCAGGAGGAGCCTGTCAGCCAATGTTCCCACTTTACCCCAGTAATCACTTTACAGCCACAGTAGAAATAACAGGAATTACTACCTGACTCTGACAAACCCTAAAGCCATTAACATTGTCATTACTGTGGAAATGAGGTTTCCTAAACATAATACAAACCCCGTAAATGCACTCACTTCTAAAATGGGATAATCCTACTGGACAGAACATGACACAGGAAGAGAAGCATGTTAAGTGTGTGCCTTCCACTGTATTACCCAGTGTCCCAGTTGGTCTCCAGCAGCTCCAGCAAAGCCATTCTCTGCTGCAGCAGGAGGGAGCCGGGCAGCTGGGCTGTAGCCAAGGCATGAAACTCCTCGCAGGGGTAGTCATCGAGCACACAGCCCTCCCCAGGAGTTTGGTGCCACATTGCACTTTCAGCTGCCCAGGGACTGGAGGCCTGGCGGAGGAGGAGGAGAGGGAGAAGAATGAGCTTCACAGTTAACAATGACATCTCGCTTAAGTGTTCAAAGTCATCTGAAGCCAGTATGACTGAAATGCTCTACAGACGTTTTTTTGCAGGTTTGTACCAGACTGGACTGTTATGATTTTATTCTCTCTGGTATAACTCTGTCATCTATCAAACGCCTGAAAGCTGTCGAGTACACTGCAGCTAGAATCTAAAACAGAACCACAAAGTTTGATCACATCAAATCAACCCTGATCTCGCTCTACTGGCAGCTCATACAGAGACAAAGTGTCACCCTGAGCTACAGACCTCTGATTGGTCCAATGCCTGTTTGGTGTAAAACACAAATAAGAGTGTTTTCATCGTGTTATCATTTAATAACTAAAACAGTTATCAATGTTGTATAGACAATTTGAATTTTTTTTTTTAACTTGTTCCATGCTCTCACCTTGTCCTTATTATCTATCAATGCAGCTTTTGTACTGGGTACCACCATGAAGGGCAGCAATGACAACCATTCTCATTGTTTCATGAATCTGCAGATACTTCCCTTAAACGATCACAGAGTATGAAAGCCCTCTTGAGGCAAGAAAAAACACACACAAGGTCAGTCAGACTAAATCCTGTTATGTGCTAGTTTAAAAACAGATTAAATACTAATACTGACTAGAGACTAAGTGAGGTCAAAGTTCTGGCTCACATTCCCACATTTTTTACTTACCATTATTGTTTTTTGTTTTCTTATCATGTTTAACTTTTTGTCTCTGTTTGTCCTGGAACAATTCAGAAACTAGGGAATGTTTCCACACTTCTTCATCTTCAAATGTTTCTTGATACAATATATCAATTTACAAATCCTCACAATTGCTGAAACTAAGCAATGTTTGGCTTTTTTGTTTGAATAATTATTTAAAAGGTTTAAAGAATGATCTAAACTGGTGTCAGTTATTTTCATGAAAATAAACTGATCAGTGACTGACTGCTGAAGGTCCAATTAGTAGCTGTTTGAAAACTATTGTTCAACAGCAGATGACAAAAATGAATATTTTGACACCTACAGCTTCACAACAACCTGGAAATGTCCACCTGCTGATGAAAAGAATGTGACACCAAGGCCTGGAACAGCTACTAAATGGAACTTGTGATGTGATTGCTTTGTTCCTCAGTGTTAACCACAAATTAGGAAGGCCTGCCGTGTATTAAAAGATTTGATGATAGCGACCGATGTGATAAATGTCAATGTTGTTGTCGTCATTTGAAATGATTATACGAGTTTTATATGATATTTTAAGGAAGAACAATCTGTCTGTGCTATCTTTCCAATATTGCATGTAGGCAGCATCTGTCCCACAATGACTGATGGTATCATCATAAATCCACATATTATCCCCTGTAGCTGCAGCCCAGGCTAAAACAGGCATCAGGAATGTCTGACCTGCACTGCCTCTGTTCTGTCTGTGACACGTCCCATCAGTCACCTGCTTTTTCTGCTCATCCTCAAAGCAGCTATTGATCTCTCTAGTCCTGCTGTGACTCATAATCGTTAGTATCTTCATCCTTTAATCACTACCTTGTTTGTCATGATGACTCACAAATGCAGAGGAAGATTCTCGTCTCACTCTGGTCTCTGTGCAACCAGTAAATATTGTGGCCTTACACAACATATCAACAGCATTTTATAATTTGTGCTTACAGGTAGGGCTGTCACGACCATTTTCTAGTGTTTTCTGGCAAGTATAATTGCATCTTTGTAGCATGAGCTGAGTGTTATTCCTACATAGCTGAGGTAACAGTTCAGGGATGTCCTCCTCACCAGTTCTGTAGCAGTGAGTGTTTGTCTTTCTTTGCGAATCATGAGACCATCTCTGACTCCTAGTCTGCTGAACAGCTCTCTCCATCCTGCTACATCGCCGTCTGTCTCCACGTAGCAGGGACTCAGCAAGATCCAATCACAGCCTGGTGGAGGAGAAAGAGGATTTACGGTTGGAAGAATAATACAGAAGTGCTGTATGAAAACTAAAAAACCAGGAAAACTAAGATATGTAATGCAAAGGTAATGTGTCTCATTTACCTTTTGATATTGGTTATTCAGTCATTTAATCAAGGTCTAACATAGGTGCAATTAATCAGCTGTTTTATCACCAAAGGAAGGTTGTTGTCACACTGTGTATCCAATACTAACAGAATCAATGCCTTTGTGGTTTCTGGTAGAAAAGAGCTGAAGCCTCAAGGGATGAATCACATTGCAACACATTTATCAATAAGTCCAATAGAAAACAAAACGGGGCAAAAAGATCAGAGCTTCTACATTAACTGACTTGGAGCTTAAACAATGAGCTATTTTGACAATAAATTATATTTTTAAAGGTCATATATTGGGCCCCTTTTCAGCCAATTATTTAAAGTCTCACGCCCCTTGAAAGTGTCTTTTAAGTTTTTACAACTGGTAGTTTTTGATATCAACAATCAGATTTTTTTCATGAAAAGGAACCCCAGACGTGTTGAAACTGCTACGCTGTACAGGTCTCAGATTTGATCCCATTTCTAAATAAGACTGTTTCAGTGTCTGTATCCTTACATGCAGCTGAGCTGCTGCTGTTCATGCCCGCTTCAGGAAGAAGACTCTCTCTGCATCTACTCTTTTCAGTGACTGACAAAGTGGAACGCAGAACATTTGACATACTTTGCTCATGCATAAGACATTGAATTCTAAAAGCAGAGATCTGCGAAGGAGCATGCTTATGCAAATATTTAGCTTGATGACTTGTGATTACCCAGTTTCCACAGAGAAACTGGATAAAATTTTTACTGGTTTGCAAAGCTGGAGGGCTGGCTAGCCGAGGGGAAGTTGGAGGAATGGCAGTAGCAAGAATCTTAATATTCTAATAGGTTTTTTTTTTTTTACACCTCTTAAGCTGCATGTCCTGGAAGACATCAACATGGAAAATAAAAATCTACAATGCCAGATTTTTGTAGCAGCTACTTTGAACATACTGTATATGAGGAGAGAAAACCATGTATTTTGCAATATAATGTAGTGTAGAACACATGCATAAATACAGTGTTTTTTATATATATATATATATGTGAGAGCAATTATTATATAGTTTAGGTTTATTTTATTTTGTTAAATAAATATCTCAAGTGTCAACAAAAATCTGTGACGGTGACTATTTTTTAAACTTTCCAAAATGAGACTTTTTTTCATTCTAAGATGTGCAGCTGCAGTCACATGGAAATGTATTAGATGAGAACGTCAACATCAAATGGCTCAGATCATCAGGATGTCCTGATAAAATGCTGCAGCAGATGTCTTTAAAATGGGCAAAAGAGAACATCACTTTGTGTCTACACAGCTTCTCTTTCAGCTTTTCAAAGCACAGGTCAAGTGTTCTGATCCATTTTCCATGACAGGTTGTCCACTCTACTACCACTTACATAACACAAACACAAATGCGCTATTATGCTGGATACAATGGAGGCAAACCCTAACATAATCACTAACCACTTTCCTCAAAAAAGAAAATACATGCGCACACACACAAACACACAAAGCTGATGTCCGAAATTTACCCAGAAGAAAAAGGAAATGGCAGTTGAGGACAGTAAGAAACAAGCTTTGGTGATTGTTTTGGATATTTTGCTTTCTTGGCCAAACATGGGCAATGAACAATAACTGGGCGAGGAGAAGTGTTTGTGTTCAATAGTTTTCTTTTTACAGAAACAGTCCGTATGTGTGTTTATGTTTGTGTCAGTATAACAACTGTGGGTTTCTCCCTACCAGGCAGCTTCTTAGGCAGGTCCATGTTGCCGTACTCTTCAGAGAAGTGCACCCTTTCATTGGCCGGGCACAGCAGACCCCTGCAGGTCAGGACGGGTATTGCAATGTCGGAGTACTCCTGGCTGGAGGAGGAGTGCTGCTTGATGAAAACCAAGTAACTCACAATCACCGACTCAGGCTTGGACTTGTGGTGGACCAGGAGAGATGGGAACATCACAGAATGAAAAAGAAGAAGATAAAAGAGAGAAGGAAAGACAGATTAGATAGACTGTTGTTAGTAAGAAATTATCTTGTTTTTGAGGCATTTTCTCACACTGCAGTTGACACAGAAGTAGAAGCAGCTGATTTGGTGCAATGTGTGTATTACCTTCCATTTGTTGTTGCGTATTGAAGGGTAGATGTGCTGCTCCAGCACCTCTTGAGGCTCCAGCTCATGAACCCCAAGTTTTCTCAGCAGCTCTCGAATCTGCTGACTTTCCAGGGGCTCCAAACAGTTCAGCAGAGAGGGGTGAACCACGCTTACATCCTTGTACAATGCAGACAGTGGTCCTGTGAAAAGACAACAAACTGGATTAACACCAACAAACTAGAGCCATAAACGTAACAGGGGAGATGAAGCCTTTTGGGCTTTTCCAGACACGTTGCAGGTGATATCATGTCCACCAAGTTTTAGGTTTAAGAGTTCTTCTGGATGAACATTTTCATCAGACACTAGCAAGTGATATTCCAGTTTATTTCATAACTGACTTCCTCTTTAGAGATTCTTTTGCATCATATGTGAGGAGAAGCAGAACATTGTTACAAACTGTTAAATAGAGGACATTGTTTAGTAATGGTGTCCACTGTCATTTTGTCCTGGATTTGAGAAACACAATTTACATGGAGTCAGAATTTTTAGAATTTCCTAATTTCTTCTTAACTATTTCTTAGGAAATGTATGATTTTGACATAGTAGCATATAATCAAATAACTAAATACCCGTAACTAAAAACACTCCCTGACCTACTTTTCTACTTTCTGGGGCTGGCATCTGAAGGAACATTTCCCCGCTGATCTCTGTACTGCTCAATATTTCAGAAGCACACAGTGTTTAACTTTGCTGTCTTTCCGAAGCTATCACACTCATCTCTGTCCACTTGACTTCACCTTTAAGCAGAGCCTGAGGTTTGTGCTGCATTTGGCTTCACTTCTACAAGGCTGTTTCAAACTGAAATCACTGACCTGAAAAGTCAAGACTTCACTCCCGCCAATGTTATTTCCTGCTAACTTTCCCAGCATTCTTTGTTCTTCATCTGCGCTCAGTGACAAAGGGTCATGTATAATAATGAAGGGAAGTCTTCACATGTCTAATCTCAACAGCAAAATTCATGTGCTGCCATAATGGAGAATCTCTTTTATTGCTCTTAAACATCCAAGATGCATTTATTTAAAGGGTTGCTCCAGGGTTTTAGTATTGCCATTGCATAAATTATGTGACCCACAAGAGAGAATTTACAGTATGAAACAGAAGCAGCAGAGGCTAAGTCATCCTTATGCTTAATCCCTGAGAGGCCAAGCTTCTTGAAGCGGCCACTGCAAACACACACATGCTTGCAAACGTCAGATATTACGTAATTGTGGGACTGAAATCACTGCAGACTTTGTATAACCCCTTGTTGTTGACAGGCCAATCTGTGTGTAGATTGTAGAAGACGTACATTTTTGCTGTCCTGCTATTTTTGTTTACATTCAGTGTGCCTGCAGAATCAATGGCATCTCTGTATGTTAACTTTAATTGTTGAAGACAGAGTACACACCTGCAAAGATGATGCTGCACAAGTTTCTGAACTGAAGCATGCTGAGAGTTTTATGTTGGATCAAGTCATCATCTTTACATAGTCAAACTGTATATAGTCCTTATTAATTCTGTATTTTTTAGTCTAATTGTACTTTTTCCCCACTTATCTTGCTTCTTCTACGCTTCACTAGCTGCTGTACATGTCTTTAGTGAGGGATCAAAAAAAGTTTATCTTATATTATCTTCTGAAAATCTGATCTTACAGTTCCCATAATGCAACCAATACAAATTTTTTGTCCGACCCTCCCTGCCCGGTAAATACACCCTATCAAATGCTATATCAAAGTCTCGCCACTCAGCAGCCATCTTGATAACACCCCTCGATAGGTATGTGGGCAAACAACACAAGTTCCCTGATTAAACGAAAGGACAGAGAGAGACATAAATGTGATTTCACAGGACACTGGGACATAAAAATGTATGTATAGAAAACTGCTTAGAGATAAACTGCTTAAAAAGTTTTTTTCATTTTTACACACAGGTTTTCCTCTATTACACAGAGTTTCACAACATTGCGCAACAACACAACTGTCTGGATGATTCCTGGTTTGGCTATTACAAAGTAGAAGATTGGCTTGGGAAGGACATATTTGGCGTTACAGAATTCTCCCATAGATTTCTATTTAGAATTCTTTCAGTGACGAGTCTCTCCCCTATAACACCTTTGACCAGATCACCAGTTTGCAATACATGATGATGTCGACTTCATCAGGATTATGTTGTCAGACTTGATAAAGCACCCTTACAGACACAGAGGACATTTCAGAATGTTTCCAAACAGTGAGCCCTTCCTCCACTTGACAGCTACACTCATCTAAAATTCATTAAGTTCTCATTTAATGCAAAGTATGTTTACCTTAATACAAGATGTCAAATTAAAAATCTGCATCTTTCACTGATGTGAAATAGTTACTGTAAATCTGTGTAAATAGTCAGGTCTTTGTAAACATGGAACTGTCTGTGTAGATTCTCAGTCATCCATGTCATGGTGATCCTAAGTGCTTTAGCAGAAAGCAACTGAACGTTTCTTTCTAGTTCTTAAAGACATTTCACCTCTCATTCAAGAGACATCCTCAGTTCTATCTGACTGGCTGGAAGTCGAAGGGATTAATTCTCATAAGAAGGCACAAGGTTTGTTGAGAACCCAAGAGTCACATAAACCGAGGTGTGAATGACCGTGAAACCGCCTGGGAAATGATCACAGACATAGACATGTCATAGATGGCTCAGCTATCTCAGCCCTTATTCTGAAGTACAAGCTGCTTTGTATTAGATCCAGATTTAATCTGTTCTGTGATTTTGTTTATCAATACAGACACATATCAGTTTCATAATTATCCTTTAATGCAACTGCTCTGTTGTCAGATTGACACTTTGCTTGTCTGAAGTCATGCACACTCTTCTATGTAAAAAAAAAAAAACGTGAAATCACGTTATATCTAATTGTCTATTCTGATTAGGTTTATTGTTTTAGAAATCAATTACTGCAGAAAGCTGACTGGAATAAATGTACTTACGTGCCAGTAAATCCACCAATACCTTTTTATAGACTCAATAATTTACTCATTACCAGATATAATGAGTAATATAAATTATAATGAAATGAAAGTAACATTTTAGTGTATCTCTGTGATCCGATCAATCACTTGCCCTGATTTTAAATGAAAGACATCAGTGATGCTCACATGAAGCCCTGAAACCAGATGAGACAGAGTGCAGAGGAAGAACAGAACATACGCACTTTGAGTTGCTTATAGAGACACCAAACCACTTAGACTACATCATTATTAAAGCCAGCAGAAACTGCAGTGGCTTATGTTTAAATCAATTATTCATGCTTGCCATTCTAAACCTCTGCTTTGGGTACAGTTTTTGAATGTGATGACGCACAACACGGGTGGCGTTCCTCCACTTTTGTATGAGCCGCTGTGATCCAAGTAGCTGTACATCTGCTTATTCTTAGAAAGGGGTCAGGCTTGTCCGTAGACCGTATACAAGTCTGTCATACACCTACTTGGCTGCCCTGAATGTCTGAGGTGTTGACTTCTGAGAGCAGATACAGCTTTTGACGCAGATCCTTTCAGAGTTCAGAGACTTTCACATGAACCTAGTTTCTATACCTATTCAGACATCAGAAAGCAAAGTTTGACTCCGTTATACAAACTGTGTTACCATGACTGTGTACTGGAGTGCCTTCATTCAATCTAGCATTTTATTCAATGTGCTATTTTTACTTATGTTATGAAGTACCACAATAATTTCCAGCTTTTGCAAATATTTCACTGCTGAGCTTTATGAGCACAGATGGAGTGTTACATGTGCACCTCTCACAGTCACGAAGGTGATACATATTTATCTGTTTTTGTTTTTCTACATCAGTTTATCACATTTTTAGAAACTGGAAACCTGTGAAACTGTACCGTCCTATATTCCGACTGCTTTCTTTGCCCCATCTGCTGTGCTGGTTTGTTGTAGTTGTCACGATTGATTTAGCACTGTACAATCAGCACATGCACTTTCATATATTCTTTGCAGGTGCAGACTAACTATGTGCACAAAAACAGAGAAAAGGCACCGACACAGCTGTCTCCTACGCAGATTTCCAATTTTATAAGCTAATGTGTACTGGAACATACTCTTCAGCAATAATGCACTGTTCTGAGATCTAAGCTATTAATTTGGGGAGAGAGCCTATAAAAAAGCCAAGCTGTGAAATTTAAATACCTGTAACATGCAGTACTTTTACTGTAAATGTGTGCACACATACACAGGCACACAAACCATATTCAAATGCACTCACACCTTCACCTTTATCTGAGCTTGAACATGTGGTTGACATGTTGACATTTAGGAATAAAAAAACAGTAGTCCATTCTTAATAAAATACTTGGATAATGTTCTGTGAGGAAACAGTATGTTCAGAAGGCGACACTTGAACAAGATCTTAGTTTGCAACTGAATCACCAACCACATTCACAAGATCCAGCTTCTAATGGACAGGGGCAAGTTAGCTGTTAGCTACTGCTGCTAAAGTCATAGAATTACCTGCTTGAGCCTGAGCTTTCGTTTTCTTGGTCTTGGTCTCTTCCATGGGAAAGAACACTCCCTCTCCACTTAGTGCCACCACACGTCCGTCAGCCAGAGGGATTATGGGTAGATCTTTGAGGGTTTGCAAGATAGAATCTGCCTCTCCGTAGCCATGCTCAAGAGCTCGGAAGTTGCAAACCAGCAATCTGGCCAGCTGTCGCAGACCTCCATCTGGAATAAAGACACATTGCTGTTGTCCAAAACTTGCTGAAATATATTGTTCATCACACAGAATTTAGTCAGAATTACAGAGCAAATAGTCCTGCATAACCACAACTATCTACACAGTGCTGGACAATGGTCTGAAAAAAGAAGAAATAAAACACTCTGGTATGTTTGCTTTCCTTTAAACTAATCGCAGTCACTTAGGGCAGTGCGAAGCCCTGGATGTAGCTACAGTGCTTCTGCAAAACAGTGTTCAGAGGGAAATTCTTTTGTCCGAACATGTTGGAAAAAATGAAACCTCTTCAACTGGTGGGTAAACATTACATTTATGACTATCGACTACCAAGCAGGTCTGCATTTTCAGACAATCCAAATCTTGCATCAATCAATCACAACTAGCCATTTTCAACTTAAGGGTTGCTGCTCTGAGGTTGTTGTTTGCCATACTGAAGGGGCATTTCGGAAATACTAACACGTCCATAATAGGGGTTGTACGATGGCTGATACCTACACTCAACATCTGGTGAGTCAGATTCCAGAGCAAACACATGTAAATAGCTGTTTGTATCTAATGAATGCACACACAACAGAAAACAAAACAAAGATTTACATTTGTTTCATAAATAATATTAGTAGTTATTGTCTAAAAACCAGGGGCAGTGTTTTGAACACAAGTGGGTATATTAGACCATTAATGAAACAAATTACAGTAGCAAATTCATTCAATAGTAAATGTTTCATTGTTAGTTGTGTTGACGTTTTTTGTGAAAAAAAAAATACTCAAAATATTATTTTTAAAAAACAACTCAAAACTAAAAAACTACTACTCAAATATCAAAACTCATACTGTATTAAAGTAATTTATGCTGTCATCGTTAATTTTCCCACTGTCTGTGCTCACAGTTCTAATCTCACAGACATCATAATTAAAATATGATTGGCTAAATGTAATCAAAAGAAATTACTGAAAATGTTTTCTTTATATGATTACATGTATNGGGATAAATAAAGTATTTTTCATTTTTCATTTCATTTCAAAAGAACCTCCAGCATCCATAAATTTGACTCCCAGGATAAGCTTGATAAGCTTTTAAAGCTAAATTCCTCCACCAGAGATCTTAATTATAAATGTTTGAAGTTTTCTTGATTTAATGAAGGTTGAAAAAGATGAACATTATGACTTTGTTGTTGGTGCATGACCTTTATGCAGTTAGAACTCAGTTTGAGAGCAGGAGTGAATGTTGGGACACTTTCCAACACACATACCTGCAGATGTCCAGCTTGGAGTTGAGGTGATCTTTCTGGATGTAGAGCTCCTTCTCGTCCTTCAGCAGACAGATAACGTCCTGCAACTCTATCACTGCGTCTTCATCATCAGCAACTTCCAGCTGGTGGTGAATGTACAGCTTGCCCACCTGTAAACAATCCAACAGCAAGTTAGAACATACCTTCATTTTCAGCACTTATGCCTTTTGCTAAAGCCTCCTCACTCTCAAGTGTGTGCGAGTTCATAAGAGGATATTTTTAAGGTTAGTGTAGTTGTATGAACCAGAGCTAAACTAAACCTCAGAGAGTGACAATTAAAGTTGGGACACAAAGAGTGGAAAACAGGACTGACTGTCACATAATCATTTACTTCATGAGCTTGGTGATCTCAGACAAATCCACCGATGAGCTTTTTTCTTCACTTGAAGAATGCTCACACACAGCAGTCCCTAGCGCTGACTGCATAATGAGCTCCTGCCCAAGTAAATCAGCTGTTAATTACACACAAACTGAAAGACAGGCTGAGTGCAAATGTGCACTGCTCTTTTATGTTCGCAAATCTCCTGCTCTGGACAGAAGCAGCACAGACAGAGATGAAGGAGCTAAAAGGAAGTTCCGCCTGTTGAACAGATTGAATGTTGAATGTTGCCGTGATCACGGTGAAGAGATTCTTCCTAAACAAGGTCGTCAATATGTGTGCCTTTGGAAATGACTTTAAGAACTTGTCTAAATCAACCACACTGCCAAAACTCAACTCAAAAAATGAGCAAAAATTAAGGACATTTTACCTGAAATTGGCAAATGATCTGCCAACAAAACAGGATTTCTTAAAACCAGTCAAAATATTAAGCCTCAAAGAATGTAGATATCCTAAAACTAGTGCGCTCAGAATGAAAGCACTTAGAAAAATTAGTCTGGGTACAAAGAAAATATTTAAGAACCGGGGTGCCATGATAGCTCGACTGGTTGAGCTGGAGTCCCATGTTCAGGGGCTGTAGTCCTGGGTTCAAGTCCCGCTCATGGCCCTTTCCTGCAGGTCCTTCCCCCATTCTTCTCCCCCACTTTCCTGTCTTTCTCTCTCAACTTTCCTATTGAATTAAGGCAGAAAGGCCCCAAAACAAGAAAATATTTAAGGACTGTTTTCTCAAAATGTCAGAAAGCGATCATCTTGAAATAAGGCTACATACCCTGGAATATACAGCAACAAATAGCATACTGAGCTTTAAAGGGATTATTCCTCCTAGAGTAATGCATTACCACTAGAAATAAGATTGGCTTGCTAAAAGACAGAAATGAATCTAAATGCTGAAGAGAGCGCTGAGTCACTCTTAATGGATGTCAGTGAGACAGTTTGAGTTTCTCTTCACAGCTCTTTACTTTAAAAGACAAGCAGAGCATCACTCTGTGTACACTTATCAGTGATAACACGGACTGTCATCAAGCCAGCAACACACGGCACTCGTGGTGTCACAGCTCCACTACTCCAGCGTGAAGGTGAATAAGACACGACACGAGCAATTGAACTGTAAACACAATGAAAACAAACATAGAGCAACTCAGCATGACAGGACATGCAGAACATTTTAGCTAATGGCCTAAATTGCTGCTACAAACCCAAAAGTTCCCTGGCACTCAGCAATGCTATAAAATATCTCTTTACTTCGTTAGTGAGGACTCAAAGGCCATGTGTGCATGTTTAGGGGAGAACAAAGGATGCAAAGACAACATAAAGACCATTTGTTGTCAAACTGAAAATGAAATCAGGAGACTTATGGCAAGATAAACATAACAGTGCTTATAATAAACAACAAGCTTCCTGCCTATTTATTAAAGGTTACTGGATTGGTCACACGCAGTTCTGATGTCAGGACTTTGTTAAGTACAGCTTTTGTTCTGCATTGTATGTTATCTATGGACAACATAACTGCTCCAGTCTGGCTGTGGTGTAACAGTGAATTCCATGTGGTCAGCATCTGCTCTGATATGTGAAGAAATGAAAAGTATGAGATGTTTGATAAAAGAAATTCTGACTTCAAGAAATCCGCTTTGTACTTCTCAGTATTGATCCAACATCTTTTCAGGAGATTTTAGTTCCAAGTCATAAGCTACTCAGAAGCAGTAATAAAATGTCTTATTACTGAATTTTTATCACCTTGTTCCTATCACTATTTTATTATGCTAATTAGAGAACAAAAAAGTGAAATCCTCCACCAGAAATACCATATACTGTCTTAAGAGATTTCCTCTTACTCAGTTTGCACCATACTCCTTCAGATTGATCGTCTCACCTGCCCGAAGGAAAGGTGCTTGATTTTCTGTGCTATGTTGTTGTTCGTCAGCTCTGAGTAGACGTCATTCATCTCCTCGTGGTGGTAGAGGAACTTCTGGATGTAGGGGATAACTGAGCGCACCATGTCCTGCATGGACGGACAGGGTCTCAGGTTCTCAGTCTGAGGCTCAGACTTGACACACTTTGAAAGCTGACGGATTCCACAGATCTCCAGAAACAAAAACCTGTCCTTCTCATTGAAGTTAGGAACTTGTTCTCCTGAGGCTGCGTGACCTGGCAGGCAATCATACAACAACAGTCATAATCTTCATTTTTTTATTCAAGTGGTATTCTAACACGGACAACTAAAGAAGAATCAAGTGGCAGCAACATACCAAAGTTCCCAGTCCTGCTCTTGGGAGCAGCCTTCTTCTCTGGTGGTGGCAGGTTGAGCAGACACACCTGCTTGTGAGGTTTAAAGATCTTCTCCAACTCTTTGTTGTCACCAATCATGGGTTTACGAGCCAGACTCACCCAGCAGTTATCTTTGGTTGGGAAGACCCTTTTATCAGACACCATACCTGAACACAGAACAAAAAGGACAGACAGACTGAGTTCTAGACATTTAGCATACATCTTTTCACTTTGCTGGTGCACCTTCTAGATGATTATTAAAAAGCCATCAGGTACATTTTGATTGAAGTTTTTTTACAAATCCAACTGGTTACATGGATAAAATAAAGTATTATTGGAATTATAATTCCACGTAAAAGGAAATCACGAAGGCAGAACTGTAACAAATCAGTAGTTTGCCCTGTATTGAAAGAGGAAACACCAGTTGTATCTCCAATATCCAAATCTCATGGCAACTGTCTCCCAATACAACAGCTTCATGTTGTTTAGCTACCAACCCTGGTAAAGTACTAACATTAGTCCAGTCTTTATATCCATCAGTTAGCTTTGCTGTGTAATGTAAATAGCAGTTGGTGCCCCTGAACATTACTTCAGTTTCGTCTTCTCTCCAGTCTAGCCTTTGCCTCTAGTGGGAACCAATCATGAAGCCCAATAGAAGGTACGTCATTTGTAAACACAGGAACTCAAGCACAACTCAAACACATTTGGTACGTACACCTTTACTCTTTCTAAGAGCTTTGTGTCACAGCTGCTGTTGCAAGTGCTGACCATGTTATTGAGCGAGCCATACTGCAATAAATAACTTGCCATTGTTTTTAGAATAGTGGCATGCACCTGTGCCTTTCAAATGACGCACTATCTCTGCATCACGTCTTTGCCTCACACCTCCACTTCAACTCTTCCCAGGCATTGGGAGTGGGTGGGCGCCTCACAGTTCCAATTCCCCATTTTATGCCACTTTCAGGACACAGGGCAACACCAGGAACTGCTAAAAGCATGTTGTACATGACCCCGACTTCTGAAAGGAGGATTTTAAACCCACATAAAAGAGGCATTTTCCCCCTTCAGATGGTGTTTCTTACAGGCCCTGATTATATTAGCACTGCTGCGAACTCTGCTGCCACACATTCAATCACTTGCACTGCAGACAAGACAGTTAGCTATCTCAGTGCTGTCAGTCTCCAGTGTGAAGTATTTCCAGGCTGCAGCAACAAATTCTTGCCAGCTGCTTTTAAAACATGCGATGCACTGACAGGTGGTGGATGATGCTAGCTTGCCAAAGAAAGTCTATAAGACACACAAAATGGATAAAGGAATAAATGTTGTGTTTGCAACACATTCATTACTCACCTTTCAAAGTGGAGCAGTAAGCATGATTGAGTTTGTACTGAGGCATGTTTTCTTGGTCTCCAGATACTGGAGGTTTACACTTTTGAGCTGTAAAAATAGAAATATATGTATTATATTATCTAAGGACAGAGAACACAGGGAAGTTGTAGCAAGTGCAGCTAGTCAAAATGGAGACATAACAGTTGTTGAACAGAGAGATAATGAGCTGCAGACAGATGGGACATACGGAGTAAAGAATTGTGTGAGTCACTGAATGCAAGAAAATCTATCAAACAAAACACTGGCAATCGAAATGTCCTTACCAAGTCTGGCATAGAGCACTGACACATCCTGTAGCACTTCAGCAGTTGGTATGGGAGATGATGAACAGATCAGTTCCAACAAACCAACATACTGCTTCATGTTGGGGCTGGAATCCACATTCAGCAGCTATACATGAGATATATGGTAACAGATTCATAATTAGTGTGGTGTGGTATGTGGTTAATTAAAATGACAAACACAGAAAAGCTCCTTCATAGTAAATTAAACTGTTTGTAATTTGTTGTCTGGATATCCATCATAATCAGCAAGTGACGGACAAAACTCCATGTGCTAACCCACTCACAGGCCTTCTTTAGCAGCTCAGAGTTTATGTTAGCCGGCTAGCCGTGGCTAATAAAGTTCTCGATTTTGTTTACAAATTCAGCTGTGAAGTGTGATGTGTAGTAATCTGAGCAAATTTGTTCATAAATAATGTGGTTGGATCACATAATCCAGTCCTTGTTTTGATCTGGATCAAAGCTTCAGGATTTTTTTAGTGGGATCGAGATACCTGTGTTCCAAAAAATCACCCTGATCCTCAGCAGAAGGCTGGACTCAGGGTGGATTTCAGGAACAAAATGTAGTAAAACTTTGAAATCGGTGAAATCCTACAACATTGCATCATGTAGTGAATGCACATTTACTTAAAATGTTCACTTTATATGTTTAACCATTACAGTGAAAATGTTGACAAAATAGACAATAGGTTGTTTCTTAAGCCTTTAAAGTACACATATATATATTGTGCACATGAAATAATCTCCCAAACAGCTGCAAATATCAAAAGAAAATATTATACAATTAAACAGAAGTGCCATTCATCACTGTATACTTCTAATAATGACAAGATCTTTAGAAATGATTCATCAGAAATGATTATGTAATTGTGCCTCCTAAAGCAGAGCTTCTAAAGCTAGTCTCTCCACACACTAACTCTGAATGTTGTTTATTTTATTAACTAATGGAAATGATTCACCTTTTTAAGATATAAAACACATGTTCAAAATAGTCACAGTGTATTACTGAATTTATCTGTTGTGGTTCGGATGAGGGCTTTACTGTTTAAAAGGAACTGAAAATGAAAGGGGATGTTTGTACTATTTTGTTGTTCTTTTTTCCGACACTTCAAATAAAAACATTTTCTACCTGCTGTGCTTTCAAAGTAAGCCCACGTTGTAATATGTCGTCCCACTTAAAAGCACTGGTGATCTGGATTTGGGAACCATGAAAAGACTGTACTTGGATCAGAGTACAATGAATATTAGATACAATCCAGTGTTACTTTGAAAAACTAAAACAAAAGTCAGCTGGAATATCTGTTCCAGGATTTTTTCAGATGCAGATGAAACTTTTTGAACACCTGAATCCAGGAGCCGGCTTTTGCTTACCTCCGTCTGTAATCAAGGGACCATGAGAGCAGCATAAATCTGCCAATTTTATTATTGTGCTGTGTGAGATTTGGAAACTTAACAGCAGAGAGACGGGGCTTAGCAAGCAAACAAACAACTAAAGGAGTCCAAGAAACCATGATTCACTTTTAAACATGTGGTTAAATTATGTGAGCAGTCACAAAGACTACAACAGACCTTTTTTTTGGAAAAATAGTAACCTGAAATTGCCTTTAAAGGAGGCTTTACCCATTCAACCCACACCAACGGCAAACTCAATTTTGTGTCTGTCGTCAGAACTAAGTCTCTGACTGTCAGCAGGAGATGTCTAGACAAACTTCCTTCAGCTGACTGACTGACAGCACACATTTAATGGATAAAAGCAGTTTTCAAGTCGGCTCAGCAGGAAGAAATCAGCATTGTTTTGTATTGACTAGCTGGTTTATTGATTGAAAGTGAGACCACAAAGCTCGCAGTGACACTGGGAGCCTGATTAATGATTACACATACCATTACATTATTTCACAACATATAAATAGCAGGAGATTTATGTGATTGAAACAGCTGTCTGTGGAGATTAGGATTCACTCAGCACACCAGAGGACAGAAAAATAGATGTGTAGCATAAAAAAACACTCAGGGTTACTTTAATAGATAAGAAATCTGTTATGTGATACGGGCAAGGGACAGATGTAAATAAATGCTTCTACAAAGGCTTTCTGTGGGTATTGGCTGTAACAGAAGAGCTTACCCTGATGAAGAAGTCTTTCATGCCTTCCAGCTGGCTGTAGAAAGGAGCCAGGACTTTGGGCTCCTGGACAGGGCTGTCTTGTCTGTGAGTCAGCTGTTTGTAGCGGTGGAACATGGTTGTTGTGTCACTCCAGCAAACCTCTTTCAGGTGGTAGAAGCGTCCTGAACACCAGCCACCATTATGCCTGGGGAAGCAAAGATTCACTTGTGGCCTCAGGCGTTTAAATGTTGACATTAACCTGGAATAGTATGCTGGCACAGTTCATGACGCACCTGTTAAACTCTACGAACACAGCAGGAGTGTGCTGGAAGAGTTCCTTGAGGCTGCTCTGGGAACAGTTTGTATGCAGATAGGTGTAGACGTTGTGGATGTGCTCGACTGTGGAAGTGAAATTTGCCCCCTCTGACTCGTCCTCAGCGCGTCTCTGCTCCTGGTTATCTGTCTCTGGTTTGACGCACCACTCCTTCAGGTACTTCATCAGAACTTCCACTGAGACACTTTCTCTCATCCCTAAAAGAAGGAGAATACAGTTACAGCCATGTTGTTTATCATGTAACGGCCTCAATCTGCAGCAGTTACAGAATAAACAAAAACTACAGCTATGGGCAGCAAATATGTCCACAATGGCAGACAAATTTTCACCTAAAGCTCTGCTGAACTCGCTGGAGTGAATGTCCACGTAATAGACGTGAGTCCCCAGCAGCCCGGTGACTTCAGGGGATGTCAGATAAACTGAGCTTGGACACAGGTACTTTTTCTCCGACTGTTCTTCTCGCTGTGGGCGATAAGCTGGAACCCATTCAAGTCGACACAAGGAGTGGTAGAAGGAGGACCTGGTGCTTCTGATTGGTCGTCCATCGCTGTCAATCACCTGGGCTGTGAGGTACTGAGAGTAGCGATGTCTGAAAGAAAGGTTGCAGGAGTTTTCAGTCCCTCTTTTCAGTGGGAAGAAACAGAATAATTGCTGACACAATGACAGCTTCTCTGAGATACATTTAAAATAGCACAGTATATTTTCAGAGGTCTGATTATTACAGTGTGTGTGGATGGCAACCACTTGAGTGGTAACTCAGTGAATCTCTTTTCACTTAGGATGACTCAACAAAGTGGCAGAATTGTGTGACCTACATTTCCCTGCGCTGCACGTGCTAAATGATCAGAGTTAATGCACTGAGAAATTCTCAGGTCAAACTGATCAGCGCAGTAGATGGCAGTTTCTCACCCCGTGCGCTTACAAGGCGTAAAAACTGAGTAAACAAATCTGAGCTTGTGCATGTTCATGACAGCCAGGCGTTTTATTTTAGTCCTTTCAAGTCACAGCTTACGTAAATACTTCTAGAGTCTCCTTTGTTTTTCTCTGACAACCTTCATGTCCTAATAAATTCCTCTGATAATGGTTTTTGTGACTGCACTCGGAAGAACCATTCAGTCCTTGGAATTTTCTGGACTGGCTCACCTTTATGTCTTAAAGTAATGATGGACTGTTGTTTTGTTGTGCTTACCTAATCAGTTCTTGCAGAAGCAGCAGTAAAACAGAACTACTTGCTGTAAACCAGCAGCACTACTTCAACACAACTGATGGTCTCGTTAGGAAGGCAAAAAATGTCACCAGCTAACCATAAAATCTCTTAACCTCTAAAAACTTAAACATTTAGATTGTTTTCCCATGAAAATAATCATTTTCTGTGTTAAAAGGTTTAGATGTAATTCTACACTTCCACTAGAAGGTGCAGATCCATGAAGCCCCTCAAACACTTAACACTGAGATTCTGAAGAAGAAGAATGATACAGAAACTAACACAAGCTGACAGGATTGGCTCCTTAAGTTTGCAACATATAAAACTCTGGAAGTCTGACTCTGTGTTTTTGAGACTGTGATTGGTACACTGCAACGCTCGGCCATGCTGCTGGCTGCTTATTTCACTCATGATGTTTCTTAAGTAAAAAATGTGAATTTCACCAAAAAGGATTCTAAATACGTAAATTAGCAACGGAAATTTGAAAGCACTTTATGTCAATATACCATATCAATAACAGTGACTTGACATTATTTGACGACCTCGGCACAACTGATGAACTCATTATAGAACTCCACCACTTAACTTTTAACAAGACTAACCTGTTAACTGGAAACGTGATTTTTGTGTTATTCTTTTCTTCCCACACAATCTTATGTGTTATTTCATAATGCTGTCAGCATTGTTCTGCTATGAGCAAAAAATAAAGAAAAGCACCTGACATTATAGGTTTGTTCAAACTTTTGATTAGTTCAGATGCACATTAGTACTTTTGTACTCATTCTGTATTTGACTTGAATATTTACTGTTCACTTGATTATAAGTGTTTTCGGATGACATTTATGCTGTTCTTAAGTAGGTCGGTGTAATAAAACTGAAACTCTTGATTGATTTAAAAATTGTGCCACTGATGTTTGGTAGCCACACCTGAACAGTGTGCCACTGAGAATGTAGACTAAGAAGATCAGGATGGTCACTTGATGCCATGTATTGGGAAATGGCTGCCAATCACAGAGCATAAAGGAGAAATGCAAAAATACTGGTGTGATCCTTTAATTATTCATCCAACTGTGAAATAAAAGAGTGGCTGGTAGAAAGGGTTGTACAGGACATAATTAAACTCTGCTCTGGCAGTGCTTACTGCTCTCCAGTATGAGTTTGTGAGCTTGGGTGACCTACTTACCTGAACTGCTGTACTCTACTCACACATCTACAACAGTAACTAACAAGATGGGGCCATAGTAAAAGCAGCTAAATCCACATTATTAATTTGATCTCCCTGACAATGTCATCCCAAACATTAGGCTGGAGAGTCTCTCAGGAGGAGCCTGTCAGCCAATGTTCCCACTTTACCCCAGTAATCACTTTACAGCCACAGTAGAAATAACAGGAATTACTACCTGACTCTGACAAACCCTAAAGCCATTAACATTGTCATTACTGTGGAAATGAGGTTTCCTAAACATAATACAAACCCCGTAAATGCACTCACTTCTAAAATGGGATAATCCTACTGGACAGAACATGACACAGGAAGAGAAGCATGTTAAGTGTGTGCCTTCCACTGTATTACCCAGTGTCCCAGTTGGTCTCCAGCAGCTCCAGCAAAGCCATTCTCTGCTGCAGCAGGAGGGAGCCGGGCAGCTGGGCTGTAGCCAAGGCATGAAACTCCTCGCAGGGGTAGTCATCGAGCACACAGCCCTCCCCAGGAGTTTGGTGCCACATTGCACTTTCAGCTGCCCAGGGACTGGAGGCCTGGCGGAGGAGGAGGAGAGGGAGAAGAATGAGCTTCACAGTTAACAATGACATCTCGCTTAAGTGTTCAAAGTCATCTGAAGCCAGTATGACTGAAATGCTCTACAGACGTTTTTTTGCAGGTTTGTACCAGACTGGACTGTTATGATTTTATTCTCTCTGGTATAACTCTGTCATCTATCAAACGCCTGAAAGCTGTCGAGTACACTGCAGCTAGAATCTAAAACAGAACCACAAAGTTTGATCACATCAAATCAACCCTGATCTCGCTCTACTGGCAGCTCATACAGAGACAAAGTGTCACCCTGAGCTACAGACCTCTGATTGGTCCAATGCCTGTTTGGTGTAAAACACAAATAAGAGTGTTTTCATCGTGTTATCATTTAATAACTAAAACAGTTATCAATGTTGTATAGACAATTTGAATTTTTTTTTTTAACTTGTTCCATGCTCTCACCTTGTCCTTATTATCTATCAATGCAGCTTTTGTACTGGGTACCACCATGAAGGGCAGCAATGACAACCATTCTCATTGTTTCATGAATCTGCAGATACTTCCCTTAAACGATCACAGAGTATGAAAGCCCTCTTGAGGCAAGAAAAAACACACACAAGGTCAGTCAGACTAAATCCTGTTATGTGCTAGTTTAAAAACAGATTAAATACTAATACTGACTAGAGACTAAGTGAGGTCAAAGTTCTGGCTCACATTCCCACATTTTTTACTTACCATTATTGTTTTTTGTTTTCTTATCATGTTTAACTTTTTGTCTCTGTTTGTCCTGGAACAATTCAGAAACTAGGGAATGTTTCCACACTTCTTCATCTTCAAATGTTTCTTGATACAATATATCAATTTACAAATCCTCACAATTGCTGAAACTAAGCAATGTTTGGCTTTTTTGTTTGAATAATTATTTAAAAGGTTTAAAGAATGATCTAAACTGGTGTCAGTTATTTTCATGAAAATAAACTGATCAGTGACTGACTGCTGAAGGTCCAATTAGTAGCTGTTTGAAAACTATTGTTCAACAGCAGATGACAAAAATGAATATTTTGACACCTACAGCTTCACAACAACCTGGAAATGTCCACCTGCTGATGAAAAGAATGTGACACCAAGGCCTGGAACAGCTACTAAATGGACCTTGTGATGTGATTGCTTTTTTCCTCAGTGTTAACCACAAATTAGGAAGGCCTGCCGTGTATTAAAAGATTTGATGATAGCGACCGATGTGATAAATGTCAATGTTGTTGTCGTCATTTGAAATGATTATACGAGTTTTATATGATATTTTAAGGAAGAACAATCTGTCTGTGCTATCTTTCCAATATTGCATGTAGGCAGCATCTGTCCCACAATGACTGATGGTATCATCATAAATCCACATATTATCCCCTGTAGCTGCAGCCCAGGCTAAAACAGGCATCAGGAATGTCTGACCTGCACTGCCTCTGTTCTGTCTGTGACACGTCCCATCAGTCACCTGCTTTTTCTGCTCATCCTCAAAGCAGCTATTGATCTCTCTAGTCCTGCTGTGACTCATAATCGTTAGTATCTTCATCCTTTAATCACTACCTTGTTTGTCATGATGACTCACAAATGCAGAGGAAGATTCTCGTCTCACTCTGGTCTCTGTGCAACCAGTAAATATTGTGGCCTTACACAACATATCAACAGCATTTTATAATTTGTGCTTACAGGTAGGGCTGTCACGACCATTTTCTAGTGTTTTCTGGCAAGTATAATTGCATCTTTGTAGCATGAGCTGAGTGTTATTCCTACATAGCTGAGGTAACAGTTCAGGGATGTCCTCCTCACCAGTTCTGTAGCAGTGAGTGTTTGTCTTTCTTTGCGAATCATGAGACCATCTCTGACTCCTAGTCTGCTGAACAGCTCTCTCCATCCTGCTACATCGCCGTCTGTCTCCACGTAGCAGGGACTCAGCAAGATCCAATCACAGCCTGGTGGAGGAGAAAGAGGATTTACGGTTGGAAGAATAATACAGAAGTGCTGTATGAAAACTAAAAAACCAGGAAAACTAAGATATGTAATGCAAAGGTAATGTGTCTCATTTACCTTTTGATATTGGTTATTCAGTCATTTAATCAAGGTCTAACATAGGTGCAATTAATCAGCTGTTTTATCACCAAAGGAAGGTTGTTGTCACACTGTGTATCCAATACTAACAGAATCAATGCCTTTGTGGTTTCTGGTAGAAAAGAGCTGAAGCCTCAAGGGATGAATCACATTGCAACACATTTATCAATAAGTCCAATAGAAAACAAAACGGGGCAAAAAGATCAGAGCTTCTACATTAACTGACTTGGAGCTTAAACAATGAGCTATTTTGACAATAAATTATATTTTTAAAGGTCATATATTGGGCCCCTTTTCAGCCAATTATTTAAAGTCTCACGCCCCTTGAAAGTGTCTTTTAAGTTTTTACAACTGGTAGTTTTTGATATCAACAATCAGATTTTTTTCATGAAAAGGAACCCCAGACGTGTTGAAACTGCTACGCTGTACAGGTCTCAGATTTGATCCCATTTCTAAATAAGACTGTTTCAGTGTCTGTATCCTTACATGCAGCTGAGCTGCTGCTGTTCATGCCCGCTTCAGGAAGAAGACTCTCTCTGCATCTACTCTTTTCAGTGACTGACAAAGTGGAACGCAGAACATTTGACATACTTTGCTCATGCATAAGACATTGAATTCTAAAAGCAGAGATCTGCGAAGGAGCATGCTTATGCAAATATTTAGCTTGATGACTTGTGATTACCCAGTTTCCACAGAGAAACTGGATAAAATTTTTACTGGTTTGCAAAGCTGGAGGGCTGGCTAGCCGAGGGGAAGTTGGAGGAATGGCAGTAGCAAGAATCTTAATATTCTAATAGGTTTTTTTTTTTTTACACCTCTTAAGCTGCATGTCCTGGAAGACATCAACATGGAAAATAAAAATCTACAATGCCAGATTTTTGTAGCAGCTACTTTGAACATACTGTATATGAGGAGAGAAAACCATGTATTTTGCAATATAATGTAGTGTAGAACACATGCATAAATACAGTGTTTTTTATATATATATATATATGTGAGAGCAATTATTATATAGTTTAGGTTTATTTTATTTTGTTAAATAAATATCTCAAGTGTCAACAAAAATCTGTGACGGTGACTATTTTTTAAACTTTCCAAAATGAGACTTTTTTTCATTCTAAGATGTGCAGCTGCAGTCACATGGAAATGTATTAGATGAGAACGTCAACATCAAATGGCTCAGATCATCAGGATGTCCTGATAAAATGCTGCAGCAGATGTCTTTAAAATGGGCAAAAGAGAACATCACTTTGTGTCTACACAGCTTCTCTTTCAGCTTTTCAAAGCACAGGTCAAGTGTTCTGATCCATTTTCCATGACAGGTTGTCCACTCTACTACCACTTACATAACACAAACACAAATGCGCTATTATGCTGGATACAATGGAGGCAAACCCTAACATAATCACTAACCACTTTCCTCAAAAAAGAAAATACATGCGCACACACACAAACACACAAAGCTGATGTCCGAAATTTACCCAGAAGAAAAAGGAAATGGCAGTTGAGGACAGTAAGAAACAAGCTTTGGTGATTGTTTTGGATATTTTGCTTTCTTGGCCAAACATGGGCAATGAACAATAACTGGGCGAGGAGAAGTGTTTGTGTTCAATAGTTTTCTTTTTACAGAAACAGTCCGTATGTGTGTTTATGTTTGTGTCAGTATAACAACTGTGGGTTTCTCCCTACCAGGCAGCTTCTTAGGCAGGTCCATGTTGCCGTACTCTTCAGAGAAGTGCACCCTTTCATTGGCCGGGCACAGCAGACCCCTGCAGGTCAGGACGGGTATTGCAATGTCGGAGTACTCCTGGCTGGAGGAGGAGTGCTGCTTGATGAAAACCAAGTAACTCACAATCACCGACTCAGGCTTGGACTTGTGGTGGACCAGGAGAGATGGGAACATCACAGAATGAAAAAGAAGAAGATAAAAGAGAGAAGGAAAGACAGATTAGATAGACTGTTGTTAGTAAGAAATTATCTTGTTTTTGAGGCATTTTCTCACACTGCAGTTGACACAGAAGTAGAAGCAGCTGATTTGGTGCAATGTGTGTATTACCTTCCATTTGTTGTTGCGTATTGAAGGGTAGATGTGCTGCTCCAGCACCTCTTGAGGCTCCAGCTCATGAACCCCAAGTTTTCTCAGCAGCTCTCGAATCTGCTGACTTTCCAGGGGCTCCAAACAGTTCAGCAGAGAGGGGTGAACCACGCTTACATCCTTGTACAATGCAGACAGTGGTCCTGTGAAATAACAACAAACTGGATTAACACCAACAAACTAGAGCCATAAACGTAACAGGGGAGATGAAGCCTTTTGGGTTTTTCCAGACACCATAGGGTTGCAGGTGATATCATGTCCACCAAGTTTTAGGTTTAAGAGTTCTTCTGGATGAACATTTTCATCAGACACTAGCAAGTGATATTCCAGTTTATTTCATAACTGACTTCCTCTTTAGAGATTCTTTTGCATCATATGTGAGGAGAAGCAGAACATTGTTACAAACTGTTAAATAGAGGACATTGTTTAGTAATGGTGTCCACTGTCATTTTGTCCTGGATTTGAGAAACACAATTTACATGGAGTCAGAATTTTTAGAATTTCCTAATTTCTTCTTAACTATTTCTTAGGAAATGTATGATTTTGACATAGTAGCATATAATCAAATAACTAAATACCCGTAACTAAAAACACTCCCTGACCTACTTTTCTACTTTCTGGGGCTGGCATCTGAAGGAACATTTCCCCGCTGATCTCTGTACTGCTCAATATTTCAGAAGCACACAGTGTTTAACTTTGCTGTCTTTCCGAAGCTATCACACTCATCTCTGTCCACTTGACTTCACCTTTAAGCAGAGCCTGAGGTTTGTGCTGCATTTGGCTTCACTTCTACAAGGCTGTTTCAAACTGAAATCACTGACCTGAAAAGTCAAGACTTCACTCCCGCCAATGTTATTTCCTGCTAACTTTCCCAGCATTCTTTGTTCTTCATCTGCGCTCAGTGACAAAGGGTCATGTATAATAATGAAGGGAAGTCTTCACATGTCTAATCTCAACAGCAAAATTCATGTGCTGCCATAATGGAGAATCTCTTTTATTGCTCTTAAACATCCAAGATGCATTTATTTAAAGGGTTGCTCCAGGGTTTTAGTATTGCCATTGCATAAATTATGTGACCCACAAGAGAGAATTTACAGTATGAAACAGAAGCAGCAGAGGCTAAGTCATCCTTATGCTTAATCCCTGAGAGGCCAAGCTTCTTGAAGCGGCCACTGCAAACACACACATGCTTGCAAACGTCAGATATTACGTAATTGTGGGACTGAAATCACTGCAGACTTTGTATAACCCCTTGTTGTTGACAGGCCAATCTGTGTGTAGATTGTAGAAGACGTACATTTTTGCTGTCCTGCTATTTTTGTTTACATTCAGTGTGCCTGCAGAATCAATGGCATCTCTGTATGTTAACTTTAATTGTTGAAGACAGAGTACACACCTGCAAAGATGATGCTGCACAAGTTTCTGAACTGAAGCATGCTGAGAGTTTTATGTTGGATCAAGTCATCATCTTTACATAGTCAAACTGTATATAGTCCTTATTAATTCTGTATTTTTTAGTCTAATTGTACTTTTTCCCCACTTATCTTGCTTCTTCTACGCTTCACTAGCTGCTGTACATGTCTTTAGTGAGGGATCAAAAAAAGTTTATCTTATATTATCTTCTGAAAATCTGATCTTACAGTTCCCATAATGCAACCAATACAAATTTTTTGTCCGACCCTCCCTGCCCGGTAAATACACCCTATCAAATGCTATATCAAAGTCTCGCCACTCAGCAGCCATCTTGATAACACCCCTCGATAGGTATGTGGGCGAACAACACCAGTTCCCTGATTAAACGAAAGGACAGAGAGAGACATAAATGTGATTTCACAGGACACTGGGACATAAAAATGTATGTATAGAAAACTGCTTAGAGATAAACTGCTTAAAAAGTTTTTTTCATTTTTACACACAGGTTTTCCTCTATTACACATAGTTTCACAACATTGTGCAACAACACAACTGTCTGGATGATTCCTGGTTTGGCTATTACAAAGTAGATGATTGGCTTGGGAAGGACATATTTGGCGTTAGAGAATTCTCCCATAGATTTCTATTCAGAATTCTTTCAGTGATGAGTCTCTCCCCTATAACACCTTTGACCAGATCACCAGTTTGCAATACATGATGATGTCGACTTCATCAGGATTATGTTGTCAGACTTGATAAAGCACCCTTACAGACACAGAGGACATTTCAGAATGTTTCCAAACAGTGAGCCCTTCCTCCACTTGACAGCTACACTCATCTAAAATTCATTAAGTTCTCATTTAATGCAAAGTATGTTTACCTTAATACAAGATGTCAAATTAAAAATCTGCATCTTTCACTGATGTGAAATAGTTACTGTAAATCTGTGTAAATAGTCAGGTCTTTGTAAACATGGAACTGTCTGTGTAGATTCTCAGTCATCCATGTCATGGTGATCCTAAGTGCTTTAGCAGAAAGCAACTGAACTTTTCTTTCTGGTTCTTAAAGACATTTCACCTCTCGTTCAAGAGACATCCTCAGTTCTATCTGACTGGCTGGAAGTCGCAGGGATTAATTCTGTTAAGAAGGCACAAGGTTTGTTGAGAACCCAAGAGTCACATAAACCGAGGTGTGAATGACCGTGAAACCGCCTGGGAAATGATCACAGACATAGACATGTCATAGATGGCTCAGCTATCTCAGCCCTTATTCTGAAGTACAAGCTGCTTTGTATTAGATCCAGATTTAATCTGTTCTGTGATTTTGTTTATCAATACAGACACATATCAGTTTCATAATTATCCTTTAATGCAACTGCTCTGTTGTCAGATTGACACTTTGCTTGTCTGAAGTCATGCACACTCTTCTATGTAAAAAAAAAAAAACGTGAAATCACGTTATATCTAATTGTCTATTCTGATTAGGTTTATTGTTTTAGAAATCAATTACTGCAGAAAGCTGACTGGAATAAATGTACTTACGTGCCAGTAAATCCACCAATACCTTTTTATAGACTCAATAATTTACTCATTACCAGATATAATGAGTAATATAAATTATAATGAAATGAAAGTAACATTTTAGTGTATCTCTGTGATCCGATCAATCACTTGCCCTGATTTTAAATGAAAGACATCAGTGATGCTCACATGAAGCCCTGAAACCAGATGAGACAGAGTGCAGAGGAAGAACAGAACATACGCACTTTGAGTTGCTTATAGAGACACCAAACCACTTAGACTACATCATTATTAAAGCCAGCAGAAACTGCAGTGGCTTATGTTTAAATCAATTATTCATGCTTGCCATTCTAAACCTCTGCTTTGGGTACAGTTTTTGAATGTGATGACGCACAACACGGGTGGCGTTCCTCCACTTTTGTATGAGCCGCTGTGATCCAAGTAGCTGTACATCTGCTTATTCTTAGAAAGGGGTCAGGCTTGTCCGTAGACCGTATACAAGTCTGTCATACACCTACTTGGCTGCCCTGAATGTCTGAGGTGTTGACTTCTGAGAGCAGATACAGCTTTTGACGCAGATCCTTTCAGAGTTCAGAGACTTTCACATGAACCTAGTTTCTATACCTATTCAGACATCAGAAAGCAAAGTTTGACTCCGTTATACAAACTGTGTTACCATGACTGTGTACTGGAGTGCCTTCATTCAATCTAGCATTTTATTCAATGTGCTATTTTTACTTATGTTATGAAGTACCACAATAATTTCCAGCTTTTGCAAATATTTCACTGCTGAGCTTTATGAGCACAGATGGAGTGTTACATGTGCACCTCTCACAGTCACGAAGGTGATACATATTTATCTGTTTTTGTTTTTCTACATCAGTTTATCACATTTTTAGAAACTGGAAACCTGTGAAACTGTACCGTCCTATATTCCGACTGCTTTCTTTGCCCCATCTGCTGTGCTGGTTTGTTGTAGTTGTCACGATTGATTTAGCACTGTACAATCAGCACATGCACTTTCATATATTCTTTGCAGGTGCAGAGTAACTATGTGCACAAAAACAGAGAAAAGGCACCGACACAGCTGTCTCCTACGCAGATTTCCAATTCTATAAGCTAATGTGTACTGGAACATACTCTTCAGCAATAATGCACTGTTCTGAGATCTAAGCTATTAATTTGGGGAGAGAGCCTATAAAAAAGCCAAGCTGTGAAATTTAAATACCTGTAACATGCAGTACTTTTACTGTAAATGTGTGCACGCATACACAGGCACACAAAACATCTTCAAATGTACTCACACCTTCACCTTTATCTGAGCTTGAACATGTGGTTGACATGTTGACATTTAGGAATAAAAAAACAGTAGTCCATTCTTAATAAAATACTTGGATAATGTTCTGTGAGGAAACAGTATGTTCAGAAGGCGACACTTGAACAAGATCTTAGTTTGCAACTGAATCACCAACCACATTCACAAGATCCAGCTTCTAATGGACAGGGGCAAGTTAGCTGTTAGCTACTGCTGCTAAAGTCATAGAATTACCTGCTTGAGCCTGAGCTTTCGTTTTCTTGGTCTTGGTCTCTTCCATGGGAAAGAACACTCCCTCTCCACTTAGTGCCACCACACGTCCGTCAGCCAGAGGGATTATGGGTAGATCTTTGAGGGTTTGCAAGATAGAATCTGCCTCTCCGTAGCCATGCTCAAGAGCTCGGAAGTTGCAAACCAGCAATCTGGCCAGCTGTCGCAGACCTCCATCTGGAATAAAGACACATTGCTGTTGTCCAAAACTTGCTGAAATATATTGTTCATCACACAGAATTTAGTCAGAATTACAGAGCAAATAGTCCTGCATAACCACAACTATCTACACAGTGCTGGACAATGGTCTGAAAAAAGAAGAAATAAAACACTCTGGTATGTTTGCTTTCCTTTAAACTAATCGCAGTCACTTAGGGCAGTGCGAAGCCCGGGATGTAGCTACAGTGCTTCTGCAAAATAGTGTTCGGAGGGAAATTCTTTTGTCGGAACTTGTTGGAAAGAATGAAACCTTTTCAACTGGTGGGTAAACATTACATTTATGACTATCGACTACCAAGCAGGTCTGCATTTTTGGACAATCCAAATCTTGCATCAATCAATCACAACTAGCCATTTTCAACTTAAGGGTTGCTGCTCTGAGGTTGTTGTTTGCCATACTGAAGGGGCATTTCGGAAATATTAACACTTTCATAATAGGGGTTGTACGATGGCTGATAGCTGGACTCAACATCTGGTGAGTCAGATTCCAGAGCAAACACATGTAAATAGCTGTTTGTATCCAATGAATGCACACACAACAAAAAACAAAACAAAGATTTACATTTGTTTCATAAATAATATTAGTAGTTATTGTCTAAAAACCAGGGGCAGTGTTTTGAACACAAGTGGGTATATTAGACCATTAATGAAACAAATTACAGTAGCAAATTCATTCAATAGTAAATGTTTCATTGTTAGTTGTGTTGACGTTTTTTGTGAAAAAAAAAATACTCAAAATATTATTTTTAAAAAACAACTCAAAACTAAAAAACTACTACTCAAACATCAAAACTCATACTGTATTAAAGTAATTTATGCTGTCATCATTAACTTTCCCACTGTCTGTGCTCACAGTTCTAATCTCACAGACATCATAATTAAAATATGATTGGCTAAATGTAATCAAAAGAAATTACTGAAAATGTTTTCTTTATATGATTACATGTATTGATTCTGAAAAGCTGATATATTATTATTATTATTATTATTTTTACAGTAAACACACACAACACTGGTCTGTACACACCTGAATGGATACCCTCCACTCTCATCAGCTCCTTGGCCATGGCTGTGGTTACCGTGGTAACATCTGATCCCCGCAGATGTCGGACTCCCAGGTGAGTGAGCAGGGAGGTGGGTGGGGCAGGGCTTAGACCCGGATGGAGATAGGACAGAGACAGATGCCTTTCCAGCTCATCTCCACCAATCACGTTGCGGATCACGGCGTCCTGACAGACGGCCACCTGGGACGGCAGCTTGTACACAACCTTACCGTCTGAGAAAGGCGGCATGGAGAAGAACAGTGTTAGACACAGTGTTTTCAAATTCTCACGTCTTTTTCAAGGTTTTCATTTGCACGGCCTGCAGGTGTGAGGAATACCTGAGCTGAGTGTAGGCAGGAAGGCTTTGCCTTTGAGCAGCTGAATGATCTGGCCGGCAACAGGCTTGAAGAAGTCCAGCACCTCGTCAGGTAGGGGAACAAACTGTAGGAACTGGCAAAGGCCCTTAAGCCCCTTGAACTCTGGGTGATCCTGGAACAAGGACATGACAGGACAAAAGACAAACAATGACATTACTCTGTCGTGTTTTGGATGTCCTGTGGCAAACTTTTCATTTACTTCAGCTACAGAAAGAACCAGGCTGATATTAACGATATTTTCAATTTTCCCTTTAATATACATTTATTTTACAGAGATTTTATCATATTTTTTAAAAACCTCCCTGACGTTACTGGCTTGATTCACTTATTAAATAGTACTTATGTCTGTAGTCATTTCTATTTACCAATTTGCAGTCACTTCCTATCCAGATACTTCACAGTAAAGGTCCTTAAAATGTACACCAATCAGCCACAACGTCAGCACCACAGACAGTTCAAGTGAATGACATTTATCATCTCGTTACAATGCAATTTTCTGTCAGGAAGCCTTGCGTCGTGGCTTCCATGACGATGTTAATTTGAAATCTACGACCAAAAGTTTAACCAAAAGGTTTTTATTGCTCCTAATTTTTGGTAATTGCTCCTAATTTTGCTGAGGAAAAATTCTCCTTTCCTGTCATTTGACTTGAGGTTTATATACACCTACTGCCCATGTTATAATATTATATATCATATACTAAAATGCTCTGGCCCTGTCCTAGTCACTGGTAAATCTAATATCATCTGTTTCTTTATGTTTCCTACATTACATTTTTAAATAATCTACATTCTTTCCAAGGATCATTAAGCATCTCATCTGCAATTTTGTCTTACAGTGAAGACGTCCATAGCCTGGAGGAAGAGTTGTGGTATTTCAGATCGCAGCCACTGGTTCCAGGAGCTGTCTCTGTCAACGTCTTCACGAGAGGAAGGAATGTCGAAGTCACCTAGAAGAGAAAAGGGCATCAATTAGTGACACAACTTTTTCTTTAAGCAAACAAACTGCGTTCATAAATAAACTGCTCTGTGATCTCTGTCTCGATTCTCACCTTGGATGATGAAACGAAAACCGAAACTGCGAAGGGGCAGGTAAGCAAACACGGGTTGCTTCTGAGGCTGGCATACAATGTCGCCTCCTGTGATGTCGCTGCCAAGCTGGAAAGCCAGAGCCAGTTCGGTCGACTCGACGTCCTCTTTGATCTGAAATCAATGTCACAACAGATGCAACAGCTCACAAACAGGATGGTTTCCTCAAGAAATGGATCTTGGTGTCTATTAACTGAACGCTGATGCTGATGGAAAACTAGAGCACAGAATGTACAAAAATTGCAAGAAATTTTTTTTCCCCCTCACTCAGCTTTGTTCTTTCTCTTACATAACCTAACAGCAGGTAACGGGTGGCTGCCTATGGGAAATAGAAGAAGGAAAATAGCTAGGAAAGAAAGAGTAGCAAGGATTATGGAGTCGTTTCAGCCTGACAGATCATTAAAATCTGTTTGGTGGCCTTTATGTGCTTGTGTGTGTGAAAACCCTGCCTAATGAGTGAGTTTTCACAAAGTCTAATGACAAGCAGAGAGGGAAAGACCTTTGAGAGGCAGAATGAATGACACTTATAAAGCCCAAAAATGAGCATGTCAGAGAAATGCAAAGCTCCAGTGGATTTTTTTAATGCCCCAGGAGGAACCGAGCGCACAAACAGATGCCAACTTGTTGTTCTGAAACCCAAATACTATATGAGCGGCTGGAAACAAAGGAGCAGGAAGAGATGGGAGTTAATGTGTGCGTCACCTTCTTGGGCTTGAGTGTGGCTTTGACTACTAGCCAGCGCTCCAGGCCCTCCGTGTGCGCCACCTCCAGCACATTGTGACTGAGGTCTTTACGAGTCATTGTCACATGACGTTTCTCACTCTGTCGACAGAAAACAATACAGGAGAACGAATTAGAAGTCATTTTTACTAAATCCTTTAAGGCTGGTTTATATTCACATCTTACATTGAGGGCAAAAACACAAACGCACAGTTTCTTTGGTATGGAAAAATGACTTACCTGATTGTAGATGGTGATGGAGCGCAGGCGGTGCAGGAAGAGCAGCAGCGATGGGTGCACGTCATGAAACAGGTTTCTGGTCTGACGGTTTTCACAACGCAGAGGAAGGCTGATTTTAGTGGTCCAGCTGTTGGAGAAAGAAATGATATGACCAACACACTATTAACACAGTTACCCCTTTACATACTATTTCGTCTCAAATTTGACAGCAGTAAAAATAACCTAAACATCATTCTTGTAGCCTGAAATTTGCTGATTTTTCCTAAAGTGACTCAAAAAATGTTATACTTTTGTAAAAGTGCTACAAGTGTTTGTACACTGAGGCTGCTTCTTGTCAAATTTGATCCGTATCAACTAAGATAGATTTGAGGTCAAATCAAGGAAGATGGTGGTTTTAGGGAATCTTGAAACTGTGAAACTGTACATCCCATGTTTTATGTGTATTTTTTATTTACATTCATCAATGTGACATAGGCTATTTAGACAATTTAAATAGATCTGTAATTTAAATAGACACTTGCTATGAGGGAATTCTTGACAGGAATTCTTCATAAAGGCATAAAATATTAACAGTATGTAAGGGTTAACTACCTAAAAGTACAGAAACTACAGCCAAAACCAACCCCAGAGGTGGGTGAAGATGGACAAGGCCAAAAATGTTTCCTAAAGTTAAAAGTCTGCAGATTGGCAGCAGCAGCTAGTAATACATTGTCGAAATGAATCTGTCTGTTTCTTGAGGCAGTGGAGAAATATACAGAAGCTGTCTTGTAGAACTGCAATGTGTGAAGAGCTCCTTGTTTTGGATTTTAGTTCAAATTTTGAATGCTTTTAAACATAAGGATACCATTGTTTTCAGGATAATGCAATGGTAAGAGTCCTACAATATTTATGTTAACGGCAACAGTTCCAACCATTTTAACCTAATGTTAGAGATATTCAGTTTGGCCTGGCAGAGTACATGGGAAGGTTAAGATGCAATCACAGGCACAAACCATTGAAGCAAAGTTAAAATGTTCTGTTTTTGCAGTTGGTACCAAAACCTGGCACCATGATTTGGCAGTCATGGCGTTGGAACCCAGAATAGAAAAGCAGATTTATTTAGGCTGCAGTTTGTAATGCCGTTTTTGTAAACAGTGTAATAATTAAAGCTGGTGCTTTTTGGCATCAATGGGCAAAAATTCTATGTTAACCTTTCAGCATATTGTAACTCAAGTTTATAGGATGACGGAACATTTAAGGTAGGAACAGGCTTCACCCAGAGCAGGTGGGAAAGTATAAACAGCAGAAAGGCCACCGTGAATATGGGAATGTGGTGGAGCAATGGATTAAACAAAGGACTTTCATTCAGGATTAAGGGGTTTGAATCCCAGCTGAAGCCACAAAAGAGAGTTTGCTTTAACTTCAATCTTAAAATATGATTTTGGCATTAATAAACAAGCCTTTTGTCACAGACTACAGTTGGACTTGTCACAGTAGAAAAAAGCTGCAAATTATAAAATGAATTTCAGTTAGCTGCTTCCGTTTCAGGGTCCTGGGACTGTGCATGTTGGACAACTGTCAAGTCCAAATGTCTGCTGTGAAAAAGGTCTATTTTGTCTCAATCAATCATCCAACCTGTGGCGATTGATGTCTTCCAGCTGTGCGTCCAGAGGCCTCCCATTCTCAGTCCAGTGGGGGAGGATGTATCCCATCGGACCGCAAGTCTTGTCAAAGCGCAAGTGGAAGCCATTGGAGTGAATCTCGGGACAGTCTGTGACCTTGAACACCGACTTGAAGCCAATCCCTTTTTGTCCTATAACAAGTAGTGAAACATAAGTATTAAGACACCAATGGTAATGACTCCAGCTTCACACATACTCAAAACATTTTATGCAACACCTGAATGAACAGTATTAAACAACAGTCCATTAACCTGCGTCTGATGATTTAACAGTCAAACAAATGGAATTATTTGAGACATCATGCACATAGTTACCAATGTATCCGTATTTGTGTTTGCCCTTGGTGCTCTGGCCTACGTCACAGATGGCTCTGATGTTCTTCTCCTGGAAGCCGGTCTCATTGTTGAGGACGGTGATGCAGTCTCTCTCCACCACAAAGGCGAGCGCTGGAACGACACCGGCGTCCGATGGATAACTGTTGTCATCAGCATTCTGAAAAAAAGGAAAAAGAAGCAGTTAAAACAGCTAGAAATGTTTAAAATGAAAGACAAACTCCAAAGTAAATTAAACTTTGGGGTCAACCAGTACTGTTGTTTCAGGACCAAAACCAATCATTAGTAATCGTAATACTGTTTATTAACATTTAACATATCTTTAATTAAAAGAGAACTTTTCAACATGTATCCTTCTGTGTTGATTGGCTATTAGTCCTGATGTGTAGCCAATCTAATAGTGCCAGGTGGGATGTTGCTTGACTACAGATAGACATCTGCATCTGAGTCAAAGAAGCATGTCTTCAAATTATTTTATTTGATCAGAAATTAGTTTAAAGAGATAATGATGATCAGCCAGGCCGATGATTGGTCAACCCCTTATCAAAATCTAAGGTGGCCTTTTCCTACACAGATTTTCAGTCAAACTTGTTTTTAATATCAAATAGCAAAACATTAAAAAATGTTTTTCTTTTCTAAGTGCTAAGTATAATTTTGCTCTTTTTTATTTATTTATTTTTAATTTAACTAAGTGTCATAATAACTGAGCATTTGTCAACATTTTGTATGATTTTATTTTAGCTCTATCTTTAGGGGTGTAAATGAACTAGAAACCACCTGAATGAGTTCCAGGACAAAGTGTGTGTCTTTGCTGTAGAGTTCAGTAGAGAGGCGGTCCAGGCTGCGGCCCAGTCTCTCCTGGTGGACCTGCATCAGTTTCTGGCCTTCAGCGGTCAATTTCACCCCGATACCAAACTCACTTTTCCTGTCGGGAAATAAGAGGAGCCCACAGAAGAGGGACAGATCAGTTATTTTTGCAAGGCTTGCCAGATTTGGCAAAACAACATTAAGACAAACATTAAGTAAAAAAAACAGAGTGATATAAATAAGTTTGATGAACCTGATGTCTTCAATGATGGCTTTTTGGAAATGGGATGCAGTCTCTGACTGGCAGCTGGCAGCATCTTTATCATCTGTGTCAGATTTTTCCAGTTGTTCCTCAACCTGGCCTTCCTCAGCTTCACTGCTGACCTCTGATGTCTCTCCGTTAGGAAGTGAAGTCAACTCATACAGCTCCTCGTCATCCTCTTCCTCCTCAATCTCTACATCTTGATCACCATTGACTAAAAGAAAACAGTCATCAGAAAAATAGAAAAAAACAAGCAGGTAGCCCTTTACTCACATTAAAGTTTAGATTTCTGTCATGGGGTTCTACTTTCAGTCACCTTGTTGCAGGCTGTGGTTGAGCTGGGAGGAAGCACCGTTGTTGTCCGTCACATTATCCTCAAGATACTCGTCTTCACTCATATTGAGAGCTGACAGACTGCTGCTCTCAGAATCTATCAAATTAGACTGAAATCATAAAAGTACATTAAAAGACAAGTTGAACAAACAGAACAAAGCAAAACATCAGTGATTTTACTGCTATAAAGTAAAGAGCTCAATCACAGCACCGCCTATATAAACTTAACTCTTTTACATATCTGTCTACATGTCAAATGTGTTTTGTACTTTCCACACATTTCAGGCGTTTCATGGCCACACATGCTCAACTAAACTTAAAACTTGAAATTGATATTGTTCAAAAGGTTTTACTGTTCTGTCACATGAGAAAGAAATCAGATCATTAGCTGCAGGTGCTGTGTAGTCATGGCAGTAATGTTTACGGATTTTTACTAGTAAGTGCCCAAAGATCACATGTGAATTACATGTTTTTTTTCTGTTGATCAAGTTTTTTCTAGATGGTACTCTGCTAATATTTCTCTTTATTTAACAGCTCAGCAGCCTGTGCTGCTGATGTCAATTATCAAGGTAAGTTTTTATTTTCTTCTTATTATTGTACTTAGTCTTATTAAATGTACAAAGTCCATACATGTAAGAACTAGGATTGCTGTAGTTATAAATGGCTCCAGCCTGAGTACTGCATTTATATTTTTCTTGTATTCTGACCTTGATCCGATCCACAGGTGCTGTGTACGTGTTGTAGTCTTGGCTCTGCAGTGGATTCAGCTTTTTCTGATAATCTTTGACCCAGTCTGTGATGCCCAGGAGGATGCCCAGCCGATGCAGACAGTTCATGTGCCTCGGGTCAGACTGAGCCACAGTGATCAGGACCTGCTTAGACGTGGCTTGGCCCAGGACACGGGAGAAAGGCTCCAAAAACACCTGGAAGTCACATTCATGCAAAAACGTAAACACTATGTCTTAATTAGAGTTGCCACAGAAATGCAACGCCTGACCTTTCAACATTTTGTTGCACAAATGAAGTGTAGAAACGGATTCAAAAACAGAAGCAGCATTTATAAAGATAGTATTGGTCCTGTGTTTACAGCAAAAAAATAGAGAGAGTGCTTTAGCACAAACAACAGTGTGTCGAAAATGAGAACTACTCAGAAAGCTATTGTGTCACTGTCTGTGGTTGGCATGACAACTGTTTGACAACCAAGTCTTCATCAATTTAGGTGAACAGATTAAATTCACAAGCTAAAGCTGCCCACTCAGTTGGTCAAGGAGATATTAAAACACTGTCCTAGTTTTTTGTGTGTTCGTTAAAAGCTGTGCACTATCTGTTTGCTAGAGAAGAATGTTTTGTTATAAAAGACTCTGAGAATTGACATTTTTAAAGAAATTAAAGCCTGACGTCAGTAAATGTGCTCTCCACACCTTATTTGTTCCTTTTCTTTTACTAACTTTGAAAGCACAAAGTGTGCTCCTGGAATGTCAGAGCTTACATTTCTACCACCTCAGTAGTGTTTTTATGGAGCTGTGGGACAAATTTAACAAGATCCACTTCTCTTTCCATCTCTACTCTAAAATCTGAACAAATCTTCAACGTAGCTTCTTTTTGAAAACAATATATAATTTCACTGCAATAATAATCTTCGGAGGCAATCCAGTGCGACTGACCTGCTGCAAAAGAGCTTGGCAGGTTTTGTTGGGGATTCGTGTCAAACATGCCAGGAGGAATTTGGCCACTCTGCTGTAACATTGCACATCCTGATCAGCCTGGGACAAATCTGAAAAACAGAATTTTAGAAACGATGACACATTCATGCTGCATTTGATAACATTTGTGCATATTTCCTTGCTAAAAGAATAGAAGGTGATCTTAAATCTTCCACCCTGTTGCATCACTACCTTCTTTAGCCACAGCTGCTGCCAGAGAGCTCTGCATGTGATTGGCCAGGAGAGCCATGGGAGCGTTGACGATCCCATCAGCTGCCACTATGGACACAAGGTGGCCGGCTGTGCCGACGGGGTCCAGAGCCGCGGCGGCACTAGAGAAGTACTTGTCTCCTGTGTCGGTGGTGATTCTAAGCAGCAAACCTGGTCTCACCTCCAATGCTGCCAGGCCTGTATTACCTGTATTGTAGGTAATTAATCACATGCATATTAGCTGGAAACATTCTTTTTAATACTTTGTACACATCTTATAGTTGTAGCCTTTATATGTGAGCACTATTTGATCAGTGTAGTTTCTCTATTGGTAGTTACTCTACACAAATAACAAGAAAACATTTTGCTCATTCATTTGTCAACATAGTCATTTTTCTTTTCGGGTACTTTCAACAGCCTTCCATTGAAACTGTGTTTCTTTATTGGGTCACGACCAATTCTTAGACTGTCACCATAGACTCCCATGTGGTGTTTTAAGATATCCTTATCCTTTATTGCAAATCTCACGTGAAGGGCGGGCTCACAAGCTTTCAATGAGATTTAAATCTGGTGAACAAGGGTTGTAAGTCATCACTGGATGACTTTAAAGCTTTTGCTAAGTAGCCAAACAGTGGAATGTTTTGATGCAAGTGAAGCATTGTCCCACAACATTTCATGGTTTTCCTAAATGCTGCAGACTTCTTCTATTGCCAGTGCGTGAATAAAGTGTCTCCCCAAAACTGGAAGCATTTTTTTTAAAAACCATCGGGAGTCCATCTGCCACTCAAACAGAGTTAGTTCATCGTTGTTGATAGCAACCCATAGCAATACTCCTAAGTCACCTCGTTGGCGTCAAAGTCAAAAGGTTCATAGTAACTCCTTTAAAAAAATCAAAAAAATCAATCTTTAGCTATTCCTTCGTCCATTCTCCTGCTCCTGTTCTGAAATTTCTTTCAAATCTCTAGAAGTTCATTTGCGTGTTTTGCAACACATTTATACTGACCCTGTTTACCCCCTATTGATTGCTCACTTAAAATCCAGTGATCATGCCTCAACATTTAGGCAGCTTCAATCATCTTGCATCCTTTGGAGAGGCATTTCAGATTTTTTGTCTTTTTAATATTTGTTAGATGTTTTTCTCCAGGCTAATTTTACCACCAGCAAGGGCTGCTCAATAATTATGCAAACCTGAACATAAGGCCACCTTCAATTGATTAGTCCTCATCCTCCATTTTATTGTTAAAAGAACATACATGCAAAGTACAAACAAGGCAAACAAAGTCTGTTTAACAAATGATCAGAAAAAACAACAGAAAAACACAAAATGGCCACAAAATGGCTGACACTTACCTGCATTTCTTTCGATGAAATCTTTGAGAGACCCATGAAGTGGTTTGAAAATCATCTCCCATTGGCTCCACTCACTCAAATCTTCCAGAAGAGGGCAGGAGAGCAAGCTTGCTAGGGCCTGGTCCTTGGACATCTCACCTAGACACCCCACTAGTTCCTGTCCACTTTCAGCACTGTTCATGGGAGGGATGTGAGAGACAGAAGGACAAACTTATAAGCTTATTGAGAGTAACAAAAAACATTTTAATTGTGAAACAAAACATGGGCGCTTCATACATCTTAAATGTCAAGTGTGTAATATGGTCACAATCTCCCCTTCTGTTCCTGGGCTGCTGTGAGGTGTTGACCAATGGCCAGAGTGGTGTCTTTGCAGAACCTTTCAGTGAGGTTACAGTGACCTTTGAACATTAATTTTGATCAGCTGATCCTAGAGGCCAAGTAAATGTGTGCCAAATTTGAAAAAATTACTTCAAGGCATTAAAGAGATATCTTGACAGAAAGATTACATGCATGACAATAGGATGGACAACCTGAAAAGATAACGCCTACGGCCACAGCCATCACAAGTGTGGAGGCACAACGAAAACCCCACTGACACGTGATGATCAAAGTGAAGAAAAATGTTCTGTTGCATCAGCCTGTGCTGCTTTGATATTTACTGTCCTTATTTAAATCTGTCTTTGCAAGACTCTCAGCTTTATGTAAGAGCATTACTAAATTGCTTAAGTGACGCTGGACTGGTAATAGACTTCTAACCTTGATTTGCTGTGTTTGGCAAACAGGGCTGACTCATAGAAGACCTGGCTCATTCCTCCTCCAGCCAGGCCTCTCTGGCGTTGGACCAGACCAGCCAGCATGTGCAGTGTGCCATATCCCAAGTCACGACTGTCTCGGACCTTGTAGTGGGCCCTCAGCGCTGACTCAATGTGGGACAGCTGGGGGAAGAAAGTTGGATGTTACTTTCTAGTTTTAGAACAGTATTTTAATATACCAGTAAAAGAAGAGTGCTGTTTTAGTATCTGTGATTTGTGACAGCTCTAATGTCGATCACTGACTCACTTCATCTGGATCAGTGGAGGATATGTCGCCACACTGTTTGATGAACTCAAACACGTCTTGTCTGGTGGCTCTGAAACCACTGCCAACAAGCTCCATGCTGCTGCTGCCAAGAATCAAAGTAGACCCCAGTGTGTCCTGCAGCAGCTGCATGTGACCAGACAGAGATAGGGTGAAAACAGTGTCAATTGTAATAGTATCACTATGGCAACATTCTTGAAATCTTCGCAAGGGTGATTTCACACTCATGCACACACTCAAGATGTTTGGCAGTAAACTATAAAATATATAGAAGCACCTGAATGTGTTTTACTAGGAACTCCAGGAAGTTGCCTTGCTCTAGGGAGAGGAAGTCTTTCACATGAAAATGTTTGGTCAATTTCCTCTCCAGAGAGGCAATGTGGGCCAAAGTGATTGCTGAGTTCTGAGCAGCCAGGCTGTCTTTCAGATATTGCTTTACTTTGGCTGAGAAAGACAGAGCAGAAATTCCTGTTAATCATAGAAAAGTGCTGACTTGATGCATGTTCAGAGTACATCAACAGACGAGCTAATGTGTGACGGAAACCCTGTATCCTGCATTCGAACCTTCACTTGGAATGGATGTGGCAGATCTGTCCTCTGTTTTAGTTTGTTCTGGGGTTTTGGATGCCTTGTCTTTGGCCACCAGGTCCTGTGGAACAGCGAGGGAGCCTCCACAGATGGCTAGCTGAAACAGAGCGGTTGCCAACCGGTCACCCGACACCTGCAGCAAGAAGCTCTGGATGCTCTGGATTTTAAAAAAAAGAAATAAATAAAATAAAGCTCTGCATCAGAGAGATGATGATCATTTATACAATCTTCAAGTGCTGGTGTAAAACAGGCACATTTTATTCCACACAGACTTCTGTCTATTCGATTTGGCCAACATTTGTGCCGTTACAGTCTGTGACAACTGTGAATTATGCTGTTTTATCAACACAATAATTCAGTCTGATAAACATCAGTTGCTGATTCAGCTGACACTGTCAGATGAGGTGTGGAGACAAAGTGTAAAAAATATCTCTGTTTCTAAGAGAAACACACTAGAAAACAGACAAAAACATTTCCTAAAAGTCTAGCTTTCGTAATAAATTTGGATAGTGTGGAGCCCAAAACCTGTTTTGCAGTCTTGCCATTATTTGCCTATTTGGACCTGCCATTTTTCAGCACAATCCTGTCTTTCTTTGTTTATTTCTACTTCTTTTATTTTCAACAACATTTCAACTTTGATAAGAAAAATGCGAAAAAGAGAACATTAGGTCTTGGTTGCTATCAGCAAACATCAGAGACAGATACAGCTCATTATAGAGAGATCTGAGCATTGATGGCTAATGGAAGAGAGAGAGAAAAAACCTGAACAATTTGTGTTTCCTGTGAGTAATAGCAGCATTTTCCCCAGTGTTCTCCCCTCTTCTCTTTCTATAAACATCTTTTCCATTGAGCTTATATAACTCAAAATTTCTGTCAAAAATGAATTCACCATTATATACCATATTTAATACTTAAAACACCAGACAATGATTTAAACTGCTAATAAAGTAGGAAGACATCTCTGAGGCCAGCATTTGGTGACATGCAAAATGTTTTTTTGCTTTTTTACATGTAACCAAAAAAATCTTCAGGAATTAAGTATCACCTTAACATGTAACTTCAGGAGTAACACATTTCACACTGTTGGGTCATATTTGTGGTACTTTGAGTGTGGAGCTGGTTCTCAAGAAGTGGGCGAAACCCTTTACTTCTAATTACAGGAAATCTTAAAGCTACTACTTTCTACAACACACTATAGTGTGCTCCCAACATTCCATTTTAGAATAAGATGTTGGAAATACAGATTGAATGACCTGAATCTTTTACAATGAACTATTTTAATGGTGATCATATCACAAACTACAGATAAATAAGATAAAGTCTTCAGAGTAAAGATAATCCCAAAACATGTACACAAGAGGGCGGCTGTCGAGATGAGTTTAGTCCCAAATGTAACATCTAGCCAGTATTCATCAGTTAGAACTTTATCCTTGTGCCTTCATTAGGGATTAGGGGAGTATGAAGGCTGACGTTTTGTTAATGAGTTCAAAACTTGAGAGCAGCCCTGAAACTCCTTGTTATCCCCCTGACAGCTCGTGTTGGGAGGCTTAGAGGAATTAACACCCAGCACTCTATAGTAGCAAATTAAGGACACAAGACCAAAGTGTCATAACCACTAAGCTCCCAAAAATGTGGAGACAAAATTCTCACATTGCCACCGAGCACGTTCTTCTGATGCATCTGAGGAAGCATCAGATTCATTAATTGACTACAACTGTCAGTGTCTGGTACCCACCTTGGACATCCTGGGGCTGTACACCTCCTGTACGTTTGTGAATACCGCCAGCACTACCTCGGCTGCCGTCATAGAGGCATACTTTTTTCTGAGATCCAAGCTGCCTGTAGAGGAGAAGGAACCTGCAACTTGCACTGACTCTAGAACGGTCTTTTTGATTTTTCTCAGCCGCTCGTGGGTCTCCTCTTCCAGCTCTTTCTGGATGGTCTCCCTGGCACGCTCCAAGATTGCATGCTCACCACGGGTCACCTTTCCGAGGGTCTGGAGTGGACAGAGAAGTCAGAGTGTTAAATAATGATAGAACAGATTCATTTCAGGTTTCATTTCAGAGTCAAAACAGGTAAAACTATTTTTGATCTCAATGGTACCGCAATTTCCCTGAGGTTTCCACCAAAGGGATCAATAAAGTTCTATTCTATTCTATTTCTATTCTATTCTATATGTTCATCAGTATCACCTATCGTGGGTTGTGGTGGACACTGTGACGATTATTTTCTACCAAAGTACATCCTCCATGAGGTCATATCTGTCAGCGGTAGTGGATATGATAACATGTGTACAAAGAAGTGTTGTACAAAATACCAACACCAGAAAGGAATCAAATACCCTTGTATTAAAAATAATGCCATTCATCATCTTCGTTGCATTGATACTTACAGAATGACAGTGTTTTAATAGAAACTGAAGCAATTGAGAACAATAACTACCTAATTTGGCTTTGACTTTATCGCTAAATGACCAATGTTACAAAAGCAGTGTTCACGCTGATAACATTAACTCATGCCACTGCTATGAACGACAAGTATAAAGATCGACAACACCAGTTATAATGATCAACTGAATTCCAGCAAAAAATGTGAAAGTAAGTAAATGTGCACTAGTGTACTGCTGCACTTATCTCTGCAAGGATTCAACCTTTTATAAGCTGCAGCATGACATGTGAAAGCAGACAGATGTGAATGTGTAAAGAGCTGATCTTAATGTAGAGTTCATGTTTGTAAGACGTGTTACCTTGAAAAAAAAAACACCAAAATGAAAAATGAAAATCATTTATCATAGCAAGATACAGGAAAAACAGAGAGACTTGTCAGCTTCTGCTCTTCTCAGTGCAGCCATGAAGCCACGACTGACACAAACAAGGTGAAAATGTATGTAGCAATGTATCTATAGTGCGTACAGGTCTTGTTCTTTTTTGTCAAGTAGAAACTGCTAAGGTTCAGAGGGCTAAATGCAAAGGCTGACCAAATATTGATATCCTTTTTTCCCATTACTACACTTTGCATGAAGTTAACTTAAAATTATAAACTGTAATTATTTTTAAAATATCATTGCTTTACTATTTTTCAGTATCCTTTATTCACTCTTGCGTTGAATTTTTTATCTAGGTGAAAAAGAGTAGTCCTTTTGCAGGACTGCATGAGAAGGAGTGAACAAAAAATAAAAAAAAATGTGTGCACAGTAATCAAAAGCAACACATGCTCTCTGCTGATGATAACTCATCAGTCTTGGAACGATGCAACAAAAAATGTGTCTTACCGCGATAGGCAGCGCGATGCTATGTATCCTGATGCCCAGCTGGTAGGGAGAGTCACAGTTGTAGTGGTCAGCCAGATACTTCAGGAACTCAGCCAGGTCTACTTTTACATTGGTTTGCTTCCTCCGAAAAATGCGAAGTTGCTATACAAAGGAAACAGATAAGACACATTTAAACACAGATATTTTAAAAGACAGAGCTACAGGAAACTTAATCTTGAATTTGTGGGTATGTCATCAGTAACTGACTAACATTGTTGTGTACTGCCCATACTTCTCTCACAATGATAGCTCCAAATACAGAACATAGATTAAACTAATTTGGCTCATGTGATGCATAACACATTTTTTTAAAGATGTATTAATAATGATCAACATCCAACAGATTCCTGTGTAACCTTTGAGCCTCACACTTTGGCTAATGATAATTCAAATGGATATACAAGTTTAGAGTGCCTTTGTCATTTGTATTTTACATGGCCTTCTTGATTTCATTTGCATTTTTAATAAAGCATTTTGAGGTCAACAAATACTAGTAAACAGCTTTACAGTAATGTAATGTAAAACGTTCAAGGTCCCACAAGGTGAAAATCAATTTTTATTGTGTTCTCTGTGTGCTGCTCTATACTGCTAAACTACTGATCTTATGACTGCAATGTTGTCTGACAAACACAGTGCACGAGTTAAAGACGATGGCTGTGCTGTCAATTCAGAGACATTTCCATGCAAAATGATCTGTCAGAAAGAAAGTTAGCAACGATAGGAAGTCCTGCATCTTGCACATTTGTACATGTCTATGTTGGCTTCTATGCGGTCAACTGTGTTTCTAATCTTTGTCAGTCACACAGAGAGTCTTCTTCCTGAACATGGCAGGTTCAGCAGCAGCTCAACTGCATTTAAAGCTACAGACACTGAAACAGCTGGTTTAGAACAAGGCTAAAACCAGGGGTTATACAGTCATGGTGAAATGAACCATCTTTTCAGTATTTTCTAATAATATGGGACCTTCAAAGTTAAATAAAAAGATCAGCCCACAGTTTCCAAAAAAAAGGATTAATGTATCTGCAGTGCAGTTCAAGTGGATCCCTAAGTTGTTTCCTATGTAAGTGCTACCTTTAGGATGTCTATGGTCTCGATCTGCGGGATATCATCATCCTTTGTGTTACTGTCAATCTTGAACATGCGGTGGATGAGGGGGAGTTTGCAGAGGGGCCCCAGGTTCAGCTCTTCATAGCGCTTCTTGTCCTTTAGGCCAGCCAGTGACTGGCCGAGCTCATACAGGGTGCAGACGGATGTCACTACTTCAGTGGCCTGACAGAGAAAGAAAGAAAAGAAGTTTTCAATATAGCGACCTAACACTCAGGAAAAAAAAAAAAACAAGTTAATCCCAAGTGGACATGCTCCAACCTCCAAGAAAACGTTGATCTCTTTCATGATGTACTGAAGGTCTTTTAGAGCTGGAATTGTCCAGTGTTTTATCCGTCCTGGGTCCAAAGAAGGAATTAGCCTGCACACCCGGGATACCACCTGGACACAATTGTGGAAGGCAGTGAGGGGACAATCACCAATGAAATACAGTGCATTACTCAGCTGTATGGATTCTTAAATGTAAGACATTAAAGTAAAACCCACTCTTGTAGATGCTTGTGGGCTAAAAGCCACGCATTTGGACTTAATTTACAATTAAACATTGTAATTAACCTGTTTGTGTACCCTTCCACTTCAGCTACTGTTGGTCAATACATTTATGTGTATGTCTCCCAAAGGATGAATGGCTGATTTTTGCTATTGAATAGGAAATATCTGTGTTTATAGGAGGCTTTTTTTTGTTAAAGCAACTTCAGCAGCAGAAAGGTGAATAGGATATCCTGGTATAGGACCTTTATTTAGCTGAAGGGGTCCCTATTAGACCCCCAGAACAGACTTCAATCTATCCATTCATAACAATTTGTCAGGCTTTTAAGAGATGTGATTTTTTTTTTGACAACTTCTCCTTCAGTGAGCATATTCTCACCTATAGATGCTTTCATGATATTCCACTAACTGGAAGCTGGTGTCAATAACACAGCTCAACTTTACAATGCAACATAGAAAGCTAAAGAAAAAAAGCCCCAAAAAAACAAACATGAATTTGCAAATTTTACATTTGCAAGTGTGTTTGGATGAAGAAGCTTCATTCAAAATGTTTCCTTTCAAGGATGCATATAATGCATTTAAGCAGAAAGCAAATTATACAACTGTGGAACATTCCACATGATATGTGGCATCAGTCAGTCCAAGATGTATGAGAAATTGAACTAGTTTTGGCATTTCCACACCCATCAGTTAGAGTTTATAGACCCTGTACACTTCCGCAGGTGATTAGAAATTCTTTGGATCATTAGAGACATCTCTGTCACTCTCTTGTTTTGGTAGATCTGCAGGGTGAGACAAATACACCTTTTTTCACAACAGATGTTTTGATTTATCACAGCAGAGCGTAACTGATAACTGTAACTGGCAATGGCTGCATTCCAGGTGAATTCATCAGGATTCTTGCGTTGTGGCTCATCGCCATGGCTCATTGAGACACCTAATGGAAGTGAGGCATCATTAATTAACTTCGCTTCACTTCACGTCTCCTCCTGCACAGAATCAATCACTGGCAGTTGCTGCACAACGGGGGCTGGTTGGATTTCTGTCTGACTTGATTCCTGGCTGGACGTCACAATGATGATAGTATCATGAGATGAAGGTGACTTTGGTTTTTAAAGCCATGCAGTGTAGTTGTTCATCAGCCACTGTATGGCCTCAGGGCATGATGGGAAATTCCTCATCTTATCTAACAGAAGACTAGTTTAGATGCTATCTCAAAAATATTCTGCTTGATGGAAACTGTTCTTTTAAGCTCAACTGGAAATGAATTTCTTTGTCTGATTTTGCAGGTTTATTTTGTTAACAGCACATATGATGGTGAAGTTTGTAAGTCCAATAGACTTAATAGGCTTCAGTTGTGTTACAGATCAGAAACTGTACAGCAACATATCCCAGTTCCAGTCTACTGTATTTTGATGGTGGACGGATTTCATTCTACTATGATTTAGCAACACCAAAGTATTTGGTAAGGGGATGTGGGACTTAAGACAACACCTTTACAAATGTTTCAGCTCTGACAATCTAAACATCTGATAGTTCAGTAATAAAAGCTATTATAAAAGCTGTTTAGTATTTCTTTTTAATGTATTTGTGTATTTATCATTGTGTTTCAAGTATCAATGCAGTTTAACAGCAACAGGTCTCCTCAACTGATTAATGTACAAACTGATAAGATGAGGATTTACTTGAGAATTTATGTATTATGTTTTTTTTGACAACCTGCATTACAGTAACAAAATGAAGCCCATGAGCAGAGATCACAGATAGCCTATGCAGAATTGTAGGAATTTAGAATTTTTTTAAATTTTGTACTCGTGGGCAGGGCCTTTTAGGCTGAAGTCATCACATGTACAGCTCAAGCCCACCCTTCAGTAATAACTGGATGCAATTTGCTACTTCAATGCACTGGTGATATATATGTGCAGGCATGCACACCAGAGAGATGTACTACATCCAGTGGAGCTAACCTGGTCTAAAGCAGGTGAGGTTCAGAGATTCAGACTTTAATTGGCTGGAAAAAGTATCTCCCTTTTACTATTTTTGTCACTGACATTTTGCTATGAGTGATACAAACTCTCAGCTGAGGGAATGTCTTACACCTGCAAATCTGTTGAGCTGCATGTTACTAATATCACTGAATGAAGCCATTCAGCTACAATATCACACACTGTATGCACTGCGTTGCCATGGGAACCCAACATGTATTCAGCTGGTGCAGAAAATGCATAAATATATTTTTATGTTTGGTCCTTATCTGCTGCTCAGTCTGTACTGCAGCTGATACAGTAAACTCCATTATATATTTTGGGGGGGGAGCCTATCCCAGCTGACTCTGAGCAAAGGCAGGTTACACCCTGGACAGGTCAGAAACTGAGAAAGTCTGAGTTACCAAAGAAAGTTGATAATCACCATGGTGACAGCCATTATCTCTGACTTGAGTATAGGTTTTGTTGAGCTGGCTTATACAAGGAAAGCCTGACTATGTCAAACTTGCTTGGTGGTACAATCCTCAGGTCTAAAAATACCCCTAGTGTTAGCATTGTGATGCACTCTAAAAAAAAAATCCAGGGCAATCAGTTCTCATGGTATGGTATGGTTTTGTATGTTCTATTCAAAAGGCAGGACAACTCAAGATGGATATCACTCTCGTTTCCTAACTATAATATGAAGTCAGAGCCAGCAGTCAATATACAAACACTTTGCAATTATACACTGTTTTCACAATAGCCATTTTGTCATGTCTTGCACAGCTGTGGTGCGATGACTGCATTCCACCTAAGTGAGGTCCTGCTACACGTATGCAGGTTTATTGTCATGGCTTCTCATTTTACTATAGTTTTCTACTGAGACAAGGTATGTTACACTTTTGAATATTTCATTTATTAGGTGTGTACTCTATTATGTGAAGGTTAGTCCCTCATCGATTCTTGTTTGTATCAGCACAACCCTGTGGCCTTAAAGAGAGACACCAGGCTCTACTGCACCCAACTACAAAATAATTTTTAAAGCCCTATTTTTTTGCACCAATAAACAAACAAGATATAAAGGTAAATTGGAGGTGTTGTTTTTTTGGGGTTTTTTTTTTACCTTTGGACCGAGCAATTCTAGCAGTTTCTCTTTACTTCAAGTTTAGATTTATGCTAAGCTAAATTAAGCTAAAAACTACCTGGCTCTAGGTTCATACTTAGCTACATTATTTACACATGTGAGAATGATATCAATCGACGAGAAAGCAAGCAAAAATGTTAAACTATTCCTTTACAATAAAAGAAAAAGATGCATCTTGCTCCTCCTCACCTTCTCTTTGGTGACCAGCTCTCCCTCATCAGCCACTTCCCGTATCACGCTTGCCATCAGACTGTTGACGGTTTCCAGATCCACAGCTCTGTTCCCCCTCCTCCCTGTGTGCCGCTCCTCGTCCTCCATGGCCTCCACTGCCCGCATATTGCCTCCAAGGACCTCTCTCAGCTGGGCATGATAAGATTCTCTAAACAGGGGACTACCGGCTTTTCTCTGGTCTACATCTCTCAATTTGCTCTTCTGCTCTTTGGTCATGTTCTTTTCTGCCCCCAGCTCCGGAAAGTCCGTGCCAGAGAGGAAGTTGGACCCAGCAGCTTGTTGTTGCTCGTTTTTGGGCTCCCCTGGGAGACTCTGTGTCGCTGCGGGAGAACATACATATGATTCCTAAGTATGGATCACTGACAGTCTTTTTTCATTATGCATGACACTGAATGTTATCACACTTGGTTACTCATTTGGTTACCTGCAGGCATCTGCCATGCAACAGTCTTGGGCTCTGCTGTTTGCCCAGATTGAGTGGGTCTATTCTGAGCTTCCAAGGTGTCATACAGAGACATGTACTGTGTGAGAGGAAATTGTTCACCAAACTGCCGCAAATAGCAGCTTTGGAGCTGGTCCATTGATGGGGCAGTCAGCTGGAACGTCCTTATCACCTAGAACACATCAAAAAACTTCTTCTCACCACTAGGTTTCAATAGGCATACAGTTGTAATTAGTTTGAGTACTGCAAAAGTCACAGATACTTCCTAGAGTAGCTTAGTAGGTTAAAAACAAAAAAGTTTGGAAACAAACTTGTGACTCTTCTTTGCTAGTGTTAGCCTCATTAACATCGGTGACTAGAATTAGTTTATGTGTCATGTTAATTAGTATTTTTGGATAAAACATACATACATAGTGGTCTGTATATTTGTTTTACATTACTAACCTCCAAGACCCTCTGGTACAGCTCCTGTTGAGTCAATTTCGTAGCTGACTTGGATGCAGTGAGGGGTGTGTTACCAGGAATATGAAGGGTAGAGAATGAAGAGCCAGTGGAAATCAAAGGAGAGCCTAGAAGATTCATTGAGCCCCAATGAGGGCTGGCATCAGGCCGTGTGACTGCAGCGAGAGGACCATTGCTTCTGTTCTCAGTAAGTGATTCTGGTGTCTGTGGTGTTGCAGGCCTGCTGTCCTCTGTAGCTGTTGTTGGCAGCCCAGCTTGAGGCTGATTCAGAGGCTGATGAATCTTATGGAAGACCATATCCCCTGTCACAACTACATCTTCCAAAGATTTGATCAGACGGGAAGTACGACTGTAGCCTAAAGAGGATGCACACAGTTTGTGGTGGTATTTCTGTTTGTAGACTGCAGCAACCTTATTCAGAGAAATCCCATATGGATATTCTTTAATCATGTCCACAACATTTTTCCGAATTTTGTCATTCATTTCACTGTCTTCTGGCTCTTTTGCTGATGCTCCAAGTGTCGCCGATGCTCCACATGCAGCTCCAGCTACGGCCTGACTTCCACTGTGATGGTCCTTGTGAAACACCACCTCCTGCTCCACAATCAGATCCCCATCCAGAGAGGCCACCAGGCTGGCCATGGAGTCAAAGTGCAAGTCAGAAAAAGACAGGTTCCTGCGGTACATCTTTTTGTAGCATACTGCAAGCTCTTTCAGTGGGATCCCATCTGGGTGCTTCTTCACCATGGCCACTACATTTTTCCGGACCTTCTCCATCTTGAGTAATGCTATCAGGAGAGAAAAGAGATCACCATTATGGTAGAACCACTGCATAGGAGTTTACCAGTAGTCTCACTAACAAACTACATATAATGTGTCTGTACAAAATAGGCAGTCAGGTGATTGGGGCAGTTTATCAGCTAATATTAGTCTACCGTGACTGCCAACCAGTAGGTAACAAGAAACCAAAGTGCAGAAATGGCAAGAATATCTTTGCAGTCCATAGGGACATAATTACTCAAAGTTTGTTTTTCCAACTATAAAATGTCCCTCTCAATACAGAAACATCTGGTGTTACTTTATTAAAATGAACATCTGTCAGCATTATTATCATTATTATTATTATTTTTAACTATCAAATATTGCATCTACCCTAAAAAATATCATGCATTAGTCTGGCAGTAGTGCCATCACAATTTTGCCACTGATTTTTATACAGTTCTATAATTGTAATACAACACAACACAATTTAAAGCTGTCTGTGAAGATTCTCAGTCATCCAGGTCATGGTTATTCTCATAGATTAATTGCAGCAACTGGACTTGCTTGAGTTCCTTGAAGACGTTTCATCTCTCATCCAAGAGGCTTCATCAGTTCTGACTGACTAGTTGGAAGATCTAGATACTTATATTCTTAAAGAGCCATTAACACCTGAGCTTTGGTTTCAATTGGGGGTTTGTTGCTCCTCCCCCTCGTCATGTGGGTCGTTAGCGCTCCCCATCACAATGGGGTTTGTTAGGGTCTTTTGTAGCTAGGTGTGAATGTGGTTTCATCTTCCTGGGGAGAGTTCTTAAGACTTGCACTGTAAACAGGTGAGAGGTGATGCCTCAGACCTCCACTTCTGTTGAGGGATGGTCTTTCCAGTTTGACATAGATGGCTTCTTTCACGCGTCTCTCAAACCATCTGTCCTCCCTGGCCAAAATCTTTAAATTATTATCTTCAAATGAGTGTACTTTGTCCTTAAGATGCAGGTGGACTGCACTGGACTGCGTACACCACGTTGCTTTGTTTATGTCTCGGTGTCTTGTCCGTAGGGTAAACCAGCTTGAGTCTCAGGGTGTTGGTGGGCTTGAAGTACTCTGGAATGTTGTGTTTGTTAAAAACCCTCCTGAGCTTTTCAGAAACTCCTGCAACATAGGGGATGACTATGTTGTTTCACTTCTTGGTCTTTTCTTCTTTATCTCCTCTAGGTTTTGTAGAGGATTCGATGAAAGACCAGCTTGGGTAGCCACATGTTTTGAGTGTTGTTTTGATGTGCTTTTGTTCCTCCTCCTTTCCTGCTGTCCTGGTGGGGACGTTCTGGGTCCGGAGTTGTAGGATTCTTATTACTCCCAGCTTGTGTTCCAGTGGGTGGTGGGAGTCAAACAGCAACTATTGGTCTGTGTCAGTGGGTTTCCTGTAGATCTTTATGTCCAGGCTTCTGTCTTCTTCTATGTGCACAGCACAGTACAAAAAAGCCCTGACCAGGATCTGCTCCTAGCCATTGGTACAGATATGTGGGCGACACCTGGGCTAAAATCGGAAGACGTCAGAGGAGGGAGTCTGGCCTTCTTGGACTGTACTGTGCTGTCAGTCAGAACTGATGAAGCCTCTTGGATGAGAGGTGAAATGTCTTCAAGGAACTCAAGCAGTTGCTGCGATTAATCTACGAGGATAACAGTTTAAAGCTGGTATAATCAATACAGAGAGCTAAAGTATCAACCAACTCTGCATGCTGTTTAAACGCGCAGCAGTCAGCATTGAAGCTCTTACAAACCACTGCACACTCCCTGCCAAGCCCCAAATGACAAACAAAGTTAGCGCTTCAGTGATGGTAGCAAATTATGTAATGACAACAGTCAAATCAGGCTACAAGCGGTTGCTAAGGCATAGGTGCCTTTCTTCCTCTGTTTGAGAAATGTTTATTGTACAACAACCAAGCCCATGTTTTGCATCCATGCCATGTAACCATGGTCCTGAGCCAATAAAAATGTCATTTCAATACATAAAAACAAAACAGAGAACAAACAGTAGAGCGAATATTAGATTTACATTCATTAGGTAGCCAAAGGACGACACTACCCCACAACATGAGCTGCAAAACTTTACTGTTGATAACTGGTTACTGCCTGTGTTGTAAATAAAGTTTGCTTATTTCATGTTTAAGGAATTTAAACAAGCTCTTCTTAATAGTAATTCTAGGAGCCATTTATGTTTGTTGTCAGCAAGTAATTTGATGTGGACTATTATTATTACTATTATTGTTGTTGTTGTTGTTGTTGTTATTTGGACACATGGTAGCGGTAATTGGACACAGGGTGCATATGTAGAGGACACAGGTAGGGGGAGAGCCAACAGTTCTCACCAGATCAGCAGCAGACCAGCATCAAACCAGCACAGATACCAGATTCACAATAGCAAAACCGCTGTATTTTCATTGTCTGTATATCTTAGAATAAACATCCACTAATGGTAAGTACATGGACTAGAGATTCTGTTTTTGATCTGCGTCGGTTCACTTTGCTCCTCTTGTGCAGTAACGGCAATCACAGGACATTGTCATTACAATAATAATTAACAAACTTGTCAATCTCAGTGCACCAAAGTCTGATTAAAATAATACATTTATGAATTTCAACTCAATTCAGTTTTTTAGAATTTTGTCTCAAGACACTTTAATACAATAAATGCAGCATTCGGCTAGCAAAGTCTTCTGTTTTGGTTGAAATATGTGATAGGGAATAAACTAATAATCTGTCCAAGGTAAAGTTCAACTGATCAGTCTGCCAGCACTATTTTCTGATTGTGTTCTATCACAGATACAGTGGTATCACCATACATGTTGTCTAAAAGCTCTGTCTGCAGCATATATAGCAGAGTGTGCGTCACAGCTGAGTGGATCAAGCGGTGTCTTTATTGTATGTTCTTAACAAACTTGTGAACAAAAAGTTAATAAAAATCGACCCTAATATATCCCCTTTTCAATATATCTGTCAATAAATCAATACCAGAATGTTTCACTTCCTAAAATCAGTCCCAGCATCGATCCCAAAAGTCAGTATCATTTGCCATTTAATCTCACAGAAAAGTTCTGAAGCACAACAGACTCAATACAACACATTTCAATCAGTACTCAGAATGTGCTGTGAATTAATACCCAGCCCTGGTCGATATTCTTGTCAACACTGACAAATAATAAACTTGCAACATTGCATCAGAAGATTCAAACAAACAAATCCTTCACTTCTACCAGACCTAACGACCACTCTGTAAAACCAAGCAGACAACACAGCACAGTGACAAGTACAGCACTTTAACTTTAACTGGATTATTTTCTCTTCTACAAGAGGGATTAGTTTGGTAGTTTGTTTATGACAACACATCCAAAGCTGACAGCAGAAAAGACAATATTTAGACTGGCATGATTATCTACGACACCACACCAGCATGTAAAAAAAGAGAAGAAGAAAAAAGACACAAATGTAAACTACAGTCAAAAGTAGATGGAAGCTATCTTACCTATTCTTTCAAATAACAAGACGTACGATCCACCATTCTCAGAAGAACTACTTTCTATGAAACAGCAACTTTCTTTGCTCTCTTATATACTCCACCCTCCCTCCTTCCCTCCTCTCATGTTGTGTTTCATTTTACGCAAACTCAGGGAGAAATGAAACTGAAAGTAACTGCCGTGACCATTACAGAGAGCCACAGTCAAATATACTGGAACATGGTGTCACCACAAACTGGTACAGCAATAAAAGAGGCAAACCACAATGCAAACTAAAGTAGCTGGGTGTGGCAGAGAAGCATACAGACTATCTTTTAAAAGCTACAGTGCAAACCTATTTGTCTGAGGCACTAACTCCTTTAAGCATCTGGGAGTTTTTTGTTGTTCGAAAGGTCTTTAAAGAAACGCAGCATTAATAACGACTTAGTACACACAACATAGCATGGTAATAAATGTAAGCAAGGTTTGTAAAGGGAAGCCAATGATAAAACAGGAGGGGAGACAGATATGAGGTATAAATGAGGAATAAAGAAACTTTGGCTTTAAGTTTCACATTCCTGGCTTGCCACAGCTGATGTGTAACACACCATGTGACCTGATTTAAATACACAGCTGGTTTGTCATTGTGAATACAAGCCTTTCTGAGGAAATGAAACTGAGGTTAAGAAAGTAAGGCTGTCTATTTGTGAATAACTGACAGGACAGGGTTATAGTTCAACAAGGTCACATGTCACTGCAATTACCACGTCACCTCTTCTGGTAATCTAACCAGAATTACTGGCTGTTACTGATGAATGCACAGCAGAACATTTCTCCTTGTACATTCCATTCTCTTCTGCCTACCCAGGACAGCAAAACATGGCACGAGTACAAAGCATGACTACATGGCAAAATCCATGATGCTGCAGAACCTGACTTTTTTATTACTCTTAAACAAGAACTGCACCTTTTTAGCTCTGTCTTGTTGAAAAAACTCAGCTAGATGGCAGTGGCATTTGTGAGTGCACTGCTTAGATGAAGGAAAAACCTTAAAACACATGATAAAAAAGAAGCCAATGAAAGATAACATAGCCCACATTGCTCAGTGCTTCAAATACCCCCTCTCTATTGGGAGATAAGGGATTGATGATGACATGAGTGCAAGAGACGATGATGTCATGCAAAACTGACAGCCAAAGAGCGACAGGCCACATAGGTAATTCATCTTAGAAGACTTAGTACTGATCAGTCCAAACATTGGATCACAGCGTTATATAACCTGGCAAGCCGGGATAAGTGTTTTACTGTTTAACAGCCAAGTTTGACTGAAAGTAAAATGACCAACAACATCAAGCCATAATTACACTGTGACTAGTGTTAGATCCGGTTCTTTATTTGGAAGCCCAAGAACAAGTCGGAGAAATCTTCATTTCTCAGATGCAGAATTTATTTAGGTCACAGGTAAAGTTTTGCAGCGCTGGAATTCAGAGGGACAGAGAGGAATCTCATGTCCAGCTGAACTGAGATTTTTCGGTTCCAGGTTACAGATATCTTCTTGGGCTGGGCCTGCCCCGAACATAGATAAGATTTACTTGGCCAGTTACTAATGGCGTGGACAGGCATCCTTCTGTGCTCTGTCCACGTCCTTGATATTTGGTAAGCAACGTGTGTGGATGTTGTTGGTACGGCGTGTAGCTAAAGTAACAATCGTATCTAGTAGAAAAGAGGAGTTTCCGCTATCTCCAAGTGTGCAAACCAGTTCTCACTTTCCACATTATCTTCAAGGACATAAGCTCAGCACAAAATACAAACTCAGAATACATAATAACTTGAAACTTAATTAATTATAAGAACCATAGGAATCATGGAAAAATACAGACTGAGAACACATAATAGCTTGAATCATACTTAATTCTAACACTAGTCAGAGTTTATATTAAGGATATTCATAACGTTGTTCTGGCAGTCACTGACTAACATAATTTAGTACTGAGGAGGCCAAGTAAGAGTTAGGAAAAATCTCACACAGGTTGTGCATGTTGCAAGGCTCCTCGCTGAATACTGGTAAGTAAGACCAGTTGCTGTGGTGGACTAGATCTTCAGAAAACGCAGTGAAAGAGGAAGAGCTCATCATCACGGAATCTGTGGAGAACTCCATCCTCAAGCTGCTTTCTACACGGTGGTAAACCATCTTGTTGTATGTGGTTATAACTGCGGTAGTATGTTTGAAAGGCGAGCCACCTTCTGACACAGACACCTACAATGTCACGTCAACTAGTCAAAACTCTAAATTAGGATATCTGTATTTACATTCTGACTAGGTAGATTTACAATTGTAGATATTTATAAATCATTCTGACCAATTTAAACTTAATTTAAGATATCAAAAAAGGGACATGCAGATATTGCAAGTGAACTGTGGATTTCTGTAGTGAGAAATCTCATTTACATCAACGGTAAAAGTGACCTTGTTTGTCCTTGGGAAAATGACAATAAGGAATGACATCTGTGAATGGGAAGACCAGGAAGAGGTGGACATCTGTCAATACTTATTTAGACTCACCAGAATTATTAGTACGTCTAATCATAATTCAGCTGCAGATTCACATATATAAATATCTGCACCTGACTTGTAGTTATTAAATATTTAGAGGGCTTGCCATGATGGGCAGCAAAAGCTTGTGATACATAAACACTGACCCAGTAACCGAGCATACTGAAACACACAGAGGTTTCCCGCTTACAGTGCAGTGAGAGCAAACAGGGACAATAACTGTGTACAAAATACCTCCTAATGCTATTACAGCTCTCTTCCATTAACACCTAAAATGAGGGCATAATGGAAATTTCTCACGTGTTGCCTTTTAGAAATAAAACTTTAACAGTAAAAGGAGAAACCTGTAAGACTTTCAACACAACTGCTGAGACAAGACTCTGGCAGGCAAACGAGTCCAACTTTTCAAAGTTTGAAACATCCAGTTCTGACCAAGGACCGTTAAAGTCCAACTACGTGGTACCAAAACTTAAAAATTCTGCAACAATAAATAGCAAAACTAATGAGTATTCAGCTACCTGTTATCATAGCAGCATCTCTTTGCTTGCAGTTGTCGCCTCTGTGTCCTTGCCTTCATTCATCATCCTCAGTCTGTGATGGGGGAACAACAGAGACACTTCTGTAGCTAGCACGGCTGCTCCTCGGGCTAACGTTAGCAAATAATACCAGAACTATTACGATTTAACTTCACAGAAATGATATTAGTTGGTCAGTAAAGATCATTAAAATGTCCGGCGTCAAAGCCCCGGTTTCGGAATCTTAACACTGATGCAATTTAATGCAGTTTGGTCAAATATTATGCAGCGAAACTCATTAGACGATAACATTTTTTAGCCGCTTACCTAGCTAGCATTGTGCCGCATTCATGTCACACGACAAAAATAGTAAACGCGAGCTCTCTACTCAAGAAAAAAAACGTATTGCTCACATACTACATATCACAACAGTCGCTCCGTTTCACCTCTTAGCTATGTTTGTTTTCAGTTACAAATAGCAGATTGGTTGCACCCATTATCAAGGTTTCATAGAGATTCTAACTAGGGTGTAATAAGACGGTTTTTCTCCTTCGTTACCTGAATGCGGCTTCTTGTTAAAATGTAATAGAAATATTTGTACCAGTCTTTGAATAAAAGCTGCAACCGATTATTAGGTATTCTGTACAGTACAGCACAAAATATGGTCTGTGTAAGAGAAACGTAGAAATATCTGATAAAAATGTCTCATTCTAACTGTGTGTTAGTTGGCAAAGCCTAATTCATTTAAGTATGTTTCTATTTCTCCAGCAGTTCTGTTTCCACAAACTTACAGTGCATGAAGCAGACAGTATGTCATTTTTCTGTACATTTATGGTTGATGGTTTTCATTCTGTCAGCATAAACTGCACCAAAGTACTCAGCCTTAACTGCAGCTGGATGCATTTTCTACAGATAGCTGCATACTCAATACATCCTAGTCATTTCTGGTTGTTCTTTTATTAATTAATAAATTAAATCACAAGATAAGAATATACAGCTGACAGAATTATACCTTAGGTTTTCATTTCATTGTGATGAGATTTTTCAGTTCCTCATTGTATTGTATTTCAGCTTAGTCCACCAGAGAGCAGCATTGACCTGCCAATACTAAATGCAAGGAGCTGTCATTAGTTTTTATAGGGTGACGCAACAGCACTTTTTGAGAAATGGCCAAACTGAAAAAACTATCGATTGTCTGATCACTGCTGGGATAAAGTTGGAGCCTCCAGCCTTCACCGAGACTTTACTGGTTCTGCTCTGGATTCCTGCAAAAACCGTTAAACTGCTGATATAAGGTTCAGCATGTCGTATACACGCACAGAGACATTCAGACAAGCCGAACACGCTCACTGATCAAATAAATGCTATCATCTGAAGTATTCCTTCATATTTTTACTGTTACTAAATACCACTAGTCACAGTCGCGTGTGGATTTCACTGGGATCTTTTTCCATTTATAAAAGTACTGATTTTTTAATGTGGGCATTAATTACAGTTTTGTAGGTTAACATGTACATAAACATAAACTAGTTTAAAAAAAAAAAAGTGTTAAAACATTTAAAAATCTTTATTTATGTATATCTTTGTCTGTCTGTGCACCGGTTGGCACAGCTGCTCATTGAGGAGTTTTTCTGTATTTTGACTATTTGCTACAGTGTAGAACAAAACTGAAAACATCAAAACAGTTAAACAACACATATGGAATTATGTAGCAATCAAAAGTGTTGGACAAACTAAAATATGTTCCATTTTATATTCCTCAAAGCAGCCACTGCTTGTTTTAAAGGTAGTGTTTACACTATTGTCAGTGTGTCAGCCAGCTTCATGAGGAGTAACTGTGTGCAATGTGAACTTAACAGGTGAAACAATGCTCCTTGTAGAATCAGTATAGTATATAGAGTAAAAGAAAGACCATATAAAGCACATTTCTAGTTTTAAACTTTAATATTCAGTCCATGAAAAAAATGTAAAGGTTTCTGTGTTTCGTGGTATGAGGATCTCTTCCGTTGACTTCATATCAATCCCATGCAAATTTTTATTCAACATTTTTCACTTTGTCCTTGTAAACAGCATCAAAGTGTTCTGCTTCTGCTGCTGTCAGCTGATTTTCCCAATCTCCAGTGATTCCTGAAATACAACACACAAGAGGAATCAGAGTTTAGTTGTAGAGAATGTAATAGTGAATAGAATATTATAGAATATAATATAATAGAATATTAGTGACTGAGAGACATTTGAAGGAGTAATATTGGAGATTCTAATGCATGAAATCCCCTCGAATATGTGTTTCCTGTTAAAGTGGCCAAGGTTGAAAAACTGAAACTAAATCCTTAATCCTATTGTTCAATTCCCCCAATTTAGTTTAAGCCTGAACACACACAGTTTGCAAAAGTTAATTGTGGTTTAATTTTTTACTGTATTGCACATATATTGTGAAATCAATAAATACTTTGAGAAGACATGCACTTTATCTATCAATAATAAATCGCATTGTCACAATCATTTCATGTGAAGAGGTAAAAAAATATATTTTTTATTCCAACTTTATGGGCAACAGTATCTTTAGTGTGCTAACCTCTGGATTTAAAGATCATATCCAGTAACATTGGAACTGACAGTGTACTGTAGACATCATTAATTGAAACCCACCTTTCCTGAGGAATTCAGACTTGGTCTGGTCCATGAATTCATGAGGAACTGCAGAGTAGTTGGACATGTTGTTCTGCTTCATGTTCTTGAACAAACATCGGTCTGCTATCTTCTCTGTCACCTCAGCGTCCAGAGGTTTCTCCAGGAACTGAGAGATTCTGGCCACAGAGTCCTTCAGGTCCTGCACCACACAGAAACACAGCTCAGCTCATACTCCTGGATGGCTGTTTAATAGGATTAATGTAAGATGAAGATATTTGTAATGGGTGTAGTGTTTTATGTTTTTCTAACTTTGAGGTAGTCTTTGAGGTTGTTGACAATCTCACCATTATCAGCTCTTCATAGGAGATGTACATTATGTTTGTCCTCAGCATTCAGCCAGCCTTTCACATGATCAAACCAGGAGCCGTACACAGCTAAAAGGAAAAGAAAATCAGTTGTATTTAAGTTATTACATGAGGTTACTCTCAGTAGCTGTACTGTGTGTTATCATTATACTCAAATATATTGGATTGAAATACGACTAGGCGCTCTGTGAGCTGGGGTTGACCAAGTGGGAAGCCATCCCATAATAGTAAAAGGAAGCTGTAAACACATCTTTGGGGTCCTCATGACATCGATGACCTTAAACAATGTTGTCACATTTACTGTTAATCTAACTATTTCTGTCTATCAATCAACAGGAAAATGTGCTGCAGCGAAAAGGAGAATGAGAATGAAACCTGTTTACCTTTGGCTTAACTTCAAAGAAAAATAGAGGCATTTTGTTGTACTGAACATGTGTAGTTAACAATCGTGCAGATGGCCGCTCCTCCAGGTTCAGCTCAGAGGCCCGAGTCTCCTCCAGCCAGGGAACACGGTCCCAGTTAGACTCTCAGCAGAGGCCGGATCTCCTCACATTGACTCATCAAAAGGGTTTTGAAGACATTCAAACTGAAATAGCACAAATAGAATTATATAGTGAACAAAAAAGTGAACTAAATATATGTGAAGAGTTAATTTGCAAAAACAGATAACTCCATCTTTACAAACCTTCAGAAAACCCACTTTTCCATTGTCTGCCTGAGGGAATATTAATCATTTCTTCCAGCTCTCAACAAAGGTTTTTCTCTCGCTCCCTACCTTGCCCTTATCTGCCCCGCTTGCTGCTCTTTGTCTTGTGCTGTCTCTGTCTGAATCTATCAGAGCCTCTCTCTGCATTTCTTTCCAAAACCTGAAATCATGGATTTGATCAGCTGGTCTCTCAACGCAATTGATCAAATTTTCTCAACGAGAAAACTGGGCAAAGGAGAGCCCGCCTGCCCTGATGGAACGTCTGCAGCGGGATACACGATGGACTCCTAGTAGGAGTGGAGGGTTGTGCACCTCTCTATACTTTCCGTGGAGGATGTTGAAGACGTCTACATAATTGGGATTATGACAACAGGCTTCCTGCTGTTTGTAGTTTGTGGGTTCCTGCTTTATCGCAAAGTTCGGAAGGCGATGGCAGCACTTTCAGCAATTGAGAAGCTGCCCGTCATTGAGGGAATGGTTCGGGCTGCCAACACTCAGACTCAAGCGATATGCGAACTTAATTGCAAACTGGATGGGATTCCAGAACTTATTCGCAAGATGGGTACCAACTTGGAGCAGCTGAACAGTCCGATCTGGATGTAATGGGCCATCAAATTCGGCTTTTTGGATCACAGAGAGAACCAGTGGGACTTTAAGACTGATAGTAAATTGCAGAGTCGGCCTGACCCAAAACAATCTTCTTTATCTTCATTCAGCTCCCCCACTTCAGCCTTGGAAGGCTGACATCTCTCCACTTCTCCTGGATGTTATGCAGACAGATCCTCGACCCCTCCCCACCTCCCTCCTTCTCCTGTGAACTTTGTCTCTGGATCAGAACTCTTCGAGGTTGTCTCGACGGCAAAGGCCGTGTCTCGTCACCAGCATCAGACGGCAGAGACAATGTTGAGTCTGAGCGGTGATGAAGTCCATGGGCTTACACATACACATACACGAAGACACACAACACACACACACACCCCCTTGGACTCAACGTCTGGTTGGCAAGCCACCCCCTCTCCCTCTCTCGTCACAGGGCTGATGCGACGCGCTCCCCCCACAGTGTCTGAGCTGTGACACCTCTCCTCCCCAACACCCTCCCCCCTCCCACACGTGCAAGTCTTCGAGTTTTTTGTTGTGATGTTTTATTATGTTGCTTATGTGCTGAGGTCTTTTTTCCTAATCCCACACTGTGCCCCCCCTAGAGGAGCCTAGTTCGGGAATTGCCTATTTCCCCCCTCATTTTCCCTCTTGTTTTCCGTTTCCTATCTAATGATAAGGGGCGCTGCTCATGCTGGCTGACCCGACGTTATTGGTCACTGTCTTTTTATGTGTCTTGGACGGGATGTAAATGTAAAAGTAATTTCTCTGAAAAGGGATCAATAAAGTTCTATCTATCTATCTATCTATCTATCTATCTATCTATCTATCTATCTATCTATCTATCTATCTAATCAAACTTCAGTTATCTCGAGTCATTTCTACTGAGTCAAATCCACTCAACTTATGTTTGATTGATATTATCTCTGTTTAGTTAAGCAAAGAGAAACAACAGCACACTATTGTTTCAAGTCGTAAAGGTCAGTCAGCCCAGAAAACGTCAAGAACTTTGTTTCAGTTCTTGACATTTTCTGAAAAAGCCATCAAACATTGATGAAACTGATGATGGCTGCCCCTGCTGCAGAGGACAAGTTCAGTAGTTACCAGCCTCTGAAACGACCAGATAACAGCACCTCAGATTAGAGCCGATACCAGATGCTGTCCACAATTTATGTAGGAGACTCATCTCATTATCAAGTAGTGAGGAGCAGTGAGAGTTTGTTAAAGTGTTATCAAATCAAAAGATGGCGAGTTCGAAGAATTGCAAAGACAAACACATTTTAAAACACAATGCATCTTTAATACAGGAACCATTAGTTAGTCCTTGGTACAGTACAATACAGGGCGCAGGGGTGCCGCCCCCCACTACTGATGACCAGATTAAAAAGTAGTTCTCAAATGTAAAGTTAAATTTGAATTAATTATAACAAAATATATTCTTTTGCTATATTAACAATATTTGTATTATTAACAGATTTAATATTTGTCTTTACTGCGTGTTTACTAATTTCACACTTCCTGGATGTGGGGCGCCGCCACACTAGTGTGTATGTCGCTCGAAAAACTTTTCATGATCATGTGACCTTGGCTCGGGCTCTGATTGGCAGCTGCAGACTTTCTCACGGGGCGCAGCTCGGTGCGTCCCGGACCCTCCCACTTTTGTTGTAAGCCAATTAATTTTGTCTTTATTTGCTTTTGTCTTCTGTGGTTGGATATCAAAATTGTCCTTTGTCGTTCTTACGACTGCGCCTTTCCCTCCTCTTCTACTAGATGACAGCTGCTGTCGTGACGGCTAAATGCATCAGCCATGCTGTCAATGGAGAAAAGACTACTCACAGAAAAGACTGCGTGTAGAATACATGTAACTGGGTTTAACCTCGGACAAATGTGACATGAAAACGCCCAAATTTATTATTTTTAAAGTAATTTCTGGTCACACATCGGTCAGAGCACACCGCAGCCACCAAACAGCGTCTACCGCAGCCTGCTATGTGGGGCGTTCAGGGAGCATCAGTAAACCGCAGCGTCTATCGATCAGAAAATGTTCAGCAAGTCCTATGTTTTGCCTTTGACCAGGTGGGAGGTGCAACAAAATGAGAAAGTGGGTCGCACTGGTGCTACCAGTAAAAGAGTTAGTCTGAAGTCCTGAATAGTGTTTTTTTCATTATTTATGTTGTGTGTTTTGAGTTTGTACAGATCCTGTAAATAGTGATGAAAGTTTGATGAATGGTTTTGAAATTTAGTTCTGGTCAGTGTTGATGATGCTAAATTAGATCATGATTAAAATATCCTCCAAAGGTAGACAATTTGCATTCCTGTAATTAGTTGTGCCTGATTGTACTCATTCTAGTTTCTGATTTTAAATAAAAGGTCATTTGCAGACTGCGCCCCCCAACCAAACATTTTCACCAGCCGCCACTGTATCTAAAGCAGGTCAGAGCAGAAATGTGAACATCAAGACTATGTCTGTGTTGCACCAACTGGAGAGAGAAAACACAAAGTTAGTCATAAATGCACGGGGAGCCGAAAACAGGAAGAAGCTCCACCACAATGGCAGTAGTGCTCACGTGCAGAATCTGTAGATACAATCTAATGTGCATGTATACAACCGAGTTCTCCCAGCAGACTAGAAAGTAATCACATCAGTCCATTCGCAGTGTCTGCAGCTGTTTCTGTGCACATCTCCAAAAGTATAATCAAAGCTCAACAGGTGCTCCAGCAGCGAGGCCCAACGCAGCATAAGTACGGATGGTTCAGATACATCAGATCAGGTGACAAAAAAGAACCTGATTCCAAGTTAAAACAGGTCTTAAGGCTTTGAATAATATTTGTCTAAACTTGTGATTTGATAGCTTTCACAGCTTTTACGCATTCGCAGTTGAACTTTTATGAGTTTTTGGAAAATTCAGATTTTTTTGCTCAGAACACCAAATTTTGATGAAGAAAAATGTTATGAAAAAAGCACAGTTAAGCATTTCTCCTCACAATTTCTACTCTACATTCAAATAGTTTACATAAAAATGTAGGCATTTCTGTCCCTTTTCACCCAGTGTAAATCTCATTGTGATAGGACTTGTGTTTTTTTTCCTAAATCACTTCAGAACAGAAACGGCGAGTGTCTCTAATCTGCCACCAAATCTATTTAACACAAAATACGTACATGAAAATACATCAGTGTGTCAAAACAAGACTGTGCTTAACGTGGTGAATTCTTTTTTTCCAATATGGCGTTTGCTTTTGTTTGCTCGAGAAGCTAACCCTCATTCTGCCTGTCTGCTCCTCCTCTCCTAATCTCACTGCAAACAACGCTGACACCGATTGGCTGATTGATCTGGACTAGACAGGACTTCAAACATGGCTGCCTTTATCAGTAATGTATAATGTTATCGTGTGCCCTGTCAGTAGGACGTATCGAACAGCAGCCTCAAGGCCAAACAACACAGCTTTTAGAAATGATATTGATGAATATGGACTTAAAAAGCCTTGATGCATGTTCTAACATGTTCATCAAATGTATCACCAAAATACCCATTTAATGTTAAGAATATGATTAATTACCCTGTTAGGCACACAGTTGCAAAATTACAAAAAATCTGTAAAAGTTTTTCTTAGAGATCCTATTTTCATAGCCAATGGGTTCTACGTTTAGCCTCAGAATGCTAGAAGTGTACACGGGTCCATCAAGCTGTGAACTCACAACCTTTGCTTCGAGCTCATCTCTTAGTTTCTTTTAACTTGATATGTCAAGACAAAGTAAAATTCCTTCAAAACTTTAAATACATTTCTGTAGATACTTGGACATATTTGATGTCTTTAATGGTTCATTGTACCTAAATTCTGTGTTTTTTCTGAATGAATAAACAAACAAACAAACAAATAAATCAATTCTGGTGACAGTACTTAAAGCCTTTCTGTAATATCTCAAACTTTTTGTATGTAATCAGGCACACATACATATAAATAGTGTTTTGAGGGGTGTTTGTGGCACTGTTGGACAGGTAAGAATGTTCTTGGATGTGGAGATGTAAATATTCTAGGGGGTTGTAGGGATTCCTTTAGCTATGATAAATAAAAAGCAGAATGCTACTGATGACAAAACAGAAATACTAATTTAGAGATGGAATCAGGCAACAGTGACACTTTGCAGAGGAAAAGTACTGTCTTTGGGAGGACCACTGCCAACCACCATGTCTGAACACTGGAGATACAATTCAGTGTATTTGTAATTACAATTTTATTCACTTTTTTAAAATTAATTAATAGTCATTTACAAAAAAAAAATGTTGCAGCGCCACATAAGCAATCGACCCTGTGAACAAACTTTTAGCCGTTCTGTATATTTGTTCAGAAATATATAATTACAAATACAGAAAGGTCCAACATTGCATTTATTATAAAGTACATTTCTATGTTTATGATGAAAGTTTCAACTGTACATTCAATGTTTTACACTAACATACTAACAACAATGTATAGCATGAACTCGCACTGTTAATATTAAAGTGACTACGAGCATTCTCCTCTGAAGACAACTAAAGACTCCAGAATATTAAAAATTAAAGTTTATTTGGGTTGTTACGAAGGACAGATGATTCAAAAAGCAACATACATACAATTACTAATTCAGCAGAAAAGGTCATCATGGTCCTAGATTCCACTGTTAAAGTGAGAAAAATGCATTACCATGATGTTTCACTGCATATCAGAGCAAACCTATTGATTTGTGGTACAAAGTTCAGTGTGCCTTTAACACAAACCAATAAGCACTTTCAGTAAATGGAAGGCTGCTGCATCTTCTTTCATTAGGTTTTTATTAATTCCATACAAATTTATATTTGACATCTTTCATCTTGTCTTTGTAAACTGCGTCAAAGTGTTCTGCTTCTGCTAATGTTAGCAGATTTTTCCAATCTCCAGCAATTCCTGAAACACAACATTCCAAAGAGGATTTGGATTACAACCAGTGATGCAAATTTCAGACAATTTTGTTAACCAACAGGCAGCAGCATATCAATCAATAAATGCTGAACTGATAACACAAAGTGAGTACTGCACACACCATTCTATAAGCTGATGTTGCCACTTTCAACATACGACATTTGTTGTTAATGCAGTTTGCTTTTATGTGCCTCAGGCTTTAAGAGTACTATCTCAGTAAACTACAGCACATCTTTAATGCATGGTCTCTTGCAGGTAGCTGATAACTGTCACAAATGACTTTGTCACGGTGGCCTTTTTGTTACCTCACCAACACAGAACTACTCGTAGCCTGAGGGACCCCCTCATCAGGTTTCTACAGTGATAAACAGTGACCGGCTTAAACTGGTGGTGCCACCAGATACTACAGCTAATTTATTTTATTTATTTATTATTTAACCTTTATTTTACCAGGTAAGTTAATTGAGAACTGGTTCTCATTTTCAATGAGCCTCACAATGCCAGAAGTGTATACGGGTCCACATGGACATTTTACAATACATTTTCTGTAATGCACGAACTTTGTGTTCTGCCTTATTGGTCAGTATATTTTTAATCTGCTAAATAATTAAAAGCAATTAATTGATTAGCTGTTAATCATTCAGGTCCTAAATTACAACTGACAATTACAGCCTTACTTTACTTTTAATAGAAATACAACAAATAGTTATCTGAATCACATAAAGTGTGTGTATAGTAGCATTGTGTTGATAATCATTGCTGGTATTTGTTATAAATACAAATACTGTGTACAGCTCCATGAAGATCACATCAAGTAGCAGTGGAACAATAAGTCTCCTGTACATGTTAGTTACTGAAACCCACCTTTCCTGAGGAATTCAGACTTGGTCTGGTCCATGAATTCTCGAGGAACTGCAGAGTAGTTGGACATGTTGTTCTGCTTCATGTTCTTGAACAAACATCGGTCTGCTATCTTCTCTGTCACCTTAGCATCCAGAGGTTTCTCCAGAAACTGAGAGATTCTGGCCACAGATTCCTTCAGGTCCTGCACCACACAGAAACACAGCTCAGCTCCTACTCCTGATCTTGCTAGATTTTAAAAAACTGAAGAAAGACTTTGTTGTGACCTCACCATTAGCAGCTCTTCATATGAGATGTAGAGTATGCACTCCTTATTTTCAGCATTTAGCCAACCCTTTACATGATCAAACCAGGAGCCAAACATAACTAGATGGAAAAGAAAGTACTCCCTGTAAAATTGTTAGGAAAATTCCTCAGTGGAGTCCTAACTGCTCCAAATCAATACACAGAGTCAAAGCAAAGTTTTACTTGCAGCAAGGAGCAACATGTACAGCACAGAGTCTGAACAAGTGACTAAAAGCATGAAGCATTGGTTCTTATATACAGAAAACAGAAGTCAACCTCCTGCAAATATGTATGTTTAGGCATGGTGTTTTGACTACCAGCTAAGGACGTCTTGTAATTATCTCACACTCACAAGGGGAAACAGAGGCAATGAACATTTATAGCATTCTCATACTTTTCACAACGATCATTGGATCATAACACAGAATTATTCTGACAAAAATCTAATACGAAAGGACATTTCTTTGCACTGAATACATTGTCACCCAGTGTAAAATATATCTGAAGGCCATTGTAAAGTACTGTATTGTATTGTAAATAAACACTGTAGACTGTAGGTATGACAATGGGACCAACCTTTTCCATCGAGGAACGTGCTCAGGAACTCGCTCGTTGTCCCTGGGTTCACTAAGAAGGAGGTCATCCCATAATAGTGAAAGGAAGATGTAAACACATCTTTGGGGTTCCTCATCACGTATATCACCTGCAGTGATTATATGACATCTAGTAGTCACCCAGTCTTTAAACACACATTTTAGTTTGCTCTACATAAAATGTTAGTTCTTGTGGACATCCCTCTCTGACGTGTTGAAGTAGGCCTGTGGTTTTTGTACAGCTCTTTGCTTCTCACAGTCTTTCAACCACAAGTGAAACAGACAAGACTAACAGTGACTCTGTTCTAATGAATGATTTACGTAACAACATGTAAACATGGCTTCTTTCTGCCACCCATCAGTCTCCAACAGACTGCAAATCAAGCCCCAGTTACAACAGGTGTTTTCATTTGAGCCAGTGAACTGATCAATATTGTTCCATACATTACCTTCAGATTATTTCCATATATTATATATATAGTGTATGAGATGTGATCAGAAAGTTCTAACACTGTACCTATAAAAATCAAACCCGTACCTGACTAAAATTTGGATCTGCTTCAAAGTAGTCCCCTTGTGTAGCAATACAGCGTTCCCAGTGCTGCTGTCACATTTAATAGTCCTATTATGCCAGTTTATAGTGAGATGTCAGGTGGCATCCTGACTTATGCACATGTCACGTAACGCTCGCTATATGCATGTGCAACACAAACACTCCTGGAACTACTGATCATATCTCATGTCAGAGCAAACATTAACAGTCATACTGGATGATCCTTGACACTATGCACTACCACTACAATGTAGCAGATTACCTTTGGCTTTACTTTAAAGAATGATGGAGGCATCATGTTGTTGTGAAAGTGTGTTGAAAACATGCGTGGTGATGGCCTCTCTTCAAGGTTAAGGACTTTAGCTCGATGCTCCTCCAGCCAGGGAACGCGGTCCCAGTTAGGAAGACTCTCAACAGAGGCCGGATCTCCTCCGCTCACGATCAGAGGAACGATCTCCTGCATCCAAGTCGTACCTACACAGAGGAAACAAGCTTAGTTGAAACGTGTAGCTACAATAACCACGTATGCACACGTTTTCTATTCATCTTTTGATTTACCTATTACTGTTAGCCCTCCTAAATGGGAGTTAATGAGGTGTCAATGTAAAATAACCTAATTGCCACTTGAATTATACACTTTATGAAAAGTATACAGCTGAAAAGAAACCACACACAACAATAAATTGGATGTTTCAGTTCTTTTTTTTGTTGGTTTATATGCAGTTTAAGGCTTCATACTTCCCCTTTTTCTGAAATTCTATTGCAAAAAATTGCTCAACTTTGTGTAATACAACATGTGATGATGAAATTTGTCAAGCTCAGTCTGTGTCCATTGCTGTGAACATTATCTGTGATTTCTTCTTCATCGGACTTTGGATATGCAGACAACTGTTGGTCTTTGTATTATTGACAAGAAGGGAGATACAGCTAATTGACATCTTTATCCTTTAAATGTCGGTAGCAACAGCTGATTAGGATAACGTTCTTCTTCAGGAGCACAGCAACAAATAAAGGTAAAAGTCAGATTTCTTGACACTATTCTTGTTATTCTTGAGTAACTTCACATTATTTAGTGGTGAATCCTGAACATTTTTTTTTAAGCTTTAGGACGAAGTATTCACATAACACAATAACCAGTAGTAGTTTGATGATATGTTCGCGTAAGTAAAACTCTGGATGCAGGATATTTACTTATACAGAGGCAAACTAAATTAATAATCTCATGAAAAAAACTTGGTTTGGGAGACATTTGGTGGCATGGTTTGGGTCCACCTGTTTCCACAGATGGAAGGGTCACTGTAGATCATTACGAAGCTGTTCTGAGAGATCACCTCCATCCTATGATGAAACATTTCTATCTCGACAGCAGCGACCTCTTCTTAAGATGAAACGTCTTCATCTATGGGTCACGACTGAATGCTTTAAAGAAAATGAAATCAATCCTATATTACATCACAGTCTAAAGAACTTAACACGGTTTAACACCAGTGAGATCCATGTATTAAGTATCCCACACTAATTCAGAGAAAATAGGGTTCCAGAGATTTGGAGAATCAAGATGAACTGAAGCGGTCCTGTTCAAGACACTTTACAGCCTTTTTTTAGACATGCAGTAACACAATAACACTGCAGCTGATCTGTAAAGTGAAGACATTCAGTCATTCAGATATAAGTCACTTTTATGCTCATGTTGCTCGAGCCACAGCACACACACAATATTACTCTTTCATGCAAGATTTAAACAATACAACAAGTTGTGTATAATGCAATAACAAACAAAAGGGTAAATCTAATCAGATTAAATACTCATCACAGTATTGTTGTATTAATATGGACATTTCATTTTGAAGCAGATTACACATTATTCTAACTACTGCTGCTTGTGCGTGTTGATCTGGTGAAGTAACGGATCGACCTGTCACACTATGGATTTTCTGATGAGCACAGACTAACACAGGTACAGATAACGTATTGGTTTGTAGGGTTCAGAGCATCCAGTTCATTTATTTATAATGTCAATTTTAAATATTAGTCAGTATGTGATGATAACTGATCAAACTAGAGCCGCTTATGGTACAGTTGAAAACAGAAGTTTACATGAACTGTATGAAAAGACATTTTTTTCCTCACTGATTGATTGAGATATTTATTTCAAATATGTAAAGACAAGTACCAATAAACAAAGAATTAATATTACATATATATACATACATACATACATATACACTCATATCCATACATATCCATACACATGCATACAAAACAAAATCATATAGCAAAAGTAATATTCCATAATTCTGGACAATTGATACACACATATCTGACATTAAATCAGACTAAACTTTTCCTGTTTGAGGTCAGTTAGAATGATCTAAATTGTTTCTATTTGCTCAGAATAATATAATGAGAGAGAGAATATTTGTACTACTTTCTTCAAAGTCAGAAGTTTACATACATTTTCCTTAGTGTTTGGTAGCATAGCCTTTAAACTGTATGACTTGGGTCAAACATTTTCCTTCCACAAGCTTCCACTTGTTGAACACATCTCTGAACTGACTCATTTTGGACAAGTGACACGGAAAAGTTCAGTTGTCCAGACTTCTACGGAACAGTGAGAACAACATCCACGTATAGACTGTGTGGATGAAGCTAACAGCAGAGCATTCTTGAGTTAGCTTCCTTCACCTAAAGTGGGCTAAAGCATGATGTAACCATGACAGTTCAAAAGTGCAATGAGATAACACTTGGGGGAGAAGAGAACTCACAGTACTGAGTCGTAGAAGTTACTAAAAGTTGTTTTTTAAAGCTTCCAACAGAGAGTAAGTGAAGCTAACAGAGCTGCTTGTTGAGGTGTGTTGTTTAGCCGGAAGCGCGTGCCCGCATGGCTCACCTGGTTGAGCGGGCGACCTGTAATCAGTTCCATATATGGCTATAGTTTCCTGATGCAGGGGTCGTGGGTTCGACTCCCGCTCACGACCCTTCCTCGCCCCATTACTTGTCTATTACTACTGCTCTAAATAAAGCCAATAAAGCCTAAAAAATGAATTATCCAGAAGCTCACCTGACTTGGGATACGTTACAATGAGGATGTCATCGGGACGGAAAGTGAACTCCTCGTAGTACTGGAGGCTCTCAGGAGGATGCAGACATGTCGGCACATAAACGCCCTTGTACAGCGAGTATAGCTCTGCTTCAGTCATCGTTCAGAGGCTGGACTGGCCGAACACTGCCTTGACCAGAGTTCAGTATCTGCTCCTCTGCTGTCCTGTCTTCCGCCGTCCTACCCGCGCTGCTCGTTAAAGCTGTACGAGTCTGTTTATGTGGAGCTGCCTTCATCTGACTTAAACTGTCAATGTGCATCTCTCTTCTTCCGGTTGAAACTGCTCCTATGGAACTCCCAACATGCAGGTTTCTACTTGCCATAAAGTGATGGTAACAGAATGACGAAAAACATGTCCTCAGGCTGTATTTCCTAATGTGCACAGACTAACACAGGTGCAGTTTGCGCCCTGGTTTGTATGGTTCGGAGCAAAACATTCAGTTTATTTATATATAATGTAAATTGTAAATATTAGTCAGTGTGTGATGATAAGTGATCAGAGTAGAATCAGAAATAATCAGAATCAGAAATACTTTATTGTTCCCCTAGGGGAAGTTGATTTCAGTTACAGATGCTCCCAGTAAAAAGTCTTAAAAGAAGTAGGAAAGTAAAAATATCTAATAAATTTTAAAGTATTAATATAGCCACTTATGGTACATAAAATGTGATTTCATTGTTGCTTGGCTGTTTGTTTGTCTGTTTGCTTGTATTGATTAGAGACACGTGCACAGATTAATTATATTATATTGTATTATATTATATTATATTACAAATCTCTATGATAAAAATTTTTTTTTCGTTTGACAGAAACATATTTTGACTTTTGTAAACAACAATAACTGCAACAATAAAATGTATTTAGATTTTTAAATATGACAAATCACACAATTATTGTATTGGCTTGTCTACTTTATTATTCATTAATTAATTAGCCACACAGATTTGATTTTGTGTTTCATTTTGGTGCCATGTTTGGTTAGTAACAATCAGAAAAAACATTTTATAAAATCATCATGAACCACAAAAACAATGATAAAATACTTAACTGTCCTGTTCAGTGGCCTGAAACAAAACACGCTTTTGAACCAGTGATCTGTGTAAGGACACTTCAACAGGCTGTTCATCAACCTTAATGATGAACACGCAGGAATGAGTCAAAAACATTGTACAACAAGCCAGGTTTATAGAGATGACACATTAGTTTGATCATTTGCAAGTATATTTTTTGTCATAAGTTGTTCTTGTATTGTCCTCACTGTCAGTGTCACCACCACAGTTGTTCGGATTCTCTGTTTGCAGTTTAGGTTCCTAACCATTGGCCATATCTCTTCAAGATCTTTGTTGAGCAGTCCTCTGCCTGTCTGTCCTAATAATATTTGTGCAATTGAAGTCGAAGTCTAAATATCAACCATAAAAATCCTGTTTTGCAAAAGAAGAATTGTGCCAAGTTCTCCACTGAAACAGTCTACCTGCTAAACGTCTCGAACATGTGTGCAGAACTGGTGCTGTTTTAAAAGCAATAAGTGCTCAATCTAAATACTGTAATTGTATGCTGTGTTGTGAGTGTATAATGTAGTGTAGATGTCCATCCATCCATCCATCATGGTGGCAGAAGGCTAAACAGAGCATTCCAAATGTCCCTTTTCCTTGCAGCATTTTTCCATTCCTCCTCGGGGATTTCAAGGTGTTGCCAGAGCTGATGAGATATGTAATTCCTCCAGTGAGTTCAGGGTCTATCCAGTGGTCTCATCCCAGTTGAGTATGCCCAGAAAACCTCCAAAGGAAGACGCCAGGAGGCGTCCTAATTAGGTGCCTGAGCCACCTCAGCTGGCTTCTATCAGAATTGACTCTATGCTGAGCTCCCTCCAGAGCTCCTCACCCTCTCTCGAATGGTAACAGGATCTGTGATGTCTATACTTTCCATTCATTATGTAAACCGGAGGTGTCCAGCTGCCATTTGACACTTTTGGAAGCTTTAGAAATTGTTTGAAACTAACCATTATTGATCTTGAACGAAGACAGATTTAGAAACTACATGGTTTATTACTTTGCTTCAAATGTTTTTAGAAGCACATTCTGGTGAACTGTTCTCATGATATGAGTTTCTAAACGTGCCACCGTGTTGGTACGCTAGTCAGTGTTTGTGCAATTATGGGAGCCTGTAGACTGGATTGGTTTCCTGTTGGCAGGTGCCTGTTAATTATCTGTTGTAGCACTGCCTTGTCTTTGACCATTAAGCATCCATTGCTGGGAAATGGCACATATGAAAACATCCTGTGGACATGTACCTTCAGGTTGAGCCCTGCCACCCTATGAGAACGTAGGATTCTCCGGGGGAAAGGCAGAGATTGTATATAAAGATGGATAAAACCTCCATGATGTCGCCTACTTGTTTCCTGCAGAGTGCTTTTGAAGTTCAGTGGGGTAATTCCCGGATAGTCATAATATAATAACAATTGTAATCATAAAAAGGAGCAAAAACGTGGAGTGTGAGTGGAGCTGAAGTCGACCATGCAAACATCTCATGGACTGTCCTGTGAGGGCACCGACCTGTCCCTCAAAGCAGCCACACCCTTAGATATCCATAACTGTCAGACTTAATACAACCTAAATGAGTGAGTTTTATGAAATGTATCCCTGCACAGTTGTCATTAATAAGGGAATTAGTTATAGAGACTGCAAACATATTTATGAATGCAGTAAGGTTGGACATTTCAACATGGGGGTCTATGAGGATTGACTTACTTTTGGAGCAAACTTCAAGTTCACATTTGACGAACTGCAGTTTATGGGACTTCTGCACTGACTCTATTTTTCACCACTGGAGATTTCTGTTTAGAAATATGCAGTGCAACAGCGCTACTTAATGGTAGCTCACAAGTAGATAGAGTTCTGTGACTTCCCAGCTTCAACCTGAAGAAGTCGAAGCAGCCAGAACCATATGAGTAAAAACGCCTGTGCAGCATACAGTGTTCATTTATAATACAATATACATCGCTGGAAGTGACAGCAATAGCATTAAGAGCAACTCTAACTTTGCAAGAATAAACTGTCATCTGGGGAGAATGAAAGCTGAGCTGTACAGGGCAGGACCTGAAGGACTCTGTGGCCAGAATCTCTCAGTTCATGGAGAAACCTTTGGATGCTGAGGTGTTAGAGAAGACAGCAGTCTCTATCTTTGCCCAGTTGGGGTAAAACTAACTTCTTACTCAACGCTTCCCCTCGGAAACAGAGAGGAGCAACACCTGCTCTACAAGCTGCTGCTGTACAAAAAAACATTTAATGCAAAAACACATGGTAAGGGTGCTTCACGAAACGTCTAAATTCATCCTATCCCCTGTAAGATGTGTAGGGATTCATAGGGCTGTTCTGTGTACTTATTGAGAGATGTTGCAATTGAGAGCACCGCCTAAAGAATTCATGATCTATAGGAGAATTCCAACATGCCAAAGATGGTGGGTATCTGTGACTGCTTGTCTGTGCAGTAGCTTGAACAATCAGGAGACACTGAAATAGTGTTGCATAAAACAAATATTATTTCCTGTTTACAGAGTCAAGATGAACACCAGATGAGTTTCTTTCAGCACGCAGACAACACAGACAGCTGGTGGACCTTGAAGACATTCACTGAATTCGACAGAAGGTGTTTTGGATTGGAATAGATTGCTCTACCTTCAAAGCCATGCATCACATAAACACGCACACAGACATAGAACGCTCAGCTGAGTCGCCTCGTACTTGTAGTTTCAGTTTAGTTTCAGTATGAAGAACATGTGGACTGAAGGATGCAAAGAAGAATAATTTACATTTAAGACATACAAACTAAACCATCGGCACCTGGAATTACTTGCCTTATTTCTCCTCCTACAGTATTCTGGTCTCCGGTTAAACTTGAAAGTGAATTTGTAAAGTGTGTTTACATTTGTAGGACAGCCTCTATTACATCCTTACCTTTCCACCAGAAACACACTGATCGGTTGTTTCAACGTGACTGAACGGAAATTACAAAAATAAAAGATTAACATATATTTATTGCTGAAACACAACAGATCTGAAATCAGAAGGCCGGGTGCACTAGTACTTTTATAACTAAAGGACACCTTGGCTAATCAGAGCTTATGAAAAGAGACTTTAAAGACAATGAAAAACACTAAAAATGTGACGATATATTTTTATGGTTTAACATGTAACAACCATCACACGTCCAATGATTTTATCCAGTTGAATAATAATAATACAACAAATCAACAACAGCAACGATGTTACACTGTAGTTATTCTCTGCAGACAAATGGTATTATTTGGAAAGTATTTACAAAAGGGGGAGACGTCCACGTGAGCTGACTTATCTGGTGCTCTCAATCAGTTGCGCAAGTAGAAATATAGGATGGTCTTTGCTGTGCGAGCAACTTCTGCTTTATGCTGGTAGTAGCTGCACATCGGTAACAGGTTGAAAATGTTGCACATTGTCCTGTATATGTTAGTGCATGTGGCATGACTCCAAGGGTCCATCTAGAGGTGCCGTTAAGGGTTGTTGCGTCGAGGTCCTCATATCATTCATGACTGGCTTTAGAGTTTAAAATGCTGCTTAAATAAGGAGTGGATTATTGACTGTATATAGAGGATGGACTACGCCTCCAGGTTTAAAAAGTAAAGCGATGGAGTGCAATAAATTTGCATTCTTTCTAACAGCCAGCAGGGGGCGACATATCTAGTTCCAAAATTAAGTCCTACTGTATGAAAGCCTATGAAAAAATGACACTTCTTTTCACTTGTTGCCCGAGTAAACATTTTCCTAATATGTGTATGGATTCAATTGTTAATTTTAAGTTTCCTTCAATACAGAATGGAGTTTATTTAGTAAGTTATGGTTCCATTTTGAGTGAAATACATGATGAAGTAGGGCATAAACCATGCGTATTGTTCCTGTCAGATCCACTGCTAGCTTGTTACGTACAGTTTTAAAAGACCAACATAGCCACGACCAAATTCCACATTTGAGGCTTCATTATAACAGTCTACAAACTAACATTATGTCCACCTTTTCTACACAGTCTGTAGGCTGGACTCAGTAGCAGTGTAAAAAAACAAAACAAATGGCACCTAAGTATGAATCCAACCCTGACCCAACCATACCAAGCAAATTTTAAAAATATGAGGCAAACTTCCAAACATCTTATTCACTGGGAAACAGTCTCGCACATACACATCAATAATTACTATCATGCTATTACCACGTAAATTAAAAAGCTGCAAAACTACGTTGACCATACAAAAACCAGGACGTAACTCATTCCATAGTGCATTTTTGTTCTTCATATCCTGAACTTAAATGTTCAACAAGCTCTCACAGTCATCTTTAAGTGCTGACGGTGCATCGATAGTCTCTTAACAAACGTAGTGTCAGCATTCAGTCCGTATTGTCTCGGCCATCCAGGCTGATCTGGCCACCAGTAACCTCAGTCTGGCACCCGATGACTGGATCAGCTCCTTTCCACTGACGATGTGAAAGAGACAGAATTAAAACTTTACCAAAATGTGAGTTCAAAAGATGAGGCATTATGTATTTCTTACCTCTGGTAATCCAGTCCAAGCAGACTGACTCCGTTAACAGCCAGGATCCTGTCTCCTGGTAGCAGCCTCTCACAGCGGGCTGCCGGAGAGTCTGGGACCACCGCACGGATAAAGATGCCCTTCACCTTCAACGAAGAGTCCTGGAACACAAGATCAAAATGTCAGGTTTTCGCTGAAGATTTCACAGTGAGATGCCACTGAATGTAATGTGGGAAAACAATCAAAACACTAAAGATTTGGTGAAAATGTTTGTCAGTCATGTAAAGAGTACAACTGGTTTACTGGGGCAAAATAGGTACAAACTGTGAAGTGTAAACGGGCGGATCTACGTCCTGTGAAGAAAATCAACAAAATGTTTGGGAAAAGAAATGTGTAGCTTGTTTAGCAAATATAAAAAATTAAAAATTGTATTATGACTGCAACATACACCATGGTTTAACCTACCACTAACCACTATTCACTCTCATCGTTCTTGTTACTTTTCTGGCTGACATCACCAAGAAAATAAACCAGAGGCATGTTACAGCAAATTATGCAGCATTTTTTGGGGACTATTTTATCAAGTATATATTTAAATATGTAGAGTCTACGCCATGTTGAGGTTTGTTTAATGCTTTTTGGATTACTACTTTACAAATAGATAATTGTCTCAGTTTATTTTAATTGGTTATATTTGGATGGTTTTCTTAAATGAGAGCCACTTATCAACCTCATCATTTCCCTCAGTGGTCACACTAAATATTCCCCGCAGACCTAAAAGCGTTTTCCTCATAGACCACCACTGTCGAACTGTGGACAGAAAACCTCAAGCTGCAAACAAGCTTGATTTTTAATCCCAATTTCATATTTGTGAAAATATCACTAGAGCTTAAAAAAAGTTTTGTTTTCATATTATCATCCCAATACAACCCTCTCACCCTGAACCCTTAGCTTGTGTGTTTGGATTTCATCAGTCACTGCAGTTTAACCAGGAGGATCTCTCACCCTTGTGTCAACCAGAGCGAGACCAAGTCCTCTTTCACCTCGCTCCAGCTCCAAGCTAAAAACCTCCTCATTGTTGGCATCGTAATGGTCATCTGCCTCCTCCTCCTCCTCCTCCACCTCGTCCTGCTCCTCCTCGTCTTCTTCTTTTAGCTCTACTAGTCTTTTCATACTGCTGCAATCTGATTTCAGACGGTCTACTTTCAGTGCAGCCAGACATTCAAACACAAATCCACCTACAGAGAAAAACAAGTTTTAGTTCATTGAGCTAAAAACACAAAGAAAAACATTAAAATGTCTTTCTGTACCTTCATCATGTGCATCAACTCCAGTGGACCAAGTAAGTGCCTCACTGTCAGCTCTCATCCATCTCTCCTGGTCCACGTTCATCAGGTCTACAGGATCTATGGAGTGTGGGGTGTTGGGTGGGGTGAGGAGACAGGAGGGGTCCAGAGCTGACCTCTTCAACTCAATGCTCTCAGTCTCTCTGGTCTGCAGCTCTAGATTTCTAAGCTTTTGGGACAAAATGTCGGCGCCGCAGGAGCTGAACTCCTCCAGGTAGTGGGTGAAGAGAGGGGAAGGGGGTGACGGTGGCAATGGAGGTAAAGCAACAGAGGTAGTAGAAGAGTGCATGCAGTTTTGGACATCTGCCTGAGATAAGTTGTCCTCAGATGGAGGTGTAGCCGAGGTTTCCACAACAGCATTTGGAAGGGTCATCTTGGTCAGTTCAGCATCCATCTGAATGTCACCACCCTGAAGAGAAACACGATTAGAACATGACGAACGCATTTGAAAACCATAATTTAAAAACTTGCTAACTTAACACAACAGTTTGGCATTTTGTATGCTTATTCTATGACTTGTTGGGAGCTCGAGGAAAAATTGATGCCACTCTCTCTATTATGTGGATGGGCGACACATAAAAACTGTGGTTAACTACAAAATATAGGCATTTTTGGGGAACTGATGTGTAATAACTTGGTTTAAGACTTGAATATGCCGCTAGAACATACCTGTTTTACTATTTAATGTTGCACTTATTGACTTTTCAGTGCATCAAGCTGCAAATACAACAATGACCTATACTCACCTTTGAGCACATGAGGATAACATGCTGATAGCTGCTGATTCACATCCAGCCGATATGGAATGGAAACATTCATTTGGAGTCGTGTTTCTGACCACATGGTGAGTAAGTCCAACATTTACTCTCCTTTTAGAGCTGTTTCTGTCTTAATTAACTGCTGAGGGAAATGTCTGGCTCCGTATGTAATAAATGTTCTACTGTCTGCACTCTAAGCCACAACCTCTGGTACTAAAATATGTAGCTGACATCAAGTGCCAAAAACTGCAGTTCCTCGAATGAGCACTTGAGGGTGGCTCCATATCAGAGCAAGTCAGTGCCCGTAGACTCCCATGTTACACTTCACAGCAGCAGTAAAGATGTTTACAACCTGGTACAGAAATGGTTTTGGTGTCTGTAGCGGATTTCCCTGTAATGGCTACTATATTGGTGTGAATTTAATATATTTCACCTATTAAGGTTGTTTTAAGGCTTGAAATTATGCATAAATAAGGGCGTGGCTGTCACAGGACAAACATTTGCACGGCCTGACAATTTTAAGGTTAGGATTCTTTACCCATGCAGTCTGTCACAGAGTGATGAACGTCTTCCTATCTTTACCTCTGCAAGATTCGGTGTGCATTCAGTACCCATACTTCGTATATTTAGTATATTTAGCATCCCCAGATACACGGTATGTCAAATACAGTTTGCTGAACAATACTACAATGTACAACTACATCCGGTTGCATTTTGCAGTGAGCAAGCCAACATACTTTTATGGCCATTCTGACCCACAATATATCAAGATATGATCTATGAGTGAATGGTCAAAACTTGAGGCGCAACTATATTATGAAGCAGTAAGTCTCAGTTGTTTGGATACTGCATCAAACAGTACGCACTTTGCTATGGCATCTGTAGTACGTACTGAAAGGCAAAAGAATTGGATTTGGAACCCAGGAAGCTCTTTTTATATGAAGATTCAAGGATT